CCCCCCCCCCCCCCTGAACAGTCGAGGCGTGGATGGGAGCCTGATTGCACGGCCCCCGGGGCTCATATGATTTTAATAGGGAGGAGTTTAGATAGGTTCAAAAGGGGCAGCGATGCCCGGTTATCTTTTTTAAAGGCGCGCCACGTGGAATTTTCTTACGGCGCCCGGACGATTTGTCTTTAAAGAGGGACTCCCAAACAGTCAGCGTGTCCTGAATAATTCGGCCAGTTTGTCTTTAAAGAGGGGGCCAATACTAAACAGGGTGCAACATTAAGCCCAACAAAAAGCTAAGACTCAGCGCGCGATGTCGTGTCCCAGCTTCCCAAACCTCGGGGCTCGAACCTGGGGATGTCCAGGCGATGCCAGCGAAGGAGCCACCCTGTTGCAAGAGCACTGTGTCTTTATGTGAAACAAGGTTTATATCACTGGTTATTGGTGAGAGTATAGAGGGTTCCTTACAAATATTGGCAGGTGTACATCTTCGGTGCCCTTTTGGGGATGCAAGCAATAAGCCCTGCTTTATGCGCCACTAGAGTCTAGAGCTTAAACTTGTCGCTTGATGCGGGCGGCTTCCGCAGGGAGGGCTCTTAAGAAGTCTCTATAGCATGCGCCCTTGTGGGGCCTTGGGCTATAAACCCGAAACCCTAATCCCTAAACCTTAAACCTGTGCTGTTTCCTGAATGCAGCTGTGCTGTTTCCGACTTTGTTTCCTGACAGTGGCCGCACCGCAAGAGCCCCAAATAGGGTTTAGGGTAATAGGGGTAATAGGGGTATAGGGTAATAGGGTTTAGGGTTTAGGGTTTAGCAAAACCGTCTCAAGCAGCAAGCCCAGAGGTATTTGAAGCGCTTCCACCTGGACTTCTACTTGCCACTTCATTGAACGAAGAGGCTACGGTTGTTGAGGGCTGAGCTCGCACAGCATCATGCATCCACCGAGGCCACAACCTCCGCATCTGATCTCGGCACACGAGAAGCGACCTTTCAACTTTAAACCCCTGTTGGCACTGGCATCCGTAAGCCTAGTTGCTGAAGTTCATGCGAAGGTCAAGGGTGGACTTATGTGTTGGCCAAGTAGCGACCAGCTGCACCCAGCTCACTTGACAGAGAGGTCCCGGAACATGGGTAAATACTGCAACACCTCAGAGCACGAGCCGTTTCTACATCCGCTTCATAACACGGTTGGAATTCCAAGACTCTAAGCAATTGGTCCTGGTCTAGACAGGCGGTGTCCCCTAAGCACAACTTCACAAAAAAAACGCGCTACTTACGAGATCTCCCGAGCAATCCCAGGTCCGAGGCTTTGAGCCGCTGTGCCAAGAGTGAGCACCGGGAGACAAGCTCGGACAGCTCGGCAGAGGTCCTGGGAAGCTTTTGGCAGGCGGCCCCAAACCATCCATGGCTCGCGTTTGGTAGGGAAGGCGATTCTTTCGGGTGCTCAAAGAGGAGCTTTACATGGTTGTAGTTCACACTGCGGCGCGCAGTCTTTGCTTTTTTTTAGAAGAGCAAGTGAACGCGACGTCGATTGCAGCAAACACCCATAATCTCATAATCTCGTAGGTGAGTAAGATCGGGTGGGACGATGGTGGGCGGTCGACGGAGGGGCGCGGAATGCCCAGTGCAGGAGGCGGAGGCGATTGACGGGCGGAGCTCACGCCGCATGAAGGCTGAAACGCCAGGAGGTCCCAGGTCCACCATCCCAAAGGTAGACGTTTAGGGTCCATAGCACCGAACGTCCTCCTCTGTTGACCTTTCCATCATTCCATGTCAGGGGTAGTTGCATCCCATGAAATCCGCTCTTTCTCAAGAGAAGAGTTCTTGCGCAACAGCCGAAACATGTCTTTTGGACGAGGTTCCAACACCCCATGAAAACATCCGACGCGCATCTTCCTCCCTGCTGGCAGCGGGGCATCTGAAAGGTCCCGGTTTACGAGAGAGGTTTTCGTTCTAAGTGTGGAACATGCAGTGTTGTGGGGCACAGGGCTTTCCTACTTCTAGGTTTAGTGGAAACAGCCTCATCTTCATGCGCTGTCATCAGAACCGTTTGCCACGCACGCAAAAGGCGATGCGCTTCTTGCTGTGCATGTGTCCCACAAGCCGCCCCCCCAAACCCTAAACCCAAAACCCTTACGGTGGGAGATTGGGGGATGTTTTCCGTTTTTCAGGCAGTTCTGGAAGGCACGCACCTCGAGCTGGGCGAGTCTATGCCATATAGGCCTGGGGAGGGTGCGAGAACAGACCCATAAACCCCATGAGCGCGAAACAGCGAAGCACAAAGCTCCTAGACGGGTCTTCTTCAATGCCCAGGACTCGGCCGAGTCGACGGAGCCCCTAAACTCTATAAAGCCTTAGAAGGTCCATAGACCTTATTAGGCTTTATAGAGTTTAGAGACCCCGTATGGCGAGTCTACGAACCTGAAGCCTATTGTGAAGTCGCCGCGCGCCGACAAGGACCATTGCGGCCACACCAGAGAACCGACGAGCCTTTGTCCAGCATTTCAGGCCTGCGGCCAAACCCCCCCCCCCCCCCCAAAAGCAGCAAAGAAGGAACTTGCGAAGAAGGTTGTATCTGACCTGTGTACACGTGCAGCAGTGAGTTCTCATGTATGGTTGCCTATGAAGAGTTGTGATTGCCCAGAGCATGACGGCAGCTCTTTTGCATCCCATTCAAAGACATACAAACGTACAGTCCACAAGGACGAAGGGGTAAGTAAGCACGTGCAGCGGGGGCGTGCAGACTGGCCAGGAAGCAGCTGAGCCAAGTCACCCGAGATGTCAGCGTCATTGCGCTCACCGCACAGGATTTCCATGACATGGTTGCTGCTTGTCTTGGTTTGTCTTCACATGTACACACACATCAGATCATTCAGCCTAGCTTGAGCAGTGTCGCTGTCGCTCAGTAGCTCTGCACACTGCATAGCTGAACCGAAGGTGATGCTGTGTCCAGACTTCCCACTTGATTTGATTATCGATGCCGCCGACTTCGTGCCTCCCGCGGACAGCAGCCTAAACCGTCTGTAGACTTGATTAAACTGAAGCATCCCTGAAGTCCCTGTAACCTGGGTTCGTAACCAAGCTGAAGCCCGGTCCAAGAGATGGTGTGCACGCAGAGCCTACCAAGGCAAATCGCCGGTCATGATCATGTGACATGAACCTGTGGGAACCGCATTCGGCAGCGCTGTAATGTAGTGGCGGTGAAGCAAGCCAAGCTCGCGTTTCTGTCACATGTTCCTTTCATGAACCTATCTTGTGTTGCAGTCATCGCATCCACCTTGCTCGCACCCAGTCCCTGCATGAAACGGGCACGCGAGTGGTGAATGTTCACCCCCCCCGGCCCCCCCCCCACCCCCCCCGTTAGCCGTACAGTATACTCTCTTCGCCGAGGCCGAGGGCCATGCTGAAACTCCCCGTGAACCAGCGAAACAAATCCAGGGGAGCCAGGGGGCGCCAGAACCAACGCGATGCGCGGCCACAGAACTTGAACAGAACTTCTGCCAAGCGAAGGTTTAGACCTGAGTTTGGACTCAGTGTAGACAGTTGCCTGCAACCAGGACACGCAGAGCCATCGCTTCCTCGGTCAGAGGTCCCCCGTAGCTTCGGTGCGAGGCTGGGCGCACTTGCGAAGTTGTGCGAAGGGTTTGCTAGGGCGAGAACGTTGGTATCGTCCATGCATCAAAACAAGGGTCTTTGTAGGGGTTCGGAGCGGTCTGGAGTTTGGAACGGCTGAACGCCCCCCGAGGGCTAAACTTTCACCAAGTGGGCGTGGTTTGGGATAGGTCTGTTTTTGAGGGCCTTCAAAACTAAAACCCCAAAACCTGGATCCGATGGCGAACTTTCAGCCCTCTTGCGTAGAAGAAGCTCCGGCAGCATAAAGAAACAGCATGGCTAAATACACGCACAGGCTGTCACACAGGCAAAGCGCACAAACACAGAAGCATGGCTAGAATATGAAACAACTGCTGTCCCTCCATTAACAATATATGTTGAAGAGTGGCTTAATACTTAAAGTCGCAATTTACAGTTACCATCGTCTCCGGCTCGTGCCTGCTGACAGGGGGGGACCAAGAGTCATGGGTTGGCTCAAACCAGAACAGCCTACAGAGTGAAGGAGGGGAGGAGGGCTCTCAATTCGAGAGGGCGAATGGCAGATATCGCACAGGTGATGATGCGGATCCGAGTCCTGACAGCGCAGATCTTGTCTTGTTCCTCGGCCCTTCGAGAAAGGTTCGGGCTCAAGGCGCTGCGCGAATCAACTAAAACTGCCTACGTAGCAAGTGCTCTAGTCTCTGCTTTCGCAGGGAACCGGACCAACTGGTGGAGTTTCCTAATCCCTGATACTGGGGAATAGCATGATGCTGTGGCCTATGTGGCCTCCTCAGCCCGTAGAGTGTCCAGAGCCATATAGACGTGTAGATTGTAGACCCAGAATGGGGCGCTGAAATAGAGATGCGTTGGATTTTCTGGGTTCCATGGGAGACGGCAGAGGTTCCCCATGATCAAGTTGCAACGCATGGTGGAGTTCCGTTTCGTCTATCCCGAGGCAGAGATGCTTTGGGTATGTGCTGGTTTGTATTGGGGAGCTAGGGTGAGGGCTCATGGCTTTTCGGACTTTTGGCCTCCTTGATGTGGGGCGTGCTCATGGAATGCCGGCAAGGTGGGTTAGGTCGGTAGCTGCAGCATGGCTCGTCGTGGCTGACATGAATGCCGGACGTGTGGTTCACATGCCTTTAGCGCCGCGCGGGTGGTACAAGAGAAAGGAATGAGCTCTTGAATGACAGTTTGTGACGAGCCACTGCACGTTCATTGAACGGTATAATTATGATAGGAAAGGCAGTGGAGCCAAAGGGGACAAAGTGGGCGGAGCAAGGAAGCCGCGCGCCTATGCTCCGGCACCAAGAGCCTCCACAACACCAAATCCCCAAGCGTCGCCGCTTCGAATCCCCAAATCCACGAAGCAAATCCTGAGAAGCTGAAGTCCACCCCGATGAGCCTCTTCCAGGTGTTCCGGTCGGTGAAGGACCTCTACAAAAGACAAGGCCTGCCTGCCGTGATAAACGTCTCTGAGTCCACAGGCCTCTGTATACGCATCCCTTCCCCCTCTTCCCTCCCAAATCCGACGGGGGAAACAATCGGGGCTTCCCAAGTTCTTCGGTTTCTGCAGACTTCGCGATGTCTTGTTTTCGACACTTCGAAGAATCCGGTTTTGCTCTCCTTGCACGGGAACACTCACAAGCCATTAAGCCGGGCCAAGCATACCGAAGCCAGAAGTATGTCCAGCGTTTCAGCACAAACCGGTTTGAGAAACCCTTGGAGTTTGCTTGGAACAAGGCAAAAAATGGGACAAAAAGCGGCTCCCTGCGTCAAAGGCCAAAGCGCCTTTGCCTTGGACGCGGCGGTGAGCCGCATCACGCTTGTGAGACACTTGAGGCCACAGCTTTGCACTCATGGGTTTCAGGGTGTTGGGTGGCAGTTGAGGTTGAGAGTTGCTTAAGAGCCGCCACTCCCTCTAGTGACTGGCACTCTGCTTAAAGTGGAACCACTTAAGGGGCCTCGCAGATTGGAGAGACGCAGCGATCCCTGAAGCTGCTTTCAAAACCCTGCGGCACACCAGTAGCGTCAGCGGCAAAGCAGGCTCCCAGGCTCCCCGAACCCTCGCAACAGGGACGTCCTGTTTGGCACCGTGGGCACTGTGCAGATCGCACTGCGAGGCGCAGCGCTGCCGAGTGAAGGCGGGTGACATTGCGATTGAGAGCCGCAGATCAAGAAAAGCTGGGTTTTGCCATTGAAGAGCTCTAATGTACCTTCACCCAAAGAGGTCTCGGAGAGTCCCGGAGCCGCCACCTCAAGGGTCTCAAAGCCTGAGAGCACCGAGCGGAAAACCGCACTTGTTCTCCATGCGGCAGGCCTTAGGCCTTAGGGACACACTCCAACACCTGTTATTAGGAATGTTCTCCGGCCGTTCTGTTGCCAAACTTGCTTCGATGTGGAAGGTGCCCTGCAGAAACTTCTTCAGGGCAAGCGGGGTCTCCTCGAGGGTGCCTTGGCCCATCGATTTGGCAGAGTTTGAGCAGCTCAACCCGAATAGGCCCTATTCCCTATTCAATACAACATTCAAGGCCTCCGGGCGTCTGCTCAACGCCAGACTTCCAAAAACCGCCCGACCCTACAAGCAGCTCCTAAACCCTAAGCCCTAAACCCTCTATATATTGAACCTCAGACTCGAAATCCCTGCGGAGTGGTTCGTCCAGCTCTGCGGGTGCCAAAAAAAAACCTCTATCTACATGTATATATATATATATATATACATAACTCTCTATACATATATATATATACACACAATGCCCCCCCCCCCCCCTCGGCAGGTTTCTCCGAGGAGCTCTCGCTGTCGGAGGTGGGGCTTCGTGTATGTGGGGAGATTTGCAGACCTAGGCTCAGCTGACTCCTCCCGTTCATCTTCCATCTGCAACCCCAAAGCAAAGCATCAAGGCCGACACGCTGCCCTTCAAAAGTGTTCAGATTTTGAGATTTGGAGATCAACAATTTGGTGTTCTCCGAAGGGCTGCAGGGTGGTTCAGAGCATTACGGCCCAAAGCTGCGACAGAGTTGTGCAAGACTAGTTGCATGAGTTCTTCTTCAGCCCAGACTTTGGTTTGTAGCATGATGGGTCTTCGGTTGTTCCCCAGTAGTCGAATCTCATCTGACGCCCTATCGGACCCTGTCGGCCCTGGTCCCTTTACGATGGATAGCGTTCCCTTTTGGTCCCAGGGTTTTGGAGAGGCAATGCGGGACATGGCAGCTTCGTTTGAGCTGATCCCGTCATCTATCCCTGCTCAGCTTTTGCTGAAGGCGCCGCAGGGCTCTGGTGCCTGACGTTTTCGACAGTGTTCCTTTGGGCTGGAAGCTCTCCCAAGAGATTTCCCAGAGCAGCAACTGCTGCAAGTGTTACGCAGGGCCGCTGGCCCATCTCTGCAAGACTGTCCCGATAGAGAACCAGTGACTGACCCTGAACTAATTTTCAGCAGCTTTCTGAGTCAGGCATGTGCATCGCATGCCAACTGTCCAAGTGGAGATGCTGATGGCTACGACAGGTAGTGGGGATAGGAGGGACGAGTGCCAGGCCACCGTGCCCGGGGCGAAGAGGGAGCCAGCAAAGGACCGCCACATCTTGCTTTTTTCTTTGAGCTTAAAATCTCCTTCAGACTACGCGCCTTCCATGCCCTGTGAGGAGGAAGAGGGTACAGCTGCTGCAGCGGCTGAGGATGCTGCAGACAGGGAGGCGGCAGAGGCGGGATTTGGGGCTTCATGAAGGCATACGAGTCATACGCTGGGGGCACCGAAACTCTGCGAGATCCGAGGGTTTGGCAACCCATGTCATCTTGACAGCTGCCACTCCTAAGAGCTCAGCTCCAGATCCTAAGTTCTCCAAACTTCAGCAATTCAGAAAGTCCATTTTCCCTGAAAGCTGGCTTCCAAGGTGCTGAGTGCCCCACCTGCCGCGGAGGCAGCGCCGTCCTTTGCTCAGGCTCGATCTGAAAGGGGCCTCCGGGAGTTGTAGGTTTGTTCTAGGCCGGATAGCTACAGCCGAAAGAGAAGGAAACAAACCAGTATGGAGCAGAGGGAGAGTGGCTGCCCTGCCTGTTGGGTGCAGGGGTGTGTGAAGGGTCAGGATTCGAAGTCCAGCAAGCTTGTCACAGGCTGAATGCCAGCCGTGCACTGCTCGTTCTCACCTCATGTAACGGATTGGGGGCTGTTTGCGAGGGGCTGTTAGTCGAGGGGTAAGACCAGCCTTGTTACATGCCACCCTTCCTGACTGTTCATCGCGTTTCGTGAAAATTCTCTGTCTCTGCTCTTTCCTTACAATATCGGCTTCTGTTCTGCAAAGGAAACTTGGAAGCCTGCCATATGCCTCCCGCTGGTGTTGACATGCGCAAACAATGGGCAAGTTTCACAGCGACACGGAGAGTTACAACAATACAAAACACATGCCTGTTATCACAATTTTGACAAAACGTTCGGCAGAAAGACATCGCACGCCGATCCCCACCCTCGTGGGTGCTTAGGTGCGATTCGTTTGTGTTGTGGGTTTGGCTGTTGGGAAGGGGTCGGTTCTTCATTCAACACCCAACGTGTCAACGGCACGAATTCGTAGGTCGTAGGCGTTCTGTCGCTCCAACCAGATAGACAAGCCGAGGTGCGAGAAAAACCAGAAGCGGCCTCGGTTACATGTGTTGCCTCTCTGACCAAATCTTGCCTCGCAAAGGGAAGCCTGAAACGCTGGCTTTAGCGGCTGTGTTCTGTTTACAGCATCGTCCCCTATGGCGTTGTCACATGATGTCACTGCACCCTTTTGTGCAACCGCGGAACGTTGAGGGACCATCACTCGCAGCAGTCTCACACCGACAAACTTGCGTGCCAAGCGACGCATGCTTTTTGGAAGGAATGAAGGAAGGAAGGAGGAAGGAGAGAAGCGAGGGAGGAAGGAAGCAAGGAAGCAACAAATGAAGGACGGCGTGATATTATATATGTATACCCCCCCTCATGAGTTACCTCCTACTATATTTTCTCAGATACCTGCACATATTGCCCCGTTTTGCTGAAACCAGACCCCTAAAAAAAACCCGTAAATGGCGTTACAATTTGCCATCTTCAATACTTACGTGTGCTTTGGACTACGTGAACATGTTGTATTTGAAAGCCCTTGCCTGGCCTCCCGGGTTCCGGTGCGCGACAATGCCAGATTTCAACACGACAATTTCGACTCTTGCACCTGTTACGTCGTTTTTTTTGGCGATGTCTAAAGTCTTCACCGTAGTGATGTTATAAAATGCTCATAAAGTGTCGATGTTGCATCTTGTTCGAAGGTGTCTTTATATATATATATATATATTATCTCGCACCTCAGCCACATCATCTCGCTTTTGTTTCCTGTCTGCTCACATGCATTCATTTCAGACACATCTCCTTCGAGAGCGCCCTTGCTTCGAATTCTCGTGTGAGAGCGCCAGTGCTTTGAATAAAGAGGGTGCTCTTTACAAAGTAGATAGTAGGCACGTCAACTTGAAGTTTTCTAAATATAGCCGTTTCAATTGAACGCAATGCTCTTTTGTATCTGAGGATTCGTAAAATATCAAGTGGCTTGAAGTTTACACTGCTTTCATGCATGTTATGAATTGAATTAAAAGGGTTCTACTCTTCACGACTCAGATATCAGGTACCACATGTTCATAATGAAACAAGCTTGAGTGGACTTGGTTAAAAGACTTAGATGTCAAATGTTGTTATTGCCACACTAGTCACTAGGCCAAATATGCCAAATAAGACGGAAAGTTTGGACGAAACCTTTTTGGAGGTCAATGAGTAGTTTGTAGTTATGTTGTTTGACTGGCCGGGAAGATTGGAATATAGTGCGGGACAGCTACTGGGACAATAGATGCGCCACAAATAATGGTGTTTTTGAGGGGCTGGTCCCAGAGTGTGAATTGATCTCGCGTAGTCCATCGACGGGTCCGTGGTCTGCAAAATTCTGCAAAATGTTGCCAGGGTGCTGCTCGGACGTCACTGCGATTGGCGGAGAGGCAAGGTCAAGGTAGATGCTGTTTACTGGTTTTCGATGCTCCTCAGGTCAGTGACTGGTAGCATAAACGTAGTCAGTATGAAAGTTTCTGCTAGGTCTTTGGCTGAATACGGAATATCACGAAGAGAGAGATCGCAAGCATGTGCAGAGCATCATGCTTTTGTGAGATGTCTTTCCCAAAGATGAATCAGGCAAATGTATCTGTAATCTTGTTGCTCTGTAAGTTCACATCTTCTCGGTGAATCAGGCAACGTAGGCACATGTAGGCACCACGTGGTCATGGCACCGCATGGCACCGCCCCATGCCTTGACCAGCCTGCAGGCGTCGAATCGAAAGAACGGCGAGTGGCAGCCTGCTTCGCTCACGGGCAGGCAAAGTGTGAGGACGTTTCAAAAAGAACCTACGACTGCCATCAGTTGCGAAGCTTTGCAGCTTCGGATTGTGATGGTTCATGAGACACATGGGACGCATTTTCCGCTACGGGCTGGCAGCAGAAATCGTCCCCGCAGCTGTCAGGTGCCAAGCCCCACCCGGGCGATGCTCCATCCAACCCAACCCTCACCCAGAAGTGTTGCCGTTGCAAGCCTCGACAGCAGACCTCCCCAGAAAGCACGGCTTAGTCGACAACACTGGCTGACGAATGCAGCACAAATCGAGCATTTGCCAACATTGCCGGCGCCATGGCGGAGAACGCCCCCACGTTGAACCAAACTCCGGATAAGTCGGGGAGCCTTTCACTTGACTCCGCTTTGCAGTGCTTTGGAGCGTTAACGCTGCCCTTAAGCTCTGTTCTCCTCAGACCAAGTTTTGCACTTGGAGATCTGAATTCAAAAGAGCGCTATGAGTCTTACTGAGTCTGTACCGGGCCTCAATGGGGTCCAGAAAAACTCGATGTTCAGGAAGAGCTGACAGTTGTTTGCCTGTCTTCGACTAGATCCCAGGTCCAGTGGTCAAAGTTCGTCACCACCGAAGACGGCGCAGGCGCTGTAATTGACGTGGGGAGTGTGGGGGACGGAAAAGCTTCTCTGGGGCCTTTTTTGGGGGGCTCCAGGCTTTGGCCGGCGATTTCCTGGATCCCCTAGCCCAAGGTGCTATCTCTGGCAATGGCCTTGTTTTTGTCCAGAACTCTTGTCTTCAAACTGATTCAGGCTTTGCACTTTCTTCAGGCCCCCTTCTGTGTGACTTCTGATGTCGAGCCATGGCTGATTGCCCCCTGAGTGCAGGATAGGCCTTCTTCTAAAGCATTAAAGAACTTTTCGAGGATCCACATTGTTTCAGCATCACATCAAGGCCAACTAAAAATGCTGGAGTGGCGTGGCAGCCGTAAAGCCCTCAAGGAGGATGTCGGCATCCCAAAAGCCTGAAAACCCTGACCCTGCAAGCGCTGTTACACGACATGAGTGGTGTCAGCTGGGTGAGTGGCAGAAAAGCTCTACACGCTCAAGGGCTTCAGCCGGGCCGAGCTTTCACAACCAATGCGAGCATTGTGTTTGCAAATGAGGGGCCCACCCCCCCTTTCTCCGCCTGTCTTAAAGCCGGACAAGCTCGCATGTGAGAACATCAAGCAAATGCCCGCATGAGTTTGTCCAAAATCGTCATATGGGCAAATTGCAGCTCCCAACTCCCCGCCTGCTTAAGCTGAGCAAGCTCCCTTCAAGAACATCATGCCTTCCAGGGGTATTGCTGCACATACTGTACCCTATGAATCCTTCCAACGCCATAATACGAGCATTGTGTTAGGTTTGCCTTGCAAATGCCTAGCGTGCACCAACAAACGCGTGCTGTCAATGCAGGCTCTTGCTGAGCGGCATCCGCTGCTCAAGGATGCACTGCCGCCGCTGCTTCAGGCGACATGGATCTACTGTAGGTTTTGGGGTTGAGGATGTCAGGTTCAAGCACGAAGCCCCAACTCAGCCTGATTACACCGCAAAGAATACGAGCTCTTGATGGTGCTGCAGAACGTTCACATTATGACGTCGGTTCTGTGCGTCTTTGCTGTAAGTCCGCGATGGCGCTCGCAAAATTCGATTTCACGAAAGTTTTTGGTAGCCAATGCTTTCGGCAGGCTTTGTTGTCGAGGTGCGCAGTTAAATGCTGGCGACCGTCGGTTTGAATTTCGCGAGAAGCGATTCTGATTGCCGCCACTTGCCGCCCGTCCACCTACATGGGGGGGGGGCGGCTCAGGACATACTGGAGGACGGCAATATCTGTGATGCTGCCACGCCGTTTGCGGGCGACGCCGTCTATGTCAACTTCCTCGTCGCCAGACTCAGCACAATGATGATACGTTGTGTCTTATGTTGTTTTGAGATGTTTTGAGCTTTCGGACGGTTTTGCTTCTTCTGTGCTCTTCAGGGACGCAGATGTTGCCTAAGAGGGATGAAGTTGGGGAGTGGTAAGGGGGATCTACTGGTAGAACCTATAGATATGGACATGAGTTGGACCTGTAGCCGGTCTGCATGTCCTTTGTGTTTTTGTCCGCATGCACCGCACACGCCTTGTTGCGGTCTCTGCCCCCCCTCCACGGGCTCCACCTGCTAGTGATATGTATGCTCCTGTTTTTCCTCGGAACAACCTACCTGCCATTTCCCATGACGGTATCGACGTTGCATGATTTGTGGCGTGAAGAATAGTGTCAGAAGTTGTCGCGGAGCCAGGAGGTTCTCTGAATGATCTGCGGAATGATTGTTAGCTGTGAACAGTTCTCTGCTTAAGGATTCCAGTTATCTTGATTTCGCAGACTTCAATCATGAAACCGACCATTCAGTTTAGTTAGGTTTCATCTTGCAGTCCCTGACTCAACCCCAGCCGAGCCAATTTTTCCTTGTCTTTGCTGCACGCTTCAGCCTTCGCCTTCTCTTGAACCTGAGCCGGAGCCTGTTCTTTGAGGTGGTGGTTGACTGTTCCCTCCGCCCCTCTTGTCAGAAGATTGTTTATCCAAGCGTGTGTGGTGCCAGCAAAATGTCATGGGTCTTGTCTCCATCGCACTATGTCATCCATTGGAAGGGTGGAGATCGCTCGAAATTATATTGTGACTTTTTCACATGAAGCCTAGGCATAGCGCTGCGTTTTTCTCATCAGCTGCAGCATTTCATGCCTGATGTCTCCACATGCTTAAAAAAAAGCATATAGGCAGCGCACGCGAGTATACTCTTACAAAAGCCTTACAATGCGATTCCGGGGAGTCTCGAAGACAGTTATGTACGTTGTAGTAGTCTTGTGAATTTCACTAGTCGATTTCGGCCCGATTTCGGTCCGGGCTACAGACTGCAGAATAGCAGTGATTTTGTTCTTGGTTCCACTTAACTGTTTTCACTGCGGCCGCAGGGAGTGGCTTTGACCAGGCGCATCCCACTCGCCCTGCCCCTTCTGGGCAAGTCGAGGAGTTTAGGGTCAGAAATCGGAGACTTCAGGTGCTCCCTGAAAATCGAGTCTGCTGGCCTCTGCAGATATCAACAGTCTTCAATCTCTGAAACGGACTATTTTCAACAATGCGAGGGTTGTAACTACAGTCCTGGGACAGGGAGAAGCGACTCGGTGATCCATATGCATGCGCATATATGGGGTGCGATGAATATAGGGATTTCATCGGCTTTATCATGCGTATTTACGGCGTGCATGTGTGCCAATGGGTGTTCTTGAGACCCCATGGTTTCCGTATTAGCAGCGGCCTGCGCATGGCGGAGCACGATTGGATAGGCCCGGTAAATTACGCTTGTATAGCCAATACTCGTACCAGGCATAGTCTTTGTGGATCACTCGGTTGACATAGGTTTTTGTGATGCCCTGATGTTAGTCACTCAATGAATGCCCGTGCGTCGAATACGTGCGTGTGTGTGACTTCTCCGAGTCTCTGAGGCCGCCAAGGTGATGTGTGCCACGAAGGTTCGTGAGGTCATTGCAGTGATCAACCGCACAGCGCTGGAAGTCGCTGCAGCCTGCTGAGCAAGAAGACTTGCTGTGGATGCCATTTAAGCCATCAAGTAGTTCACAGTCTGCAGTAGGCACGGGCTTGTGATGGAGCATCAATTCAGGCATCGAGGTACTTACTTTTGAAGCTCACGCGGAGTTGCGAAGCAGTGAGGGTGGACCGCGTTTTGTTGTCGGACATGGCTGGCCTGTTGCAGGCTCGCAGAATGCAACATCCTGTGCAACATACACCGCATGCCCCATTGTTGACGAGCATCGTTTGTAGTTGGGTTTGGCATTTTGCTGGGTTTGCTGGGCTCGGCTAAAGCTGCCAAGCAATGCGAGGAAACATATGCTAAACCGTTCAGGGCCGCGACCCCAGACTCTCAACCCGAAATCGTGATTCCCGACAAAATACCTCAGCCTCCTGACGCTCCTTAGGCCCTTACGCTCACCAATTAGGGCGACATCTTTAACTGCGAATGCACGACATTCCAAAAAGCCCATCCCCTTGATCTCAGACCTTGAGTTCTATCGCCCGTCCTGCTATACGGCCATGAGATCTACATCTGTGCGACTCCACGAAGCATGGCTTCCAATACTGGCAGTTGCCTTTTTGAGCCTCCCGCCAAGCACCTTCACGGTCAGCACAGGCCAGGCGCGTCTCACCGCACCTGCCTCCGCAGAGCTCACAGACCTGAAAGCTTGCAAGGCTGGATTCAAAGCTGGAATCAAGCCCTGCTTCGGGCTCGGTAGCTTGGCCTTTCTCTGTGCCGCTTGTCGCCTGCGGCGGCAAAGGCGGCAAAGGTCCTTCCGCGGTATGCTTGGCTCCATGTCGCTGGACACTTCACTGGAGGGCCCCGAAAACCCCGAGGCCAAGACAAGCCTTGAGCCGGAAAGCCGCCGAGATACCTGGAAGCTCTCGGGTTTTGAGGAGTTCATGGCTCGTCTTGTCGGTGCACCGGAGGGACCTGTGGAACTGGCAGAAGCCGACTATCGGAGGTTCGTGTCTGACGCACGAAACCAGATGCTCACGCTGGCCAAGGCCTCGAAGCCTTTCACGTTAGATCAGTCGGGCAATGCCGGCTCCATCTATGGCATTGGGAGGCGGGAGTATCAACGGCAGCATGGCCGACTGAACCTGTCACGTCTCCGTGGCATCATGGCGTTCGACTCCACGGCCCGGACTGTGACGGTTGCTGCAAAGACGGATTTCAAGACACTCAGCCGATACTTACTCGATCGCGGCTTCATCGTCCCAGTCGTCCCAGAGGTGGACACCGTCACTGTGGGTGGAGCCATTTCTGGCGTTGTTATGGAGGCCGCAAGTTTCCGGCATGGCTTCGTGCACAACACTGTGCAGGGCATGGAAGTGCTCCTGCCAGATGGACAAGTGGTTTTCTGCAGTCGAGAGGAGCGCCCCGAGCTCTTTAGAGCTATTCCACACTCATACGGCACGCTCGGCTATGTGCTGAGTGCACAATTGCTGGTCGTGCCAGCCGAGATGGAAGTGATGCTTATACTTCCATAGAGTACCCACTAGCCAGTTGTCCTTCTTTTCGTCGTCGCAGGTGCAATGTTCATGGGTATTTCCGAGCAGCAAATGCCAGACTGCAACCTTTTTTAGTCCCTACGAAGCCTTGCTTAAGACTTGTGACTTAAGTCCTTCTCTTCTATTCATTGCTGGACTTCATAGACCCTGCCATGCCTCTGTCATGACTCCCCCCTTCCCGACATCCCAACCAGCTGCAGAGTCAACTTCGTTTGGGGGGGATAGCAACAGCAGCGTCAACATGCCTTTGCTACATCTGCCGCCTGCAGTAACCATTCGACCTCAGGATGGTGACGATACAGGAGGTTTCAACGCCCAAGGAGGCCGTGGACGGCATTTCCAAAGCGATCCGCGATCCCGCAGTGGATTTTGTGGAAGGAATTCTCTTCGGCCCTGATCGTGCGTTGACGATGACCGCGTCGATGCGTTCACCGGCGTCTCTTGAAGCTCTGGCTTTGCCCATGGTGGTCTTGCCAGACGACGGCAGGTACATAGACGTGGTGTGCAAGCAGCTGGATACGAGCCGAGCAGACTGGCATTCGAAGAATGTGTCCTGCGCTTTCCGCATGTCCACCTTCGATTTCTTGTATCGCTGGGATTGTGACATCTTCTGGGCAACGCGCCGCACAGGCTTCCTTGGGGTCCCAGCTGTTCCTTGGCTTATCTCTTCATTGTTGAAACGTTTGTCCTGTAAGAAGATCAGATGCGGAGGAGGCTCCACGGTCAAATAAATTTCTGTCATTTTGCCAGGATGCAGCCCTGAGCCCCGAGCTCCAGTCCACCCTGCAAGCAGCCAGTCCAGCTGTGACCTCCATAGAACCCACGAGGTGAGGCAATCTCTGGGCAGGGCCTGCTTGCGCTCGAAGGTGCCGACAGGGTTATGCTTCAATTCAGGTTTCCAAGCTTCGCCCCTTGTAGAGCTGAGTGTCCTTTAACATGTACGCAAAACAGGGGCCAACAACGTTCACCCATGTCCCTTGAGCGATTGCAGTTCTCTGGTTGTAAAAGATATGAGGGTCCTGACCTGACGCTAGCAGAGGCCTACAAGCCTGAAGCTCTGACGCCCCTAGCAATCGCGCACCAAGGTGGTTCCCCTAAAGCTGTGGTTTTCGTTTGACCTTTTTTTTTGGTGAGATGCATGCATGTGCGGAGTCCGCAGTTGAGGGTTTCTGCAAAGGGTTATGAACTGGCTGCGCTTCTGTTGTTACACATATTCAAAAGAGCAAAAAGCAAGTTCCAACACCCTCCCGTTATCTAAACCCCCAGGCGCTCCTCTGCTGACAAGGTCCTTTGGCCAGTCGGGACTTTTTTGCGGGGGACCAAGGCGCAACAAGGGACCCGAACAGGGATTCTGAATTCATTTTTGATCCATGCCTTCTTGGGCATGATAGCTGCGCTGCATTTCTGCGGAATAATAAGTAGTACCTGCTCACGTTTTATCGGCAGGCTGGGATGTTGAAACAGTGTACCAAGACGGGGTAGGTAGTGCGCATCCAAGTTCGTCGAAACCAATCTGGACATGGACTACATCTTTTCCAAAGTTCTACAGCGGCGCTGTGTCGGCGATAAGCAGACCAAACGGCTTATGTTTAGGTTGTTTGTTCGGGATTGGTGGTTTTTCGGCGCAGGGTGAGAGTGTGAGAGAGAGAGAGAGATGGAGAGGGAGAGATGGAGAGAGAGAGAGAGAGTGTGTGTGTGTGTGTGCGCGCGTGTGTGCATGTGTAGTCTGGCGATCACCTTTCGAAAAAACCTTCGGCTCCCAAGTCTTTAAATATGGGAGTTGTTTTTCGGTTGTCGACTGGCCCAGCTTTGCAGGAAGTGGTCTCTCAGCTGGCTTGGAATATCTTCGGAGAAGCAGGAACCCAGCACGCAAGAAGCTTCATACTGTAGAATGAAGAGACTAAGAGCCTTCGTATGCTTGCAGTGTCTCGAATGAGCAACGGGGGCAGCTTTCATGCTCATGCAGATGGATGTGCTTTTGACCCTGGCACGGCAATTTGGGGCAATTCACGATAAGGCTGCAGAAGTTCGCTTGCACTGTCAGGGCAGCAGCTGGGCTTCAACAAGCCAACGGAGCGCATCATCCAGGAGCAGCAGCGTAGCAAGGAGGGAGAAGGAGTCAAGAGAGGGGTCGGAAGTTGTCAACTTGTAAGACTGTCAAGGATCTGTTATGGTATGTTCTTGGCGTTTTGTTGAAGCTTACTCTGAGGTTTCTCGAGGGTTTTCTTCGGTGTCGAGGCATTCGAGGCGAGGGAGGAAGCGGCGACACAGCGCAGTCTCGCAGTCTAGTTTTCTGAAGCAAAAGGTAAAGACATGTAAAGACGACGCCATGCCACGTCATACAAGTTCAGAATAGGAAAAAACTCAAGCAACATAGCCAGGCCTCCTACTCGCTAAAACCTGAACTTCCAAGAAGTCCTTGACTCCTCAGCACCTCCAAAAGCCTCAAATCGCTGCCAGGACCTAGGCGTGCGCTTTGAGCAGGCACCAGAGCATTGGCCGTGGGTTAAGACCGTGCGCTAAGAACTACTCAGATCTGACGGTTTTCAAGAAGATGGCTTGCGGCTGGCAGGGGCAATGGGAGAATGACTGCATGGAATTCTGTAGGTTCCGGCTTTTGCCAAAGATCTCGAAGCACATGCTGAACTGCCGTTTTGGATGTGTCCCATCAAATGCCGGGAGCTTGGCGGAGAATGACAGAGCCATGGGGTTCTTCGCATGCCCTGAGTCCCCCAGCAACAGGGCCTTCCGACACCTTTGGCCTTCGCCCTGTTCCTGCATGGGCGATTATACTCTAGAACCCCGCCTGAAAAAGGCCCTTCACAGGGTTGGTTAGGGGGATCTTTAAGGCCTAATGGCCCATGCCGGTTGCGCCCCAAACACTTGCCTTGAGGCCGTGGCCTTGTCGAAGAGCAGCCTTTGCTTCTTGCCTGCACTTGAGAAGCTACGCCGTTAACACCCCCAACTGCGTTTCAACCCCAAACTAGATCAACCTTGCGCAGGAACTCGGAGTCCCGGAGCTCCTAAGATTCACCAAGGACAAGGCAGCAACCCGCGTTGGCCCCAAAGCATCTGTCGAACATGCATCCTTCAGAACCTGGCTACTTTGAAGATTCCTTACCTGGTATACTGCTAGAGCCAATCGTCTCGCGGCTAAGCAACAACACCATCAAGCCCAAGTGCCAGACCTCGCAAAGCAGCCCTAAGCAAATTAAGCAAATTACTGTAAAAACGATCCTGAGTAGAAGAAGTGTCGGGAGTTCCTCCGACTTAAGGTTCCCGCTCCCGGAAGACGCCGACTACGTAATGGATGTGGCCAGCTTTGGCGCCGTGCCTCAGGCTGCCCTGACTCGATGCGAGAATGATTTCTTCAGGTGTTTTTTTTCGGTTTGGGATGGTTTTTTCGGATGGTCCTTCGGATTCTTTTGCCATGCCGGGTTTTTTGAGAAAGGTCCCTCTGAAGTTCCTCGGTTCAACCCATGGGCTGACGGTATTTCCAAGTAGACGGCTGTCATTCACAGAGCGCCCTCTAGAGTTCTACATGCCTTCGAGCATTCGGAGCCTGGCAGTGTCCTGAGCAGAGCTACTTAGGGCCTCATGCACCGGCATGTAGGGCATCACACACCGCGTAGTCAAGGCCAAGAATCCGTATGATGATGTAGGGCATTATCGAAGAACCTGGCTAAGAAGCACCCGGACTACTCTCAGCCCGTCCGAATCTGCAGCTGGGGCCATGAAAGGACATGAAGAGCGGGGATCCGCTGTTCCACAATCGGGGCATCGAGCGCGTGCCGGGGCCTGGGCACTCGCTGCAGTCTTTGCGGGTTGGGAGAGCACGCTTCCGGCTCCTTTGACCCCCTAAAAAAGCATTGCAATGCGAAAATGGGAGAGGGGGTGTGGGGCTGCTGCTTGCTCACCATGAAGTTTTGGAGCATTTTGGAACTCCAGAACCCACAAAGGCATTGAGCGAAAGCAATCCTGAGTGCAGCCCGAGGTTGCAGAAGTATGATGGCATGAAGGCGTTCTATTCCGACGTGTTGTACTCCCGCAAGTACTTGTACAAGAAGTTCAATGGGCCGTCTTACGATCGTCTGAAGTCCAAGTTCGACCCGAAGGGAGTGCTGCCGTGACCTTGGGTTTGTGTGGAATGATGTGACGTGGATCGCAGTTTGCCAAGCAGCGCCCCGCGCATGCCTGCTTGCCAGGCCGTGCATGCACGTGCCTGCATGCATGCGCGCATGCATATGCATATGCATGTGTGTGTACGTTTGCTTGCATGCTTGTATGTTTGTGTGTGTGTGTATGAACGTTTGTTTGTATGCTTGATTGTTTGTATGTTTTGTCTCTGTGTGTGTGTTCACCGCGCAAGGGGACACCCCATCCTTTGTCTGTTTCAGATGTGTGTTTGGCTTCATGTGCCACGTCCTTTGTGCTTCTGTGTGGGTCCCCTTGAAGAGGACCTTGGTCAAGTCCATTGTCCGATTGTCACCTGCAAAGTTAAAGTCGAACCCATTGACATGCAAATTCTCTTCTAAGGGTCCTTTGAACTTCTGCCTTCGTTCGCAACATCTTGGTCCCAAGTTCCCTTCACAGGTTTCTTATGGTTTCTTGGATTTCTTCGTTCTTTTGCAGCATCATTAGATGGAAATAAGTTCCCTTCAAGGGTTCCTTGGGCTTCTTCGTTCTGTCGCAAAATCTTGACATGGAAATCCACCACTCTCTTTCCAAGAGTACGAAAACCAAAAGAATCCACGTCATAAGGTCCCGCAAACCTATATATTCAAGGAACCAAAGAACAACAACTAGCAAGTTTCGGGGAACTCCTGGGAACGGGACTCATAGAAGCACTGGCCTGAGGAGTTCCTGAGTTCATTGCGTTGGCTTGTGGCCATTGCTTCTTTGGCCTTGCGGCCTTGCTTTCGTGGATTCTGCGGCCGTGGCTTTCTACTTGGCATGTCGCGACGATGAAGAAGCAGCAACAACGCAGCAGATGCAAACCGGCCTTTAGCCCAAGCTTCCAGAACCAGAACCGTGCGAAGGGGACACCGTCTTAAGACCACGTGAAACGGCCGCTGGTTGCTGTTTGCCGGGGACGGTCGAAAGGGTGGTTGCGACGTGGACCCCCGAGGCTGGGAACTGCAACAAACCGAAAACAGATGCGGAGATGTGTGAATTCTTGTTTCCAGAAAATTCGATCAGACTGATTGGTGCGAAGAAAAATTGCTAAAACTCAAGTGGGAATCGGGAATGTGTGTGCAACTGGGATTGCCCCAAGTCGACTTATCAGTTGCATTTCTGACATGGCAGGTCTTACGTATTGCGCACGGGCTTGTGTGTGGGGCTGGGTGGCGGGTGTGTGGATCCGGACAACGAGTTCCTTACCGCCGCCGCCAAATAGAAAAGCTTTGCTGCTGCTTTGTGAGCACAGACTACAAGGCCCGGTTATCACAAAGTACCCCATTCAGCCCCACCAAGGCCACACATCCTCGACAAGGTTCTCACGGCTTGAAAATTTCACCCGCTTTAGAAGTTTAGAACTTCACAGAAGTCCTCGGCGACAAGCTGAACTGCGTGCATCGCCAACCTGCAAAAGGAGCTGGGATGGGATTTTTGAGGCTTGGGTTTTTGAGGGTCTACTTTGAATGGCACTTACGACAGTCACCCCAAACCCGGCTAAAAACGAAGCCACAACTTGAACCACGCGCCTAGACAGCATGCCTTACACAGCAACCCCAAGAAACAAAGGCAGTGTCCTGCGCAGCAGCCCTGACCATGGGCCTCATCGTGCAGAGTGTAAAGACTGGTGCGAGCGAAGATGACCGATCCAATCTGAGAATGAATGATTCCCAGGCTAGCTTAAAAACACAGCTTCCCAAACTCCCGCCAGTACCATTCAGGGCCCTTTGGCACTGAAGCACCTAGGCAACGGCCCTGGTGCCCCTCATGGAGCGACAACGTCATGGCCTCAGCGCACTTCGGGTCTTCACAGTGCACATGGCTTTCAGCCTGTTCAAAATGTGCAGATATGAAGAGGCTCCATCAAGGCAGCGCTGGAAGACTGCATGGCCTGGCTTCAGGCACTCGAGGCAAGCATTTGCGGGTTCTATGGTGCCCATTTGAGCTTGGGATCATGCAAAAGAGAGAAGGAAGGGGATAGGGGAACCAGGACAGAAAGTGCAGCAATTGGTTTGTCTGCTTGTCTTCGACGTTTCAGGGTTTTCAAGGAGAGACACGATTGCACTGAGACAACATCGGTGAGGCGCAGAAGGTGGAAGCGTCCATGCAGACCGCAAGTACCTCGTTGCCTGTCAGCAACAGCCTACCACCGGCATTTCTAAGCCTTGTCAAATCCGTCCCCTTGAAAGAACATTAGCCCCCGCATTAGCCGCAACGCAAGTGGACGAAATGGGAGCATCTCTCCACAGCGATGATCGTCTGAAAAGCGAGCGGAAGCCGGCTGATGCACACAGGCATACTTGCTTTTCGCCCCTGCGATTGCTTTCCCAGGTTGGCTCCCAGATTCGTGCGAACTGTGCAGCGTCTCGTCCAATCATGAGAAGGGGGTTTGGGTGGGGGTGCTTCGTGATTGGAAGTGTCTGAAACAGAAATTGGAGGGAACACGTGGCTTGGAGCTAAGTCAGCTAAGTGGCCTCAGCAAAGGCTTTCAGGGCCAAGAAGCTTGGTCGAGCAGTTCAGAGGTTGGGACATGTTGGGGGGCTTTGAGCAGTGGGCCTTGTTATGGGGCTGCGAGTGCATGACCAATGCACAACTCATTGTACACGGCCCGCATGCGCTCTCTGCCGCGGCGAGCGCACTGCAGCGCGCTTACGGCTCGCTCACTGGTCACTCCGCTCATGTTTGCTCTCCTTATCCCTCCCTTGAAAGCTCTTAGGGTGCCATGCCGGCGTTGACTTTGGCTTTTTTCTTGCTCTTGGATGATTGAAGCGGCATGTTTTGCATCTTCCGCTGCTACGGTAGCTGCTCTGCCTTTGCATGAGAAGAGAAAGACGGCCGCTGTCCGCGTGCCCAACGTGGTTGTGTCATGTCTGTCCCGCATCGCTTAACGATTAGATTAGGTGATCAAAAGCTTGTGAGGCGTTGCTGCGCAAGTCTTCGTCTTTCTCGCGCCGACGAGATTTGTTTGGGCAGTCGGGTTTGCGGCTGCGAGTCTGTGTTGCAGAGTGAGGCGACTCGATCTGACTGAGAAAGAGGTGCGAGCTCTGGAGATGCGTGGCTGCAGATAAACCACCGAACATGAACCCGCAGGAAACCGTTTCAAATCGTGTGCTCCAAAGACTCGCTTCGCGCTTCTGAGACCCAAGATGCCTGGCCTTAGGCCATTGCCCAAAGAAGGGCTTCGGCATTGGCAGAAGTGATTTCGCCATTCGAGGCACATCTTGGTCATGCAGTGCCTGCCGGAGTGGGTGCGGGAAGTGAAGTTCGTGATGGAGATGGCTGAGTATGCGAAGTTGAGCCCTAGCAGCTTGTCTTTTCCTGGATGCACCAAGGGATGGACGAGCTTCCTGTCCGCTGTGGCGACTACCTGATATATCAACAGTAATGAGGGTTTTAATTCATTTGATGAGAACCTTAGTACTTATGGTCTGGGCAAAGCACGCTCCATTCATGCTAAATGGGATGACAGCAACATTTTACCCCCCCCCCCCCAGCCCCAGACCTGTGTCTCCCCGGGCTAGAGGTTCGGGCTCAGCTGTTGTTCCTGTGTTGGCAGACCCTCAAAGTGCTGCAGTCCCACTTGAAGCATACTTTGCTCTTCCAAGCCGGCGATGGGCCAAGTTCATCCAAGACGGAACTGTGCCTTTCACGAAGGGATGAACTCTGGTCCCAAGATCCTTTCTAGTTCGAGATCTCTTCCACAACCCGGTTCCGAAGCCTCCCGCTGCCAGAGATCACAGCAGGCCCAACAAAAGCACGTAGCTTGCCACTGCAGAACCAAACGAAGTGCATGACTGACCTTATGGTACACATTTGTCGAAGGTGTAACTTACGAGGTGCTGAAAATGAGCTGCTAGATCGGTGGCGACATCAGAGGTGAACATGTCGGAAGAACCGGTCTTAAGCCCTTGCGGCAACCTATCCGGAGCTCCTGTTACCACACCACCCCTCTCCCCCCGACAAAAAGACAAAGCATATCACAGAGTGACTGTGAATGCTTTGCCAAATCGCTGAGCGAAAGCCCCTCAGCAAACCAGGTGAGATGCTCCACTTCGCGAGCAAGAGCCGGAAGCATCGCAAGCAGGGATTGATCGCGGAGGCAAGGTTCGATGCCCATTCTAGCACACGCCAACACAGCTAAGAACCGGTTACTTCATGTGATCTGTGTAGTATAGGGGGGGGGGGGGGGGGGCAGGACTATTTTCCCAAACGAGCTTGTTTTGGTCACATGACTCCCACATGTTCCTTTGCAGCTTCTAACTTGCAAGGCCATGTGTCTGGACAATTCTGGATAAGAGCTTCTGAAAGCAGCTTTTTGCAAACCCTGCCTCCTCGGCCTCCGGATGCAATCACCAAGCGTCCATTGTGTCCTTTCTCCTTTCTGTCTCGGCAACATAAGGCAGCCAAGGTACTACCTTGCTAGCAATATCTAGCACTCTTGAAGGTCCACAAGCAAACGCGCACACACAGACACACGACACACACACACACACACACAGACACACACACACACCACACACCACAACACCACACACCACACACCACGACCCAGACCACACACCACAGTCACCACACACCCACACACCACCACACCACACACCACACCAACACACACCCAAACACCAACACACACCAACACACCCACATACCACAACACCCCACACCCCACACACGAACACAGACACACCACACACACCACACACACCACACACACCACACACACCACACACACCACACACACCACACACACCACACACACCACACACACCACACCCACCACACACACCACACACACCACACACACCACACACACCACACACACCACACACACCACACACACCACACACACCACACACACCACACACACCACCACACACACCACCACACACACCACCACACACACCACCACACACACCACCCCACACACCACCCCACACACCACCCCACACACCACCCCACACACCACCCCACACACCACCCCACACACCACCCCACACAGCACCCCACACAGCACCCCACACAGCACCCCACACAGCACCCCACACAGCACACCACACAGCACACCACACAGCACACACACACACACACACACACACCAACCACACGCAACACACCACGTGCCGCGCACCTCGCACCCCATGCAACATACACACCGTAATTACGAACCATACACACCATTCACACCCACACCCCCCGCGCACACACACACACACAGACACACACACACACACCCCACAAAATTGCAGGGGGACCACACACACCACACACACACAGAGACCACCACACACACACGACCACCACGCGCACCAACGCCACACGCACCCACGCACACACACTCGCACGCGCTGCGCGCACGTTTGCCCGCGCACACAACAACACAACCCACACACACACCCACACACACACACACACACACACACACACACACACACACACACACACACACACACACACACACACACACACACACACACACACACACACACACACACACACACACACACACACACACACACACATCCACCCATGCACGCCCGCCCGCCCGCCCGCCCGCACCCACACAGTCCTAAACCCTAAACCCTAAACCCTAAACCGGGCTTGGGGCTGCAATCGTTTTCGCTGATGATTGACCACCTTTTTGACAAAAGTGTCTTACCTGCCGGATCCAGTTTGCCTTCGGTGCTTAGTTTGTTCGTAATTTCGGCAAAGCTTGTACAAGAGGTTATGGCCCTCGATTCCGGTCTACGGCCATTCCCAGCCAGATAGGGCGGGCACGTTCTTGCATGCTACTCTGTTGAAAAAAACTGAACAAAGTATGCGCAGCGCACTGCTGCTTCGGCTGGCAACTTGGTGCTCTCATCTTGCTTCGCACACTCGTGATGCTGTGGGGACGATGGTGGTGGTGAGGGCCATGTGGTGGTGTTGATGATGTTCTCTTCGTTGAGTGCAGAGACTGACTTGCAAGGTTTGTCGCTCCACCTTTTGGATTCCACGCAAGGCCTAATTAAACAACCAGATATAACCAGATTCGGAGAGCGGAAGACTGACACTCATGCCCGGGCGCCGAAACGCCTCAAGTTTGTACAGCGCCCTGCCAGGTAACTGTCTCCTTCTTGTCCCTGGCGGATGTCGAGAGGCAACGCAGGTATAGGGCCGGTAACTGGGGTGAAGAGGCTCCACCAAGGACTAAGTAAGCTTCAACCCCTTCCTCATTGGGTCGGCAACGAAGGTAGTGAATGTAATGGAGCTGTTTCGCATGTCCTGGGTAGCCGAAGTATCGTCAAGCCGGCTGCGATACACGATCGGAAGTTAGCGCGGCAGAGGTTGGAATGATGAAATGATGTCTTGGCTGCCCTGGCACTCGTCCGTAAATCTGGGAAACAGCCTTTCCTCTCTGATGACACCCTATCTGATAAAAAAAGCACCAACAGGCAGCAGGCAATCCCTGTTATGTGACAGTTGACACAGGAATGTCGAGGACGAACCGCTCGGCACTCGAGCAGTCCTCAGTCCGGAGGCGCAGACACTCTTGCGGTTCGAGGGTTTCATATGCTCTTGCCTTGGCCTTGTTGTGGTGTCCCCCCCGTTTTGCTTCCAGCTGGAGCAAGGAGGCAAGGCATCGATGTTCAAGTCCTTGTAGAGGGCCACACGTATCAAGCCCTCGCCGGAAATCGGAAATCGGCCCTGGTACAGGAGCCACTCGAAGCCAGGTTCAGGTGCAGGGAGCTAAAATTGCCCCTGCAGTGGGGGACAAGAGAGACATTCAGGCATCGAGGTCCTGGACCCGTTGTTAACCCACCTGCAACTACCTCTTGGTTCGCTCACCAGAGCAAGCGCAGCGGCTTCCCCGAGGAATGGGGAATGTTGAGGAACCCACAAAGCAATAAATCAGAAAAGAAGAGAGGGCAGATGTGGCGTAAGTTGTCTCTGCAATTTGTTGTGGTTTTTGTTGTGTCGTTCTGTGTTGGTGTGCGATCTTTCAACTTTCAACCGATGTTCCTGGGGGTCTTTGGGATCAAGTGGCGAGAGATACCTGAGCACTGCCATGCGAGCCTCTTCCGTGTGCCTCGGGAATGGAACGTTTGGTGCCAGCGGTGTATACACGATTTACTGGGCCCCCTAAGAGACATCAACAACGCATACCCAGCAGGAGGGCTCCTGCAAGTTTACAAGAGCAACGCACGCCTGTTTTCAGATGTCATCACACTTCTGGTCTCCTAGCTCGAACACGCAGGTTCGGGAAGGAGCTGAGAGCCGCCATAGTAAGTTTCTTGCCCCAGAGTCCTATAGATTCTCACAGAGATTGAACTCGTGACGCTCATGCCAGGCTGCAAAAGCTCTGACTGGCGGCGAGCTCTCAGTTGCGGAGACCGTGTTGTGGGGGCGGAGGGCCTGCTTTTAAAGCTTGGCGGGCACAGACTTGAAAGAGTTTAAGTGTGAGGTCCAAGGCGCGGCAACAAGAAGTTTCTCGTAGCACACGATCACGTCGTGACACGTCTTTCCTCTGAATCTTAAATATTCTGCCACAGTTGCCTATAGTTGCCTGTATGTTGCCTTTAATGTTGTGCTGCCTGCTGTGTGTGGTCCTCTGAATGTTGTGCTGCCCGCCGGCGCGTCAGTCAAAAAAACCCACTTGTCGGACCGTCGGGTTTAGGGTTTAGAGTGAGTACCCTTTGCAGCTTTTGGGCCGAAACTTCGAGCAGGAGCTGTTGAAGGTCGATGAATCCTCTGCTTTGTCGGAGGCCCTGCGCGAGGAAGGCACAAAGGGTGGTGCTAGAGCGGCGTCCTTTCGGCATTTCAGCTGCGTGGTCCAGTCAGACCCGGCCAAGGCAGGCGGAGGCTGAAAGTTTAGGGATGGCCGGCTTAAAAGCGATCAAGTATATCGAGACGTGGGACACAGTGGGGTGCATGGCAGAACCGAAGCTGCATCAGTGGGAGCATAGAAGTGACAGAAGCGACGTCCGCATTTTTTGGGAGTCACATTGGAAGGTGTCTGTAGAGTCTGTAGAGGCCTTCCAGAGCCTTTAAGGCCACAAGTGGACTTGCATTCTGCTCCGCGCAGGCCTCACCACACACGGGGCAGAGAAGGAGGCGCTTGTCCGGCACATGAGCCTGTCCATCATGCAGTGAACATATAGGGGCCCGAATGTTTTCGGGGGATTAGTAGAGTGTAAATATCAAGGGACCATAAGGGAATCTTATGATAACCTATTCCGACCCCTATATGACTTAGGGCTTCGGGTGCCTTCAGCTTTGGGCCTAAGCAACCCTAAGCCAGGCCAGGGACTTGAGGAGCTTTGGGTTTGGCAAGCAGCCTCGAAACACATGTTCTGTACGAGGAGCTGCTACTGTGCCCTGCTCCCTTGTTTTGTGTTCGTTTTAGGAGCTTGGAGGGTCGTGTTGTGGAGCTCCGGTTCAGCTGGCTCGTGGTGTTCTCAGGATGTGCTTGGGGGTTTTTTGCGTGTTTTAACGGCTTAGTTACGGGCATCCTGCACGGCTGGTCATGTGCTGGCTTGAGACTTGGAGTTCCGCTGGAGGGCGCTCAGTCTTTGCCCCCTGTGCGCACGGAGAACCGCAAGCGTTAAACCACAAGCCCTGGCCGCCTGGATCTCAGATTCCTTAGAAAGCACGCGCTGCCAATTCAAGGCTGGGCAGAGTGCCGAGGGCGACGAGCCCCCGCAGGACTGTGTTCGGGAGTTTAATTTAGCAGGGGCCCCTGAAAAGGGTTTGCTATGAGACCAGCTGACATAAGCATCATGAGCATCAGCTGCCCAGGCCCTCAGCGTTGAAGGCCAAGTGGACGAGCATCATGAGCATCAGCCGCCCAGGCCTGTCAGCATTTTCATTTAAAGCCAAGGCGTGAGCGAGCCAGCATTGCAAGCCAAGTAGGCGAGCATCATGAGCATCAGCCGCCCAGGTCCTTAGCATTCAAAACCAAGTGGGCGAGCATCATGAGCATCAGCTGCCCAGGCCCTCAGCGTTGAAGGCCAAGTGGACGAGCATCATGAGCATCAGCCGCCCAGGCCTGTCAGCATTGTCATTTAAAGCCAAGGCGTGAGCAAGCCAGCATTGCAAGCCAAGTAGGCGAGCATCATGAGCATCAGCCGCCCAGGTCCTTAGCATTCAAAACCAAGTGGGCGAGCATCATGAGCCAGTAGCATTCAAAACCAAGTGGGCGAGCATCATGAGCATCAGCTGCCCAGGCCCTCAGCGTTGAAGGCCAAGTGGACGAGCATCATGAGCATCAGCCGCCCAGGCCTGTCAGCATTTTCATTTAAAGCCAAGGCGTGAGCAAGCCAGCATTGCAAGCCAAGTAGGCGAGCATCATGAGCATCAGCCGCCCAGGTCCTTAGCATTCAAAACCAAGTGGGCGAGCATCATGAGCATCAGCTGCCGAGGCCCTCAGCGTTGAAGGCCAAGTGGACGAGCATCATGAGCATCAGCCGCTCAGGCCTGTCAGCATTTTCATTTAAAGCCAAGGCGTGAGCAAGCCAGCATTGCAAGCCAAGTAGGCGAGCATCATGAGCATCAGCCGCCCAGGTCCTTAGCATTCAAAACCAAGTGGGCGAGCACGAGCATCATGAGCATCAGCCGCCCAGGCCTGTCAGCATTTTCATTTAAAGCCAAGGCGTGAGCAAGCCAGCATTGCAAGCCAAGTAGTCGAGCATCATGAGCATCAGCCGCCCAGGTCCTTAGCATTCAAAACCAAGTGGGCGAGCATCATGAGCATCAGCTGCCCAGGCCCTCAGCGTTGAAGGCCAAGTGGACGAGCATCATGAGCATCAGCCGCCCAGGCCTGTCAGCATTTTCATTTAAAGCCAAGGCGTGAGCAAGCCAGCATTGCAAGCCAAGTAGGCGAGCATCATGAGCATCAGCCGCCCAGGGCCCTAGCATTCAAAACCAAGTGGGCGAGCATCATGAGCATCAGCTGCCCAGGCCCTCAGCGTTGAAGGCCAAGTGGACGAGCATCATGAGCATCAGCCGCCCAGGCCTGTCAGCATTTTCATTTAAAGCCAAGGCGTGAGCAAGCCAGCATTGCAAGCCAAGTAGGCGAGCATCATGAGCATCAGCCGCCCAGGTCCTTAGCATTCAAAACCAAGTGGGCGAGCATCATGAGCATCAGCCGCCCAGGTCCTTAGCAATCAAAACCAAGTGGGCGAGCATCATGAGCATCAGCTGCCCAGGCCCTCAGCGTTGAAGGCCAAGTGGACGAGCATCATGAGCATCAGCCGCCCAGGCCTGTCAGCATTTTCATTTAAAGCCAAGGCGTGAGCAAGCCAGCATTGCAAGCCTAGTAGGCGAGCATCATGAGCATCAGCCGCCCAGGTCCTTAGCATTCAAAACCAAGTGGGCGAGCATCATGAGCATCAGCTGCCCAGGCCCTCAGCGTTGAAGGCCAAGTGGACGAGCATCATGAGCATCAGCCGCCCAGGCCTGTCAGCATTTTCATTTAAAGCCAAGGCGTGAGCAAGCCAGCATTGCAAGCCAAGTAGGCGAGCATCATGAGCATCAGCCGCCCAGGTCCTTAGCATTCAAAACCAAGTGGGCGAGCATCATGAGCATCAGCTGCCCAGGCCCTCAGCGTTGAAGGCCAAGTGGACGAGCATCATGAGCATCAGCCGCCCAGGCCTGTCAGCATTTTCATGTAAAGCCAAGGCGTGAGCAAGCCAGCATTGCAAGCCAAGTAGGCGAGCATCATGAGCATCAGCCGCCCAGGGCCCTAGCATTCAAAACCAAGTGGGCGAGCATCATGAGCATCAGCTGCCCAGGCCCTCAGCGTTGAAGGCCAAGTGGACGAGCATCATGAGCATCAGCCGCCCAGGCCTGTCAGCATTTTCATTTAAAGCCAAGGCGTGAGCAAGCCAGCATTGCAAGCCAAGTAGGCGAGCATCATGAGCATCAGCCGCCCAGGTCCTTAGCATTCAAAACCAAGTGGGCGAGCATCATGAGCATCAGCCGCCCAGGTCCTTAGCAATCAAAACCAAGTGGGCGAGCATCATGAGCATCAGCTGCCCAGGCCCTCAGCGTTGAAGGCCAAGTGGACGAGCATCATGAGCATCAGCCGCCCAGGCCTGTCAGCATTTTCATTTAAAGCCAAGGCGTGAGCAAGCCAGCATTGCAAGCCTAGTAGGCGAGCATCATGAGCATCAGCCGCCCAGGTCCTTAGCATTCAAAACCAAGTGGGCGAGCATCATGAGCATCAGCTGCCCAGGCCCTCAGCGTTGAAGGCCAAGTGGACGAGCATCATGAGCATCAGCCGCCCAGGCCTGTCAGCATTTTCATTTAAAGCCAAGGCGTGAGCAAGCCAGCATTGCAAGCCAAGTAGGCGAGCATCATGAGCATCAGCCGCCCAGGTCCTTAGCATTCAAAACCAAGTGGGCGAGCATCATGAGCATCAGCTGCCGAGGCCCTCAGCGTTGAAGGCCAAGTGGACGAGCATCATGAGCATCAGCCGCTCAGGCCTGTCAGCATTTTCATTTAAAGCCAAGGCGTGAGCAAGCCAGCATTGCAAGCCAAGTAGGCGAGCATCATGAGCATCAGCCGCCCAGGTCCTTAGCATTCAAAACCAAGTGGGCGAGCATCAGAGCGAGCCAGCATTGCAAGCCAAGTAGGCGAGCATCATGAGCATCAGCCGCCCAGGTCCTTAGCATTCAAAACCCAGTGGGCGAGCATGAGCATCAGCTGCCCAGGCCCTCAGCGTTGAAACCCAGTGGACGAGCATCATGAGCATCAGCCAAGGCGTGAGCAAGCCAGCATTGCAAGCCAAGTAGGCGAGCATCATGAGCATCAGCCGGCCAGGTCCTTAGCATTCAAAACCAAGTGGGCGAGCATCATGAGCATCAGCTGCCCAGGCCCTCAGCGCTGAAGGCCAAGTGGACGAGCATCATGAGCATCAGCCGCCCAGGCCTGTCAGCATTTTCATTTAAAGCCAAGGCGTGAGCAAGCCAGCGTTGCAAGCCAAGTAGGCGAGCATCATGAGCATCAGCCGCCCAGGTCCTTAGCATTCAAAACCAAGTGGGCGAGCATCATGAGCATCAGCTGCCCAGGCCCTCGGCGTTGAAGGCCAAGTGGACGAGCATCATGAGCATCAGCCGCCCAGGCCTGTCGGCATTTAAAGCCAAGGCGTGAGCAAGCCAGCATTGCAAGCCAAGTAGGCGAGCATCATGAGCATCAGCCGCCCAGGTCCTTAGCATTCAAAACCAAGTGGGCGAGCATCATGAGCATGAGCCTGTTAGCATTTTCATTCAAAGCCAAGGCGTGAGCAAGCCAGCATTGCAAGCCGAGTAGGCGAGCATCATGAGCATCAGCCGCCCAGGTCCTTAGCATTCAAAACCAAGTGGGCGAGCATCATGAGCATCAGCTGCCCAGGCCCTCCGCGTTCAAGGCCATCATGAGCATCAGCCGCCCAGCCCTGTCAAGGCGTGAGCAAGCCATCATTGCAAGCCAAGTTGGCGAGCATCATGAGCATCAGCCGCCCAGGTCCTTAGCATTCAAAACCAAGTAGCGCATCATGAGCATCAGCTGCCCAGGCCCTCAGCGTTGAAGGCCAAAGTGGACGAGCATCATGAGCATCAGCCGCCCAGGCCTGTCAGCATTTAAAGCCAAGGCCTGAGCAAGCCAGCATTGCAAGCCAAGTAGGCGAGCATCATGAGCATCAGCCGCCCAGGTCCTTAGCATTCAAAACCAAGTGGGCGAGCATCATGAGCATCAGCTGCCCAGGCCCTCAGCGTTGAAGGCCAAGTGGACGAGCATCATGAGCATCAGCCGCCCAGGCCTGTCAGCATTTTCATTTAAAGCCAAGGCGTGAGCAAGCCAGCATTGCAAGCCGAGTAGGCGAGCATCATGAGCATCAGCCGCCAAGGTCCTTAGCATTCAAAACCAAGTGGGCGAGCATCATGAGCATCAGCTGCCCAGGCCCTCAGCGTTGAAGGCCAAAGTGAGCATCATGAGCATCAGCCGCCCAGGCCTGTCAGCATTTAAAGCCAAGGCGTGAGCGACCCAGCATTGCAAGCCAAGTAGGCGAGCATCATGAGCATCAGCCGCCCAGGCCTGTCAGCATTTTCATTTGAAGCCAAGGCGTGAGCGAGCCAGCATTGCAAGCCAAGTAGGCGAGCATCATGAGCATCAGCCGCCCAGGCCTGTCAGCATTTTCATTTGAAGCCAAGGCATGAGCAAGCCAGCATTGCAAGCCAAGTAGGCGAGCATCATGAGCATCAGCCGCCCAGGTCCTTAGCATTCAAAACCAAGTGGGCGAGCATCATGAGCATCAGCTGCCCAGGCCCCCCCTCAGCGTTGAAGGCCAAGTGGACGAGCATCATGAGCATCAGCCGCCCGCGTGAGCAAGCCAGCATTGCAAGCCAAGTGGGCGAGCATCATGAGCATCAGCCGCCCAGGCCCTTAACATTTAAAACCAAGTGGGCGAGCATCATGAGCATCAGCTGCCCAGGCCCTCAGCATTCAAAACCAAGTGGGCGAGCATCATGAGCATCAGCTGCCCAGGCCCCCAGCGTTGAAGGTCAAGTGGACGAGCATCATGAGCATCAGCCGCCCAGGCCTGTCAGCATTTTCATTTAAAGCCCAGGCGTGAGCAAGCCAGCATTGCAAGCCAAGTAAGCGAGCATCATGAGCATCAGCCACCCAGGTCCTTAGCATTCAGAACCAAGTGGGCGAGCATCATGAGCATCGGCTGCCCAGGCCCTCAGCGTTGAAGGCCAAGTGGACGAGCCGCCCAGGCCTGTCAGCATTTAAAGCCAAGGCGCCAGCAAGCCAGCATTGCAAGCCAAGTAGGCGAGCATCATGAGCATCAGCCGGGTCCTTAGCATTCAAAACCAAGTCGGCGAGCATGATGAGCATCAGCTGCCCAGGCCCCCCCCCCCCCCCCCCCCCCCCCTCAGCGTTGAAGGCCAAGTGGAGCATAATGAGCATCAGCCGCCCAGGCCTGTCAGCATTTTCATGAGCATCAGCCGTGCAGGTCCTTAGCAGCATGAGCATCAGCTGCCCAGGCCCTCAGCGTTGAAGGCCAAGTGGACGAGCATCATGAGCATCAGCCGCCCAGGCCTGTCAGCATTTTCATTTTAAGCCAAGGCGCCAGCAAGCCAGCATTGCAAGCCAAGTAGGCGAGCATCATGAGCATCAGCCGCCCAGGTCCTTAGCATTCAAAACCAAGTGGGCGAGCATCATGAGCATCAGCTGCCAGGCCCTCAGCGTTGAAGGCCAAGTGGACGAGCATCATGAGCATCAGCCGCCCAGGCCTGTCAGCATTTTCATTTAAAGCCAAGGCGTGAGCAAGCCAGCATTGCAAGCCAAGTAGGCGAGCATCATGAGCATCAGCCGCCCAGGTCCTTAGCATTCAAAACCAAGTGGGCGAGCATCATGAGCATCGGCTGCCCAGGCCCTCAGCGTTGAAGGCCAAGTGGACGAGCATCATGAGCACCAGCCGCCCAGGCCTGTCAGCATATTCATTTAAAGCCAAGGCGTGAGCAAGCCAGCATTGCAAGCCAAGTAGGCGAGCATCATGAGCATCAGCCGGGTCCTTAGCATTCAAAACCAAGTCGGCGAGCATCATGAGCATCAGCGCCCAGGCCCCCCCCCCCTTCAGCGTTGAAGGCCAAGTGGACGAGCATTATGAGCCAAGGCGTGAGCAAGCCAGGCCAAGTAGGCGAGCATCATGAGCATCAGCCGCCCAGGCCCTTAACATTCAAAACCAAGTGCGCGAGCATCATGAGCATCAGCTGCCCAGGCCCTTAGCATTCAAAACCAAGTGGACGAGCATCATGAGCATCAGCCGCCCAGGCCTGTCAGCATTTAAAGCCAAGGCGCCAGCAAGCCAGCATTGCAAGACAAGTAGGCGAGCGTTGAAGGCCAAGTGGACGACCATCCTGAGCATCAGCCGCCCAGGCGAAAGCCAAGGCGTGAGCATTGCAAGCCAAGTAGGCGAGCATCATGAGCATCAGCCGCCCAGGCCCTTAGCATTCAAAACCAAGTGGGTGATTGGGCGAGCATCATGAGCAGCTGCCCAGGCCCTCAGCTTTGAAGGCCGAGTGGACGAGCGTCCTGAGTCCTGAGCATCAGCCGCCCAGGCCTGTCAGTGGCTTGCATCATGAGCATCAGCCGCCCAGGCCCCTAGCATTCAAAAACAAGTGGGCGAGCATCATGAACATCAGCTGGTGTATGGAGAGCTGCCATGCTCTGGAATGCTCTCATGAAGTTCTCTGGACCATTGGACTTCTGTTTCGTGCTCTTTGTGGTCTCTGTGGTACATCTCAAGGAGGGTGCCTTGTTTGTCGCATGAGAGCATCTCGCTGGAGTTCAGGGGAGGCCCGGGACCTGTCGTGGAGTGAGTGCGCGGCCTGCGCACTGGTTTCGTTGTTCGTTGCGTTTTCTGGGGCCCCACAAGTCTGCAGGCCGACAGGACCCTCTTGCGTTTCTCTAGATTCGCGACTGCCAATACACATCATTGGACGAAGGCCATAAAAAGTTTATAAGCCACAACGTAGAATCAAGGAAATGCAAAAGAGGTTCCCCTCCCAAAGATACAAAGGAGAATAAAGAGGTTGCCGGTAAACACGCATAAAGAATAGAAGCTTCCGTTTCGAGGAGGTAACAGTTCTGTTCTCACAATGGAGAAACTTGAAGTTTCCCACTACCGGTAACATCAAAGGACACCGAAGCAAAAACAAAGAAAACTACCCAAACAAGCACAACACCCCACTTTATCTTGAATCTAGGTCATTTGGTATGTTGGAGTTCCTTTTCGTCCTTTTTGGTGGAGGCAGCGTGCCCGGGTCGCCATCCTCGAAACTCATTCACGTTTTTCGGACCTCGAGTCGTCTTTGCCAGCCTGGCTCGCGCTCGCATGTCAAAAGTCTCGACACTCGACAGGCATCGGGCATGTCGGGTTTGCGATCGACGTTTGGCGCTTCTGTTAAGACGTGTCCTCTCGCATCGCCGTTGTTACCCTCATCATGAGTTTTTGCGGTTAGCTGTGTTCTTGTTGCGAGAATGCCAGGACGATGCAGCTGGCCGCGGGAAGAAGAGGCAGTCTCAAGGATAGTACTTGTCATCGACGTGGTATTGTACTCTGCAATCAATCCTCAACGGTTTCAAACTTTTCAATGATGCCGACCACGCGGACATGTAGCAGGTGGGATGCTTGTAGGGTTTCGGGTTCAAACGGCTGAGCAGTTTCTTTGTGCTGCTTGTGACAGGACTCCAATAGTTTCTTGCAGGGCATTTTGCTTGTCGTGGCGCGATCACAATGCAGAGCCATTGAGTTGAGTTTGTTGATTTTACTCCTTAACGATGTGACTCTTGATACTCCAACCTCTGTAACGGCTCTAGCAGCCACAACCACAGCCACCACGGCGACCGCAACGACAGCTAGGTTTTGTCCGTAATCCTTTTCGCTTTTGCCACAACGCGTGTTCTCAGGCGCCGAGAGGCTGACGAACATGCACAGGCAGAGCCGGAAGATCCGAAGGAGGCTTCCTTGCTTCCTTGCTTGGCTTGGGAAGGACGGCGAAAGGGTTGTGGAGGGAGAAGATAGCGTCTTGCCCGCTTCGCATCCTTACAGACAGGCACGTGGCATCATAGGAGCGTTTGGCTTTAGGGATTCAGAGATCACCCGGGTGACGCCCCACAGTCTGATGCAAAACGGCAATTGTGTGGCTTGGCAGTTTGCATGAAGCTCGGGAGCGGGCCCAGGATCGATCAGTGATGGCTTTGCGGTTCCAGGTTTCTGGCTTTCGTGGGGTTTGGGGAGTGGCTGTAGGATGTGGATGGATATGCGGGGTCGTTCCGGGACTGGGATGTATGGCGGGATGGCGCAAGATCGGGTGGGTCTCGTGGGGGAAGCTTGATGTGGTCCTGTCCGCCAATCAGGAAGGCAAATGCCACTCAGTCATTCACGCCTCATTCTCATGAAAACGTCACGGTCCGCCAGGCGCTGCGCATGTATCACAGCCCCGAAGGGCATCCGCGCGCGTTGCCTAAAGCAAATGCCTTCTCACAGAACCATCACAAATTGCATACATAATTATCAGCCACACAATCCGTTAGACTCAGCAGCACAATCCGTTAGACTCAGCAGCTGGCGCTAAGCTTAAGGCGGCTGGGTGCACGGTGCACAATCGACAGCCGGCCGGCCCAGCACACATGTCCCCAGCAGAGGGCGGTGTGGAAGAGGCAGGTGATTGGGTCAGTCCAGTCCTGCCCTTTGCAAATGCTGACGCGGCTTCCCCACGACTTCGGGCCGCACAACAGCCTCACCGGACCTTCCCTTCTCCCCGTACCTGCGCCATGCATTCCATGCATCTCGACATGCGATGTACAAACTCCTCCTCTCATCTCTCCTCCGAGCGCCTCTTCTGTGAGCAATCAGCTCCAGCTCCTTTATTCTTCTTTCGCCCGCACACAAACAACACACCTGCTGTATTACTGGGCTGCGCTTAGTTTTGCATCCAATAGTAGGGTCGGAATTCAAGGACGGAGTCCCAACGCATGGCCGATGCCCGATGCACGAAGTAGCCGAGCAGCGACTCCAACTGCCAGAGCTAGTTCAACAACAAGTGGAAAAGAGAGGTACAAATCCCTTCGGCGAGCAACTACTTGAACTGTCACAGATTTGGTGCAAGTATATGTACAAAGCGCGATCGTTGGCTACGAAATCCAGCCGGTAGGCTTGACTTTACTAGAGCCCGCCCAGTATTTGGGACATATGCCATGGACTTGGCGCCTGTGGCTTTGAGACTTGGAGATCGGACAGGCTAATGCATTTCGGCGCACTTTCGGGATCTGGCAATCCCAAGCCCTCAAGTAAACCCCGAACCACGGTCAAGAAAAAGTCGCATAAAACTCAAGCTCTTCAATCCATAGCCTCAATGTCCTTTCGTTCTTGTTTTGCGAGGGCCAGGCATTCTCTTCGAGCATGCCCGCGGAGAACGAGTTCGATCTTTTTGAAACTCGGTGAGAGCTAGTGAAACAGTGCTTTGCAAGGCTTAGGGTTCAAGCTTTCACTCTAAGACTTTGGGGCTTCTGATCTGGTGACAAGAAACAGACAAGGACATCATTTCCGCGGAACGGCGGCGCGACGAGAAGAGGCTCGAGGTGCATCTGTCTGGCTTAAAACTGAAACGCGCATACGCAGGTGTAAGTTTCGGGTTTTAAGCGCTTGCCTGGTTTGCAGGGTCTTGTGTTCACTGCCGGTTTAGGGTTTAGGGTTTAGGGTTTAGGGTTTAGGGTTTAGGGTTTAGGGTTTAGTTTCTACTTGCAAAAGCAGGCCCCTCAGCAAAGAGGTTGTATTTCACGTCGGATTTCAAGACCTTGAACTTTCCAAGGGTGGATACCATAAAACCCCCAAAAGCCGAGGCCCAATTTTTGCTGCCACAACTTGTGAAGTCCCTGCTTCAAGTTTTCAACCGCCGACAAAGAAACCGACCAGCCTGCCAAGCCAAATAAAATCTGCCCCCTCGGAACTCGTGCTTTGGTTGCTTCCTTGCCATTTCCTTGTGCTGCAAGAATGAGGCCATGTCCACCCCGCCTGGAGCCAAGGAGGATGAACCTCCGGAGGACGGACTCCCTAGAAGGGTTTTGGGTTTAGGGTTTAAAATTTAGGGTTTAGGGGGGCTAACGGCGGCTGCGGGGGATTCCGAGGGAAATGGAAGTCCATGCTTCAAACCGCAGCTTACCGACATGGGCCACTATGCCCTAAAACCCTCTTTAAAAAACGCCCTGTAGAGGGTTGCTTAGGGGGATCATCAGGCCTCATAGCCCATGCTGGTATGTAGCTTGTGAGCTCGAAAGGCCAAGCCTGAGGCTGTCCGGAGTTCTACCGGGGGCAAAAACTGTTAGTGTGGTTGTTTTTACACCAATCCTTCCCCAGGCTTTCCACCACCGGAGCACCTAGGACATCAATCTTTCCAACTGCAGTTGCTCCGCAGTTGAAATTTGCCGCACCTCCTGGTTATTCTCTAAAGCACCATTGAAAAACAGCAAAAAAAGCACCGACAAAAAGCCGCTCTGTCATGGAGGAGAGCGCCGGCAAGCTGACGCCCTACAAGACCGACCTCGAGTACTTGGTGGATGCTGTGGAACTGGTTTCGCGAAAGGGACGCCTTTACCAGGTCCCACGGCCGCTGAAGCCCGTTGAAGCCCGCTGGGCTTAAGTGAACGGGAGGGAGGCGAACATATGCGAACATGTCATAGAAGCCTCCTCGCGTCTTTGTGAGCAGGCCGACATAGGTCGCCGCTCGTCCAGTTCATTGTGTAAAGTTATCTCGTCCTGCAAAAAGATCGTGGAAAGAAACGTTTTGACCACACAAAGCTCAACACACAAGCTGCGAAAGCGGTCTCCATGCGCTTTGGCCTCCGCAGAATCCAAGAATCCATCAAGCACCAAGTTTTCCGTAGACCCTTTTTTGCCGAGATCTCAGTTGAAATTTGAGTTTCGAAGCATCAGTGACGATTCCAACCTTTTTGGAAACCTTCAATTCCCTGATAGTCTTCACCTAAGCATGTTGTAACTATCAGCTCCGGGTGTTGAAGCCCAGACGTCCAAAGCTGTCTCACGACTGCAAGTCCAGCAGTGGATTGAGATTCAAAACTGGTGTCTTCGTACATGTTAACTGCCAGTCGTGTGGCAGCGTAGTTATTTTTGGTGATTGGAATCTTGCGAGTATGAAAAGTTATCATCTTTGAGTATCTTGGGTGTTGATCCGCACTAATTAGTCCCTGTACGGGCCGTAAAGCCCTCCCAAGCCACAAAGGTAAAGCAGAAGCTGGAAGAGAAGAAGACTGCATCTGTGGAAGGGGACGAAGAGCAGGAGGCCTTCGAAGCACTCACGTGTCGAACTCCAACACTTTGAAAGGCTTGGGGTTTCGGCATGTCAGGTTGGGGATTTCAGGTGGAAAGTGTCTGTTCAGAAGAGGAACGTTCCGGGCTTCTACCCGAAGACATATTGGATGCCTTCCATGCCATTTGTAGGATTCATTCGAGCCCCATCAGTGCAGCCACGAACACATGCCTTCCAAAATTAGTGACGTGCAAAGTACCCCGCCATGGTCTCGCGTAGTTTCTTGCCTCGACCGCCCTAATGTTCACAGGTTTGTGGGTGGACAGAGGTCTGTTGAGGCTCACCTGGGCAGTGCCGGAGGGCTTGGCTGTGCGCAGAGCTCTGTTTAAGGGCAGAAAGCTGGGCCCTCGAATCGCTTTCAGAGAAGCAAAGGTTCCCACATCCGGAGTGCCCACCCCCCCCCCGAAGCGTGGCAGCGCATCCCTGGAGTCCATTTTAGAGAATCTCTGGAGTGCCCAGCTCAAGAGGATCCCGCAGACTTCCGCGGTGTATCTCTGGAGTGTAGAATGTCAGGTGATGTCAGGTGACCCCTACATTTGGGGTTGGGCAAGTTTGAGGTATGTAGTCTTATCTTATGCTTTTTATGGGGGGGAGAGGGGACCGGGGAGCTGGGTATATGGTTCCTGTAAAGAAGCGCAAGTGAAAGATGCACAAACAGGAGCGCATTTTGCAGCCTTCTGCCTGTAGTCTACATGTAATCTGCCTTTAAATGAATCTCGGAGGACGGCTTTGCAGCGCCTTGGCAGCGGCGTCATGACGCCACACGTGAGCGGAGGAGGGCCCCTAGGCAGATCTGAGCATAGCCAAAAACCCACGAAGTTCTCAGCTTGATGGGCTAGGGTGCCGGACTCGTACAAGCAGACCAACGAAGCGTTCAAGGAGCAATTCGAAGCACGATTCTCCAACATGACGACAACAGCAGGTAGGCTGCATGTAATGCACAAGAAGGAGTCGAGCATTCTTGCATCGTCAGTGTGCCGATTTGACTGTCTGGTGCCGAGCGGTTGGGAACCGAGCACGGCGCAGTGGACCAAGCACTCATCCGCATCAGGCAGCCACGAATCACGCTGCAGTCTGTTGAGGTTGAGATGCGTCGTGAGGCATTGTGGGGCACATTATCCTCCAGCCAGTAGGCCACAACTTCGATTTTTTTACTGCCAACTCATGTGAAGCCCGTGGTAGACATCGAGGCTGGCTGCGTTTATGTTGTCACCTCGGCCACGGCATGAATCATCAATCCCCGATCACTGTGACCTCGGCTTGTCCCTGCGGAATGGTGCTCCGGCATCAGTGAGGGTGGCTGAGAATTAGGCCCACGCAAAGCTGCAAAGCCCCAAGCTTGGCTTAATGTCTCATCGAAACGGTCACAAGAAGCCTGACGAAGAACTTTCCTATAAACCTGAAAGAGAGTTGCTGAAGCCCTGCGCTGGAATCTCGGAAACACATGTAAACACGTCCCGGCAATGCACCCGGAGCCTTTAAAACCTCATCTCATGACTCTAAGGCTCGTGAGTTCGAAGGGCAGGTTCGGCAGCTTACCCGCAAGATCCAGGAGAGCGTCCGCCAGCGTTGGGAGTTTAATGAAGTAGTACTACACTTGTCGAGTTTCAGACGGCTTATGGCTTGCAGCTGCCTACATCTCTGCCCTCGTCCTGCCCCCTGTCATCCCTACTTCTCGGGGGAAGGAGCGTATGCGCCTCACTCGCGGGGCAACGGTGGATCAGCCCGAGTCCGTGGCAGCTCGCCAGCGTGTCGGGTGTGCAGCGTTTACTAAACTGATGTGTTCTGTCTTGTTGTTCCTGTGCAAGTAGGGATTCTACGGGTTGCTAACAACTTTCCCGGCTCTTTCGGAGCAAGTCGGCTACATTCGGCTGCATCCTGCAAGGCAATGCGGCATGTCGCCAACGTACCAGACCTCCTACAGCCCAACTCTGGGAAAAAACGTGCTGGACAGCCGTAGCTGCTGAACTCTAGCCTGGATGCGTCACTGTTCCGAGGTATGGGTCCCCCGATTGGAGCGAATCTTATCCTCCAGGCCATTCCGAACTGGTTCGGGCTGCTTCAGGACTTTCAGAACTAATGGCTACTTGTAGGTACTTGTAGGTTGAGGTCTAGCCCTTGAAGCTTGTCCAGTTCTGCCAGGGTTTTCCGGTATATGTGCATACAATATGATGTTCTGAGGCCTGGGTGTCGAGACCACAGGAGACATAGTTCAGGGTGTCAGTCGTTGTCCGTGCTGTAAGGGTTTTGGGAGAGTGAAGCTCGGCTCATGATTAGAAAACGGGTTTGACGTCCTGTCTTGCCAGGCAAATGAACGAGTTCGAGAAGGAAGTCGCCGCTCGGCCAAGCTAAGGCATGCTTCCGTTCAGGCCAACTGGTCTTTCCGACAGCGTGTCGAGGAAACTTGTGATGGCAGCCTTTAGTTACTTTAGTTGCCATATAACAGCGGCAGGCTTTAATATTTTCATGCGCAGCCAAAAGCAGCTATCAACATAAATAAATTCTGCCTTGAATCGTTACCTCGATGCCTCTGTGCAAAAAGAGAAAGGAGGTTTTTCCTTCACCGCTTGCAAGCCGCAGAGGTTATCCTACTCGTGGGACTCATCCTCTTGCCCCACAAGTTTTCCGTCAATGTGGGGGCTGGCGTATACCACTGCCGGGGAGAGCCTGCTGCTCACCTGTACCAAGCGGGTCCTTGTTTTTGCTCGCTGCTTTCTAGGCGCGGGGCGCTGCTTCACTTTCCGTGAACTTCCAGAGTTGAGATCAGGGGATTCTTCTCAGCGCGGCTGCTCAAGAGAGGGGTCTTGGCTTTGCTGCCCTCATCGGTAAGTAACCACAAAGGCTTAAAACAGATGCTGGATGGCTCCTCGTCCTAATACTCAGGGGTGGTCCCTTCCTGGGACTTAGCTCCGAGTAGGCTATTTCTTCTGCCACGCCCAGGTGGATGTGGCAACCATCCTTGCCTTTCTGTCCCCGGACCTGGCGAGCCAGATCTCCAATCGAAAGTCCTTCTACAAGGCGAGAAGGGTCATGAAGAGAGCAGAAGAGAGAGTGAGAGAATCGAGAGGGCTTTAAGAGGTTTAGGTTTAAGGGCTTGAAGGGGAGAAGTGAACTGGGGTTGGGCTGGTTTGCAGTTTACGGTGCTTGCGGTGTCTCGAGCTTTCAAAGCCCCAAGCTGCTGTAGGCCTTTTGATTCCCTTCCGGTGTGCCCAATGTGCGCTTAAGTCACTGAAAGTGTTCCACGTTCTGATACTGGAAGTTCGCAGGCAGACCTGAACAATGAATGATCTTTCAACCAAGATCAACCAAGTGTTTCTTCAACCAAGTTGTGGCTGCGGCATGATCAAGAACCTCCCGCTCAGAAGTCAGAAATCAGAACTGCCCCGCAGTTGTGAGAAATCCAGAAGCATTCGTCTGGCGCAGCTACTGCACGTGCACGTGCCAGCTTTTGAAGGATGCAGTGCTGGTCCGCGACCACATCATCCACGTGAGTACCAAGGGTGTGCAGGGAGACCTGGTTTGTTCAAGTATGCTCGCAGAATTGTACAGAATTTAAAGTCTGAGACAGACACCGAGAGATAGAGAGAGAGAGAGAGAGCGAGAGAGGGAGAGAGAAGGGGTGTTGTACCCTTCCTCAGGCCCCGTAGAAGAAGAAGAAGAAGAAGAAGAAGAAGAAAGGGGGGGGGGGGGTGCTGTGGCGGGCAGGCAGACCCGAGTAAGATGAATCCTGCAGTACTTAACTGACTGGTATCTTTCACAAAACTCGGAGAACCTCGATCTGAACGCAATGGGCCGTTTAAACGACACCCAATACCGGACATGGACACCGCAAACCAAGGGCGTGCTATCCGTCCCGCTATAGCCAAGCAAGCGGAGGGAGATAAAAAGGCACCAGGGGGGGAATGAGGCCTCCCGGATTTGTGCGGATATCCTTCGGTGCACACCGGGGGGGGGGGCAAGTGGGGCCGGGGGATGGGTGCTTGGCTCCAGCAAGCCTTCAAAAGTGAGCTCGAGGTCAACCACCTCCACATGACATTTAAAGTCATACGGCCAGTGGTCCTGGCAAACTTCTCTCCGGTTGTCGTTGGAGCCCATTTCCCTTGATACATGTTTTGCGATTTCAGGCGCTAAAGGGTTGTCATTGGATCTCGGTTCGGAACTTGGCATACGTGCACGAGTTGTGCACAAGTGTCCTCTTCGATCTGCGGCTTTTGACTGGGGCGTCTTGGGCTCCGTTTCGCCTCGTGGACGGTTTCCGAGCCAGCTCCATCTGAAGATCTCAAGGCCAGATCGAATCTTGTTTCGGATCCCGCGTCAAAAGGAGGGAAGTGTGCTTCTGTGTTCTGCACTGCTACAGTCGGATATCTGCACTGTTGAGTACGAATACCTACCCGGTAGGATACTGGCATGGCTTAAGCTCAGTCTTCGCCTCCTGCCTCTTAGGACCTTCTCAAAGCTCTTGCAGGGGATTGCATGGGTATGTCACGCTGTGTAGCCCAGGAGATCTGTCCTCATGTCCTGTGGAGATCGACCGGCGAATGGTGGATTTCATCGTCGGCTTGGATAGCGAAGTCCATCACCTGGTGGCCTCATCTTGAACTGATCCGGTGCATGCATGTGAACATGCATTCAGAAACTGCGCGTTTTTGGGCGCCCAGGGCAGTCCCAATGCTGGTGCCGAAAGTGCAACCGAGGTGGATGGTAGTCATCTGTACTTGCCCCAGACGAAGATGGACGCAGTAGTCCTCCCTGAGGCAAGCCCTCTAACGATTTCATCGAGTTAGCTGGTGGCTCGTGTGTTGCAGACCTCCGGCTAGCGGGTTTCAATGAACAGCGGTGAACCAAATCGCCATACAGTGTTGACAGCACTGTGTCTCGTTATGTATTCTCAGCACGTTCCTTGAAGCTCACAGCCAGACCCGAAACATTTGAAAGCTCATGTTAAGTTTTTCAGCACTCTAACGCCCTAAGCATGCCCTTACCCCTAAGCATGCCCTAGCGCCGCCAGTTCGGCAGGAGACCAAGACGCTTATCACGCGGACAGTCCGAAGCCTCAGCCTCTTCAAGAAGAGCAAGCAGCAGTTCAAGCTCCTCAGCGCCAAAAAATGGGGGAGCCAAAGCAAAGTAGCTGAGCTCTTGAAGTTCGCAGCTTGGGTAGAGCTTCAGTTTCTCCAGGACAAACGTATATGTCTGAAGGCTGTCCGAGACCATTTCCTCCTCCGGCCTTGTCATGCTCTTCTACGGCGACTCGGGCACGGGGTCGCTTGGCCCAGCCTTCTTAAGGGGTTTGGCTACTCGACTCTTCTCAAGGGACAGACAATGGGAGCGCGAGAGCACGTAGAAGAGCAAGGGATCTGAGCAAATGGGGCAAACAGAAGGTCGAAGCTAAGCCCGGCACCAAAAATCGCCAAGCCCCCCCCGCCCCCCCAAACTTCGGAATACTGAATCAACCAATAGGGACTCCCAGCTCCCTTCAACTCAAAACTCCGCAAGACTTGAAGCCCAAACCAGGAAGACAATGACGGCCAATGCCATCGCCAACCTCCTCGGCAAGAAGCTGTGTCTCGTTCAAGGTTTGGCGCGATGAGTTCCTCACAAGCTTCACAAAGAACTTTCATCGGAGATTCAGAAATTTGATCACTTCCAGATCCTGAAGCCAGGGGATGCCAGAGGGATGCAGGGATGTAGGATGGGGACAAAGCGGCATGAGCGAACTTTTGAGCTTCGTCGGGCAGACCTGTTGTGGCACTATATTGCTGTCAGACTGTCATCCGCAGCACGCAGGGACAAGCTTGCGAGGAAATATTGCTTCAGGCAGGGTAGGGGGACCTTTGAAGACTAACGCCTCTCAACCTTAGCGACGCCTGTCGTCGGCGGCTTGCGTAGCTTCGCAGATCACTGTGGTGGGTTGAGGAAAGAGTGTGAAAAGCCATGTCTTAAGCCATCCAAGGTTGCTCATCAACTTCCCCTCGCTCGGAGGTGAGCAGGCTCCTCAAATCCGATAGCGAAACCTTTACACTGCCTTGGGCCCCCCAAAGCCCCCCCAAGAAGGAGAATCTTGATGGCAGGGACCTCCTTGCATCGCTTTAGTTAAGTTAGGAAAAAATCAGGCTCAGAAATGTTGTGCATCACAGGCTTTACAGGTTTGCAGTCTCACGAGTCAACGATGCGATTCATTGTTTGCGTATACATGATTCATGTACGTGGCCAGCCAGCATCAAACCGGTGTCTTAATGTGAAAGTTCCAAACCCCAAGTACCTACTTAGCCTGGAAACCCGAACTAAGCCGAAGCCAGCAAACTGAACTCCAGCTCTCCGCAAGCTTCACCGTCTGTCATCGCTCAGTCACCCCACTGAAGCCAGCATGAAGGTCTCAAGCCGTGAGAGCAGCTCGATAGGCTATCGATGTGAGGTTAGGTTAGGCTTCTTCTCCTTACATCCAGAAGAAAACCGTCTCCACAGCTCTCTGACTGGGCGGCAGGCAGCTGGCTTCGTGAGGATGACGCTGTATGCACTTCAGACATGGGGGTCTCCGGATCACTGGGCTTTTGTTCCCACAAGCACTCCAAATCAACGAACAAGTGAACAACAAACAATCCGGCAAGTGGCAAACAAGCGGGCAACAACACCCAACTCAACTCAACACATAATAGTAGGCTCATCTGCGAGCTTCGTGAACCAAGGATTTTTCGCGAGTCAAAGATTAACGACGCTGCGTCTCGGCAGCCACAGTGCAGCTTGTTTATGGCTTTCTCCTGGTTCGATAGCTTGACGGCGAGATTGAGTTTCGTTCTGTTGCTTTCGCAAAAAGACTTAGGACGTAGGTAATGTTGAAATCGGGGCCCCCCAGGCAGTTGTGCCGTCTACAGGATATCAGCCTTAGTTCTTTTGCATGGGAGACTCGAGTCACTTTGCGTCCTGTCGTACAAGCAAACAAGTCACAGCGTATGATCATTTGGCTATGGTCAATGCGCACTACAGGCCCGAAAAACCATGCCACTCACATGTTCCGTCCATCTCGTCAATCCTACATCCGAATCCCCAAGCCGGTGGCCGTCGGGAAGGCACTGGAGAAACTAGGCAGTTTGAAAACAAGAGCAACGTCGGAGGCATAAATCACCACTTATGCAGCCCCCAACCCCAAGTTTACTGCCCCGCCTTCCCTGAAGAATCCCATTACATTTGGACTTATTTCATGTTGTTCCTGTTTGGAAGATGCTTTGGGAGTGTATGTCCCCGATCCCCCGATCCGCGAAGGTCCTCTTCTTTGACGAGTGCGAGTCGATCTTCGAGTCACGAGACCGCTCCACGCAGCGCGATGTAGCTGGGCGCAGCCAAAGCTTTGACAATTTTCATTGGGGTGCATTCGGTTACAGGTCTCCAGGATCGCATCTAGCAGACGTTCCACCTCCGCATATGGCATAAGGGTTCTGCTTGGGGAGGGAGGATGTCCAGGCATGATTTTGATTGACATGAGATGTCTGAGGTCAACATGCTGCTGACGGAACTGGAGCGTCATGACGGTGCCTCAAACTTCTGAAGCTGATGGGCTTCTCGTGTTTGGAGAATTTGCAGAGCTTATATGGGTCATGTCAGCTAGGGCATGAGATGAGTCTGTTTGGGCGGTTCTGCAATGTAGGGATATCCCTAACTTGGCAGCTTCGGATCGGTTTCGATTCTGCGAACATCCTTATAAGCCAAGGTATGATTATCCTGGCGACAAATCGACCTTTCGATCTGGATGAAGCCATGCACCGGCGAATTACACTGGCCATCGAGTTCTCGAAGCCGGATGCCTGTCTTGTTATGTGTTCGCGAGTCCTTTTTCCAAAATGAGCAACAATCTCCCCCCCAGATCCCCTTGAGAGCCCTTGCCATACTTGTATCAAGTCCAAGGCAGAAGATCGGTGGAGCCTTTGAGCATCTGAGCATTCTACGAAAGTGTACCTGAAGCACAAGCTCTTAGACTTCACCACACACGTGTACTAAAACTCCCAGGCCGATTCCATTAAGAGCATCATGAGCATCAGCCGCCCAGGCCCTTTGCATTCAAAACCAAGTGGGCTCATGAGCATCAGCTGCCCAGGCCCTCAGCGTTGAAGGCCAAGTGGACCTTCAAAACCAAGTGAGCGAGCATCATGAGCATCAGCTGCCCAGGCCCTCAGCGTTGAAGGCCAAGTGGACGAGCATCATGAGCATCAGCCGCCCAGGCCTGTCAGCATTTTCATTTAAAGCCAAGGCGTGAGCAAGCCAGCATTGCGAGCCAAGTAGGCGAGCATCATGAGCATCAGCCGCCCAGGTCCTTAGCATTCAAAATCAAGTGGGCGAGCATCATGAGCATCAGCTGCCCAGGCCCTCAGCGTTGAAGGGCAAGTGGACCTTCAAAACCAAGTGAGCGAGCATCATGAGCATCAGCTGCCCAGGCCCCTCAGCGTTGAAGGCCAAGTGGACGAGCATCATGAGCATCAGCCGCCCAGGCCTGTCAGCATTTTCATTTAACACCTAGGCGTGAGCAAGCCAGCATTGCGAGCCAAGTAGGCGAGCATCATGAGCATCAGCTGCCCAGGTCCTTAGCATTCAAAACCAAGTGGGCAAGCATCATGAGAATCAGCTGCCCAGGCCCTTAGCATTCAAAACCAAGTGGGCGAGCATCATGAGCATCAGCTGCCCAGGCCCTCAGCGTTGAAGGCCAAGTGGACGAGCATCATGAGCATCAGCTGCCCAGGCGTTGAAGGCCAAGTGGACCTTCAAAACCAAGTGAGCGAGCATCATGAGCATCAGCTGCCCAGGCCCTCAGCGTTGAAGGCCAAGTGGACGAGCATCATGAGCATCAGCCGCCCAGGCCTGTCAGCATTTTCATTTAAAGCCAAGGCGTGAGCAAGCCAGCATTGCGAGCCAAGTAGGCGAGCATCATGAGCATCAGCCACCCAGGTCCTTAGCATTCAAAATCAAGTGGGCGAGCATCATGAGCATCAGCTGCCCAGGCCCTCAGCGTTGAAGGGCAAGTGGACCTTCAAAACCAAGTGAGCGAGCATCATGAGCATCAGCTGCCCAGGCCCGCGTTGAAGGCCAAGTGGACGAGCATCATGAGCATCAGCCGCCCAGGCCTGTCAGCATTTTCATTTAACACCTAGGCGTGAGCAAGCCAGCAGTGCGAGCCAAGTAGGCGAGCATCATGAGCATCAGCTGCCCAGGTCCTTAGCATTCAAAACCAAGTGGGCAAGCATCATGAGAATCAGCTGCCCAGGCCCTTAGCATTCAAAACCAAGTGGGCGAGCATCATGAGCATCAGCTGCCCAGGCCCTCAGCGTTGAAGGCCAAGTGGACGAGCATCATGAGCATCAGCTGCCCAGGCGTTGAAGGCCAAGTGGACCTTCAAAACCAAGTGAGCGAGCATCATGAGCATCAGCTGCCCAGGCCCTCAGCGTTGAAGGCCAAGTGGACGAGCATCATGAGCATCAGCCGCCCAGGCCTGTCAGCATTTTCATGTCAAGCCAAGGCGTGAGCAAGCCAGCATTGCGAGCCAAGTAGGGATGCTCAGCCGCCCAGGTCCTTAGCATTCAAAACCAAGTGGGCGAGCATCATGAGCATCAGCTCCCCAGGCCCTCAGCGTTGAAGGCCAAGTGGACCTTCAAAACCAAGTGGGCGAGCATCATGAGCATCAGCTGCCCAGGCCCTCAGCGTTGAAGGCCAAGTGGACGAGCATCATGAGCATCAGCCGCCCAGGCCTGTCAGCATGTAAGTGCCCCTCAGCATTGCAAGCCAAGTAGGCGAGCATCATGAGCATCAGCCGCCCAGGCCCTTAGCATTCAAAACCAAGTGGACGAGCATCATGAGCATCAGCCGCCCAGGCCCTTAGCCTTCAAAGCCAAGTGGGCGAGCATCATGAGAATCAGCTGCCCAGGCCCCTCAGCGTTGAAGGCCAAGTAGGCGAGCATCATGAGCATCAGCTGCGCAGGCCCTTAGCATGCAAAACCAAGTGAGCGAGCATCGTGAACATCAGCTGCCGAGGCCCCTCAGCGTTGAAGGCCAAGTGGACGAGCATCATGAGCATCAGCCGCCCAGGCCTGTCAGCATTTAAAGCCCAGGCGTGAGCAAGCCCTCAGCATTGCAGCCGCCCAGGCCCTTAGCATTCAAAACCAAGTGGGCGAGCATCATGAGCATCAGCTGCCCAGGCCCTCAATCAGCCGCCCAGGCCTGTCAGCATTCAAAGCCAAGGCGTGAGCAAGCCCTCAGCATTGCAAGCCAAGTAGGCGAAGCCGTAGACCCTGAGCCGCAAAACCTGAGATTTTGCCCTGGTGTGGCTAGTCTGCCTGGCGGGGGTGGCATAAAAAACCTGAAACGGCATGAGCCGCTAAGCTCCCCAAATAAGTGTGGGAGCGCCGCGAGCACCCTTACTACGACGGACCTTGTGAAAAACCTGTGAACCGACCATGCGGACAGCCAACTCCTTCAACGAATACAGAGGAGGTAGCCTTCAGGCTTGAGAAAACTTTAAAACCCTAAACCCTAAACAAAGCTCTCTGAGGATCACGTCCTGCGACAGCACATCTGGAAGTCGCTGCTGCCCTCGAGCCTGCCTCTGGCGAAGGACGTGGATCTGGCAGCCCTGGCGATGCGCTACGAGCTCTCAGGGGGTGCCCTAGTTCGCATGTTCGGGGGTGTCCGAAATTAGGGGTACCTTATTAGGGTCCTTATTATAAAGGGAATTCAAATGTTTGGGGGTCTATATTGGGGGTCCTCTAGATATTTTCGTAAACTTCCATTGAATGAGGGAGGGTGTCCAGAGGTTGGCAGGGGGTCTTTGCGGGCTTGGTGGTTACTGAAGTGGAGCAAAGAGCGGCGCATCAAGCAACCCTCGCCTTGTGGTAAGGACTTTCGAGTTTCCAGCAAAACAGTCTCTCACAGCCAGAGGCCCGAACTACGAAAGGACAGCCGCAGCCGACGCTAATTTCTGGGTTGCTTAAACCGGGCTCTTCCGCAAGCAGGGCCTCCCACTATCGCTGCAAGTCGAGCCAGGTTTTCCACTAGTCGATCTTGAGCATAAGCTGCGCCAACCCGTGTTCCTGCCTCTGCGCTGTAAGCACAAAGATGCACCTTTGATTGGAGGGCGATGTCTTGGCGTTATTTGAGTGTTGTTTCTTGCTCAAAATGGCTTGAGCTTTCTTTCCAAAGACATTTCGATCGGCATCAAACGGGAGGGGGGGGGTTCGATTGCGATGTCGCTCTTGTGTTACCTGAGAAAGCCCGAAGCCGCCTTCGCCCAATTGCGTAGGTTCCCTTACGCAATTTTCTGAGTAACGGCCCTGCAGAGCTGACGGTGCTCTCAGAAAGGAACCCAAAAACAAATCTCTCAAGAGAAATCTCCCCAAGATAAAGTGCTTCAGCTCCTCGAGCCTCGAGGTTTCATCAAGAATGCGATTCTGACAGCCTTGAGCATCGCCTGCGCGAGTGCAGAACAGAGTCGGGCAGGGACCTCGCCCGGCGACGTACACGTGACGCAGGAGACTTTCGCAGGGTGCTGGCAGCTGCAGCTGCGTTTGGTTTGTGAAGGTTTGTTTGGTTTCGAGAATTCCGGGCTTGGGGTTTTGCAGGTTCAGTTGCTGGCCTCTCAAACTCGTGGCCTTAAGGCTTCCGGTTGGTATTGGGAGTCGGCGCTTGTACAAGTTGTTGGCTGCAGCGGCATGATGTACATTGATGTATACTTGAATCTCACACACCTAGCACCCTAATCTCTGGACACCCGCCCCGCAAGTCCCCGCACTTTTGAAGCTCCGGCAGATTAGCCAGGTTGTGATTTGGTCAGCTCAAAGCCTTGCGAAGGAGGATTTGGCCAAGGGCGCGCAGCTGCAACTGCGGGGTGGCTTGGCTCCGACCGTTTAGTCTATAGTTATAGGGCTATAATCGGGATTTCTTGAACCTCCTACGGGGACTGGACACTTCATTTTGTATTTCGATGCGTGCTGCTCGGAGTCGGAGTTGGACCGACGAGCTCTGTTTATTCGGTGTTGAACCCCTGTTCCACCCTTTCGCGGTCCTTGCCCCCTTTATCTCCACATCCTTGAGCATACTGGCCTGGCCGAATTCGTTCGACATCCAGAAATGGGCCAAGGTTGCGGACGGAACAGCCACCATGCGACTCTTGTTGTTGATGATCATGTTGAATGTGGCGAATTGCACGACTATGACAAAACAAGGGGGCCGGCTCCTTGTAATCCCCAGTCGCGCTTGCCACACCAAAACATGTCAAGTTTCTTGCATAAATACGGATACCAAAAGTCGAAACACTGTAAACCCCAATCCATCCATGCCCAAACGCCCGAAGTCTTCCGGAACCTTCCAGGCCGCCTGGCCATGCGCAGCTTCGAGCGCCGCATCGTTCCCCGGAGTGGTCTGGAGTGCTTGGTGCCTTGGGTCGATTGGAGACAGCGCTGTCCTTACTGTTGCAGTTGTTACTCATGTCGGTTAAAAAAGTGTTTGGGTTTAGAGGTTCGTTGCAGACGGTACTAATTTCGCCTCAAGCAATTCCTGTTTGTAGAGCCTATATAGAGTCATATAGACCAAATGTAATCGCAGACCTGTACTGGTCGACTCTAACGGTGGGAATCGGCACACGATTTGTTGGTTTCGATTGTTAGCTGCGCTACTGGAGACAGGACTTTTTCGTCTCATTCCTCAATATCTGACCCAGCTGCCGAACGTCCCTTCTTTACTGCCAAGCTTGGCGTAGGCAAGGACAACTCGAACATATGCATGTGATTTCTTGTTGAAAACCGATTGAATCCAGTCATTGATGTCCCAAAAGAAGAAACAAAAGTTGTTTCAGTTTTTCGTTCATGGCGCTTGCAGCCGGCCAAAATACTTAGTGCATCACAGTCTGCGCCTATGTCCTCACGAAGGGTTGCTTTGCTGTGATACCGAATTGCAGCATATCTGACCCAGCCTGCCGAACGTCCCTTCTTTACTGCCAAGCTTGGCGTAGGCAAGGACAACTCGAACATATGCATGTGATTTCTTGTTGAAAACCGATTGAATCCAGTCATTGATGTCCCAAAAGAAGAAACAAAAGTTGTTTCAGTTTTTCGTTCATGGCGCTTGCAGCCGGCCAAAATACTTAGTGCATCACAGTCTGCGCCTATGTCCTCACGAAGGGTTGCTTTGCTGTGATACCGAATTGCAGCATATCTGACCCAGCCTGCCGAACGTCCCTTCTTTACTGCCAAGCTTGGCGTAGGCAAGGACAACTCGAACATATGCATGTGATTTCTTGTTGAAAACCGATTGAATCCAGTCATTGATGTCCCAAAAGAAGAAACAAAAGTTGTTTCAGTTTTTCGTTCATGGCGCTTGCAGCCGGCCAAAATACTTAGTGCATCACAGTCTGCGCCTATGTCCTCACGAAGGGTTGCTTTGCTGTGATACCGAATTGCAGCATATCTGACCCAGCCTGCCGAACGTCCCTTCTTTACTGCCAAGCTTGGCGTAGGCAAGGACAACTCGAACATATGCATGTGATTTCTTGTTGAAAACCGATTGAATCCAGTCATTGATGTCCCAAAAGAAGAAACAAAAGTTGTTTCAGTTTTTCGTTCATGGCGCTTGCAGCCGGCCAAAATACTTAGTGCATCACCGTCTGCGCCTATGTACTCACGAAGGGTTGCTTTGCTGTGATACCGAATTCCAGCATCAAGTTTACACCCACCGCCAGTTTTGCCCAAGACCGCATGAGCTTGCAAAGTATCGGAAAAATGGTGCGCCACCAATGGGCTCACGCTTGCAACGATGAGCGCAAACTGGAGGCGGCACTCAAGGCTGGCAGGGGCTTAGGGTTTGTTGTTGTGGAACTTCTTTGCGCACAGGCTGTTTTAGTAGAAAATCTTGTAAACATGTTACATTCCGTGCATGACATTTGTAGTTCGCATGCAAGTAGGCAACTTGGACGTCAGTTCCCCCAAGCTGAAACCAAGTCATGACAGGAGGATGCCAAGAACGATGCCGTTGAGTTTGATGTTTCCGGTCACTTTGTGAGACATTGGCCTTGGCAGGAGCCGGATTTGCCGTTTGAGAAGGCCTTGTGCATGATTTGTGAATCAAAGTCTCGCAAGTACATCAAGATTGACTTCAAAGACATTCGTTCCGTCGAGGAGGGCTTGCCCCTTCTGAAGGAGTACGCTATCTCAGAAACTGGTCATGTTGTCTGTCTCAATGCTGATGTCTGCCTGGGGCCAAAGCTGTGGCTACCTGTGTCAGTACTTCTCACCATTCTTCATTTCTGCATATGGTGCTGTCACAGCACAAAAGCCTTGGCGGGTTTCGGCATATTCATGCAACTTCTTTCTGGTCTAGAAAGGTTTCTTGGCGGGTGCGTCAATGTGCTTCAGCCCATTGATCCTCGTCGGTTCATCAATCAGGTTGTCAAGCACTGCCCAGGTGCGCATGTCAGCCTCGGATGGAAAACCATATATCTTCTGGGAAGCTATGCTCCAAAGCACTGCGAACAGATGAGAAAGGTGTGCGGCATGTGCGACCAAGAGGGGTTTCGCGCCCACATTGTTCTGGCCATGTGTGCCAGACCAGCTTTGCGCAGCCACCCGAAAGACCTCATCGATTCTTTGGAGAGCATTTTGCGGGCTCACGACGCAGAGCTCCTCCTCTGGACAGGCCATGGGGAGCCTTATCTTCGTCCAGACGAGCACGAGAAGCTTCGGCTTTTCTCGAAGGAAATCAACAATCGGGGGCTGCGCTGCAGCCACGATGTTCGGTGACAGCTCAGAATGATCAGCGTTCGAGCAATCACTTTTCAGAACTTGAGCCGGGCCGTAGACGCATATGTAGCTGTGTGTTCATTGCTGCTCAAAACGGTCACCGTCGGAACGGTCAGTCTAGAGGCTCGCATACTGAAAACCGGCAGGAGTTTCTACTATAGGTGGAACACCTGCACGAGCTTTCAGAAGTTGAACAGGGCCGTAGACGCAAATGTAGCTGGGTGTTCATTGCTGCTCAAAATGGTCACCGTCGGAACGGTCAGTCTAGAGGCTCGCACACTGAAACCGGCAGGAGTTTCTACTATAGGTGGAACACCTGCACGAGCTTTCAGAAGTTGAACAGGGCCGTAGACGCAAATGTAGCTGGGTGTTCATTGCTCACATACACGAGCAAATCACCTTTCAGAAGTTTTGCCGGGCCGTAGACGCAAATGAGGCTATGTCACGGCCCATGCTGATGGGATGGGAGGGACGCTACGCACAGGAAAAGTGCCCCTGCTCATTCACTGTCAGAACGGTCATTGTCCAGATTGGACCGTCATTAGTAATTGATGTATCAGGCTTCTACCCAGCTGGAACACTTGCATGAGCAAGTCACTTTTCAGAAGTTGAGCCAGGCAGTGCCTGTGCTCTTCACCGATGGGAGGACCACTCAGTCCGCACCCACAAGAAAAGTGCCCGTGCTCATTCACTGTCAGAACGGTCATTGTACAGATTGGACCGTTCTTGATGAAGAGTTCAAAAAACTTTCAAGGCTACCGTGCTCGGCTTGGTGCAAGATGACAAATTCTTTGTCTCGAATCAGTAGAGCGCATGCATTCATTCTGGCTGGGACTATTATTGCAAGATGACTATCTTATAGTATAAGATAGTCATCCTTGTCTCGCAGGTGGTCGAAATCTTGTACCAAAGCCAGACTGCACGATTTTGTCTGCCTTGCTGTGACTATAGGAGTAATTAGAAATCTCCTTTTCTCGGACGAAGTGTGATTGACGCAAGTGCCGCTCCTAGCCAAAATGGCTTTCGTAGTTCTTGTTCGCGTGTGCGTGTGTGTGTGTGTGTGTGTGTGTGTGTGTGTGTGTGTGTGTGTGTGTGTGTGTGTGTGTGTGTGTGTGTGTGTGTGTGTGTGTGTGTGTGAAGGCTGTTGCAGTTGTGGGTGGGAAGCATGGCGTGGTTCTGGTGAGTGTCAGAAATAACTGCATCCTCAGCCTCATCTGTGGCGAATTGCCCCACTCTTTCGATAAATTTCTTGTTGTGGTTGATGCCGTTGCAGAGGGACTGACATGTACCGAGGCCTTTATGTTCTACTGGCTGAGTATAATCCTTCAAGCCAGATAGTGAATGCATCCCTATGAATTTAATGCGGCACTTTTGCTGGGGAGAAGCCATATGCACACGACCATATGCCACGACTGAGCCCTTAAAGCATCCCGAGCCCTCTCCATGTGATTTCTGGATGGGAGCCACCGCCTCAGAGTCGCCTCGTAGGTGTGCGGCCCCAAACTGCGAACGAAGCTACAGGAGGTCATTGACTTTGAGAAGTCAAAGACGCTTGGTTTCAGCCATAGCCCCTTGAGCTCGCCGAGAAGCCATTTCGGGGTAGTGAGGGTAGCTTCCAAAAACCAAAAAAAGATCGTTCTACAGCCCTCGATATGTGCACTTCTGCCACGTCAGGGCTGTTGCATTGTGACTCTTCATCGTGAAAACACCCGAGGACAGTTCTCTACGGACAATGGGGCTTCGGGGGCCGAACCGCCTTCAGTGGGGGACAACCTGAGATTGGCTCCTGCGTGCCCCCAGGTTGTGGACGTTAAAGTGTCCTATTCGAAAAGTCGATTTTTCGTGAGTTCCCCGTTTACAACGACAGAGTTCTGTGAGAACAGGTGGTTTGATTGGTGAGCAAGCTGCTAGTGTACTTGCATTCCTGTAGTAAATGGTATGCAAATGCTGTTCTTTCAACCTTCAGATGCTTCCTCCTCTCAGACATTGAAGTTGCACTTCGGTGTGAGTGATTGTGAGTGGTCGCTGGAGATTTGTGGGCATGGAGAGGAAGGGGGTCCATGCAGCTTCTTTGATTCTTGCATGCCGCCAATCTAAAATCTTAAGAAGAGAAATGGCGCGAACGAGTCGGCAAGGCCCTTGAACAAGGCCTAAAACCCAAAAGCTTGATTCGTCAATTCCCAAGACAACACTTGAAAACCTGTTGAAGGGCACGAAGCCTCAGAATTAAGTTCTGAACCTGCTCACATCAAGCCTCCGAAGAATCTTGCAGCCGAGGCTCTTCTACGGGCCACCTGGCACTGGAAAGTCCCTGGCCGCACAGGCCATCGGTTTCGAGGTGGGACCTTTAAACCTTCATGCTCCCGGATGAAGATTGGGCTGCTGTCAAAGTGTCTCAGGGGCATTTTGCTTTGATAGCCACATCTGCTTGTCCTGGCTCTAGCTGCCCGGCTATCCTATCAGAGCAGCTTTGCTGCAACGTACTTTCTGGGACAGTATAGGGTCTCGTATCTCGGATCTGTTTTTTGCCCAGCGCTGCCAGTGCCACGGTTGTTGTTTGCTTCATGATCGGATCGAGGTCGGCCGTGCGCTGAAGGTCGTCAATGCTGCGAATGTCGTGGCTTGGTGCAAGATGCGTATATGGGGGTTTACGATATCAGGGGTACCATGTTGGGGGTCCTTCTTTTCAATAAGGGGATCATACTATTGGGAGTGTATATTACGTAAACCCCCATATTGATTGGTCTTGGTCTTGCAGTGAACCCTTCCACCCCCAGACCGAAAAGAAAGGCCCAAGGCGTGAGAGTTTGAGAATAAGGCGACTCGAAGGCACAGTCTGAGGCTGAGCCCAACTGCAGGTGGACAAGTACGTTGGAGAGACAGGGAAGAACATCGAGAAGGTGTTTGCCGAAGCAGCTTGGGATTCAGTACTGGTCCAGAGGAAGCCCTCCAGTAATAAGTCTGAGGCATGTATATACAAGATCCAACTGCAGTGTGGGACGGCAGTCGGCTGCAGCGAAGTCAAAAGAGAAGCAGCACAGGCGCGGGCGATGGAGGCAATCCTCGTCTTTGATGAGGCTCCTCTTGAGTTCTTTAGATGTGCAGGGCTTTGTTTTTGGTACTCTCGCAAGTGGAGAAGCAGTGAATACCAAGAACTCAGTAAACTTCACTTCTGTGGTTTTCCCCGGCAGCTCGTGCCTTTGAGTCAGCATGGAAAATCTCAACAAGTGAGCACCAAGAACCACAGTTGCCGGGCAAAAGGTCTGGAACCTTCGGGCATCGGCCCGGTCATCCGTCGTGTCAACACTGGAGCCCATTCCAGCATGACAGGTCACGCAAGCCCCTCAAAGCTGTATCAGTGTTGTGCCATGGTCGAGCCTTGCCTATACAGTGATGGATTTGAAGCGAGCCTTCAAGCTACATGAAATTCAACCATGCAGCATCATGCAGCCCAAAGCCTAGCTCACAACTGTTGCGGTCTTTCTCGCAAGGCAGAGGGCCTTTTCGGCCGTCGGAATGCTGACGCCTCCAGCAGTGTCGTGGCTTGGCCAACTATTGAAGTAGCACTAGCCTGCACGCTTGTGGGCCGATCAAGTGGTTGTTGGACAGCCAGGTTGAAGGTTGCAGAACTGTCTTGCACGGAAAGCCTCTCCAGCAAAACCCCGACTCTTAATAAACAAGTGAGTTCGTACGGTGGACAATACCCAAATCCCCCAAACCCTTAGAACTCTGACGTCCCATGACTCTACTCAAGCCATCAAAAGACGAAGACCTCACACCCTTTGGACTCTGCAGATATTGAGAACTTCGGCTTGCACTGCTGTCTAGTCCGAGTTGTCACGAAAGGCGGGAAGTCGAAAGCCGTGGGTCCGTTGAAAGCACGTCAGGGTTCGGGATGTGGCACAGGGAACGCCCCAAAACCTTCACAGGACAAGCATGCCAACCTCGACTCTGGTCTCTTGATCTGTGGCCGCAAGAAGGAGAGAGGGAGAGAGAGAGAGAGACAGAGAGAGCGACAGAGCGCAGCCGGATTCAACAGAAGAACAAGCTGCTGCCCCCCGAACACATTGAAATCGAAAGCCGGTTCCTCGGAGATTGGTTGAAGGCCCGAGCCAAGTAAGCCAAAGCTCTTGGGCAGCACTCGTTTGTCGACACCAGCGCGCCCCTTTCCAGACCGCGCGCCTCTTTCAACAGCAAGCTCTCAAAACAAGTGCGGGTTGCTAGCCCGCGCAGCTTCCAAAGGTTGCCAGCCCGCACAGCTTCCAAAGCCTTTCCACAACAAGCTCTGAAACAAGTGCTGGTTGCTAGCTGCTAGCTCGCACAGCTTCCACACCCTTTCCCCAACAAGCTCAAACCCTTTCCACAACAAGTTCTTAAACAAGTGCGGGTTGCTAGGTTGCTAGCCCGCACAGCTTCCAAACCCTTTCCACAACAAGCTCTTAAACGAGTTCGCCCCGCACAGCTTCCAAACCTTTCCAAACCCTTTCCACAACAAGCCCTTAAACAAGTGCGCACAGCTTCCAAAGCCTTTCCACAACAAGCTCTTAACCAAAGCCCGCACAGCTTCCAAAGCCTTTCCACAACAAGCTCTTGAACAAGTGCGGGTTGCCAGCCCGGACAGCTTCCAAACCACTTTGCTAGCCCACACAGCTTTCAGACCCTTTCCACAACAAGCTTTTAAACAAGTGCGGGTTGCCAGCCCGCACAGCTTCCAATGCCTTTCCACAACAAGCTCTTAAACCAGTGCGGGTTGCTAGCCTGCACGGCTTTCAGACCCTGCCAAAACAAATTTTTAACCTGGATCTAACCCTGGATCTAACACGTTGTTTACCGAGAGATATGGGTGGCCAAGGGCCTCCTGAAACAGCGGGACTCGGGTAGAGAACCGGCGCCTTTTACAGGCTTGCAGAATCGTGTAACATCTTGTTGAGCTTCTCGTAGCTGTGTGTAGAGTATCGTTTGCGGATTCCGCATTAAAGGTGGCCAACTGGCCAGATAGAAAGGGCCCGCCGCGGGCGCTAAGCCGGGAATCTAAGTCATGCAGCAGGACTGCCATTACCAATAATTGGTGGTGTACCCCTAGTCTTTCTAATTTCTAGTGTGAAAACATAGCATGGAGTCGGGGGTCTCTTCTCAACCCTCAAAGCAAGGAACGGAAGGTGAAAAGGACTTCTGGTTTTCAGCTCGAGGTCATGAATTCTGCGAAGTGTGAGCATCGGTTGGCGCATCAATACGGTCGACGTTGATCTCTGGACGAATACTGTCAGAGCTTGATTGGAAAAACTCATTGAACATAAATGTACATGCCGAAGCCCCTACTGTACTCAGTCCAATTGGAGAGCCGATTCGTTTGTAATGCAACTTTGTTCCTCAGGCTCTACTGGCTCGAGCACTACCCAGGCGAGAGCACGTCGTGAACACTTGCTGTTGTACATCGTAGTCATCAATCGAGCTTGGCCATGTGCCGACACCATCCATGCGACATCATTGCATCACTGTGGAAATAGAGTTGCTGACATGCTACCACTCCTCGGGAGACTGCTCGGAAGGCCTATGCATCTTGACCACGAACGCCAAAGATGCTATTGATTCGGCCTTCTTCCGCCGTTTCCGATTCATGGTTGAGCTGCATGGCTGCCAAGATTGGTGTGACGACACGAGCAGCGTTGTTTTTTCCAGTGACATATTGTCTGCGTAGGCCCTATGTACTATGGGCGCGTAGGTCCGCGTAGGTTGTCGATACATAAGCAATGCACGGCAGATACCGCAGACTTGAAGCACTTTATAGGCTCCACGAAGTGGAAAGTGGAACGTGGCAGGTCGCAAAAGCCCCCAAAGGAGTAGGAAGCGAACAGGATCGAAGCGACAAGAAAAACGTGCAAAGTGGAAAAGGCACGGGCCCAACAACAGTGGAAAGTGTAAAGAACATAGAGGACATGAGTACCTAATTAGTTGCGTGTAGTGTTTCAAGCTACAAGTGATCTTTAAAAATCACAAACGAAAACAGCAAATCAATGTCTCGACGACCTATTGTGCTATTTCCGATTTAAATTGAGAGCCCGGTCGTCACCGGATCCCACACCAATTCCATTCTAGCGCAGAGAGAGCTTTGTTGTAGCAACTGCTAGCTTGCTGAGCCGCTGAGGTTCCCGCAGCCAGACCGGGCGACCAGCCTGGTCCTTGGCTTCGGAAGCGCACGTCTCATTTCGCAATAGTGGGGGGGGGGGGGGGGGGGGGGGGGTGGGGGAGGGGGTTGGGGGGGGGTGGAGGGGGGGGTGGAGGGGGGGGTGGAGGGGGGGGTGGGGGTGGAGGGGGGTGGGCGCGGCATAGGGGGGGGGTGGGGGGTGGGGGGTGGCGGGGGGGTGGGGGCTTTTAAGGGGAAAAGATCCATTAGCCCTGCCAGGAGCCAAACTCTGGGAGTCCAGCTTGCCCAAGCAGGCGCCTTTGGCCGAGCATGGCGGCGTGCTTTTGGGAGTTTTGAGAGTTTGCTTTTGTTTTTTTAAGGGGACTTGGTGAAGATTTGCTTCCGGAGGGTGTGGCGCTCCGGCAAACTTGGGTTCTTAGATAAGCCCACGCACGGATTGGGAGCTCCAAAAAATCACCTGAGGCCGTAAACGGAATCCTAGATCTCGAAGGAGGCCCACTCAGATCCGAAGTGCCCCCAAAACACCTTTTCCGAACAAATCCCTGAAATTCAACATCTACATCCGGAGATGGAAGTCCTAGACAAAGCAAGTCTCTTTGAGAGGCCCCTCGGGCTCCGGACGTGGACTTCCAGGCCAGGGAGGAGAATTCTCTGGGAGGACAAAAAGAAAAAGGGAGAGAAAGAAGAGAGAGAGAAGAGAGACGGAGAGAGACAGAGAGAGAGAGAGAGGGAGAGAGCGAGAGAGAGCCGCGATCCCCCACTACAAGATTACGACTCGAGAAGAAGAAGAACACATGAAGGGGCGAGCAGCGACTAGGCACAGGTAGCAATGCCGGCCATGCGGGGGAGCACAGAGTGGGGGACCTCAATAGTGTTGTGCATGTGCTAGCACTATGTCCTGTACTCATTTCGTACATAGCGAGGAAAACCACCACCCCAGGCCAGGCAAGTACAATAGACAACGCAGGAAGTACAGAGTGGGAAACCTCAACCATAAGATTAGGGGGAGTGGATTCGAGGATTTCGGACCTTCGCTGATCGGGTGTTAACTAACGGAGGGGCACCACATTCCTGTAAGTCATTTTCGGACCGCGAAGACCGCGGGCCTTCCGAACAGACTGACCCTTGGACATCACGCGCCCCTCGGGGCGGCCTTCCTTTCGGGGGGGGCTATGCGTGCAGGAGAGAGAGAGAGAGAGCGAGAGAGAGAGAGAGAGGGAAAGAGAGAGAGAGGGAGGAAGGGAATAGGGGAGCATCTCGGGGAGTCTCCTGCTCTAGGTTTGAAGGCCTTTTCCCCGCCTTTTTATTTTAACAATTGTCTCTTGTGTGTGAGAGAGGTAAGTTAGTGTTCTCTCAGTCTTGCGGGGACATATGTGCGAGTTGCTTAACGCGCTCTACCCTCAGGCGCTGGCCTCGGAGTTCGAGAAGTTTGCCGGAGGAGACATCCAGCACCGCGCCATCAAGGGGGCCATCCCCCCGTCATCCTTTCCATCAGAGCGGGTTCTCATGGAGTTTCATAGAGATATCACCCCTTTCTTTCATCCATCGTCCTTTGAATGTTCATCCGAGTGCTCATAGAGATGTTCGCAAGTTTTGCCATTGCTTTGGACACAGAGATCACCAGATTGCCAGGGTTGCCCTTTTCGTGCTTCATCTCCTCATCCCGTGCTTTTGAGTCGCAGGGTGCGGTCGCCGACCGAAATGTTTGCATTCAGCATTTTCCAACGGGAGCATCGCTTTCTTGAGTGCAACATGAATCGTACAACGACTTTCCCGTAACCAAGGTTCCGATTTTTTGTTTGAGGCGAAGGTTTGTATGTTGCTGCCACCGTTTGCTTACGCCTGCTCGTTCTAGAAGCACTTCCGCCCCCCCCCCGATGAGAGAGGAGGTTAGTGGCCTCTCAAATTCTTAGCCCTAATCAAACCACAAGGAACGCCGTGATCCGTGCAGCCTCACGGGCTGCCCTGCGCCCCGACGACGGGAAGCGCTGGATCTGCATGGCGGACCTACGATACTTAGCACAGGTATTAGTGCTGCTGCATGTTTTTTTTGTGATTTGGGAAGTTCAAGGTTTAAAAAACAGCGGCGCTGGCTTTGGATGGTGACCCGGCCCCCGCACCACCTCCCTAAGTACCTCCAGTGCAGCACCTAAGGCATACTGTAGGGGTTGGCCAAATTCTACAAAAACACCATGAGAGCCAGAGGAGCCAGGAGTGAAAGGTGTCAAAATGGCAAGCCAAAGCCAATGGCGACTCCAACTTTGCTCCAGCTTGAGATGAGCTTGGCCAAAACGGCGGGGTCCCCTGCCAAACCCCAAACCCGAGCCTTGACAATCTCACGCGCCCACCCCCACCAACCCCCCTCAGCTTCAGGAGAGGCTGCGCGCACCGAGAGCAGCAAAGCAGATGAATCCCTGCAGAGACTCTACACGTGATCGTGAGCGTTTCACGCAGGGGCAATTCTGTTGTCAATCGGGAGTGAGGAAGCCCCACTCCCCACCAAGAGCTAGGAACATGGGGTCGTGGTTCCTTTCGAAAAAGGCCCAGAATGGATGAGCCTTACAGGCGTGATCTGCCCGCGGTCAAAAAAGCAGGTGTTCTTGGTACATCGCGCGCAACAACTGGGTCTAGAGCCCCAGCCCCGAAACTTTAAGTCCTAAACCAGGTCCTTGTTATTTTGCCTGCCTTGCGCGAGCTTGAGTGATGAAAGTTCTTCTCAACAGTTCGCTAGCTGCAGCGCCCCCAGCGATGAATGACGGCTTTGGGGTTTTAGGAAGGGCTACTCAGAATCTTGCAGAAAAAGAGCCTGAAGGGATTTGGACCTTTGAAGCTGTGGTGTTCAAGTTCTGGAATTAGGAGGAGTGGCTTTTTTTTTCTCCCAGGAATGCGACCTTCCCTCCAAACCCGATCTCAAGGCCAGAGCTTCTAGCCAGTTAGCCATCAGAGGGATACACGAAGGCAGGGTTTAAATAGAGTGTGAGTAGTTTCGGGCCCCGAAAGCAGCTTCCAACCGACAATGCATGGTGCACAGAGGACGTCGCATTCCCCCCCCAAAAGGCTTGAATTCTAGACCCTTACGCCAAGTATTGCCAAGACCATTCTCTCTAGCCTTTGTCAAGTCATGCTTCGGGTCCTATGGCCAGGATTTTGCCATGCGCCGCAGCCTTGCGTTGTTGATCTTCGAAAGCCGCGGGGATTCCACACCCCCTCCGAAAGAGCTGAGCCTGGGAGAAGGCTACCTTGATTCCTTGCCACTATCGCATGAAGGTGTACGCAGGGACACCTACTTCTCTAGCACAGCCTTCCCCAGATCTTGCGAGGGTGCTGGTGCAAACTATGGCTTGTCCGATGAGGGTTTACCGTGGACGCAAGGGCGCGCGGCCTTTCGAAAGTATGTCGCCTCGGAATCCCCGACGTTGGAACTACAGGCGGAGATGTCGACACTTGCATGGGACTTGTTCCTCTATCCCCCCTTGGGAGTTATTTCGTATTTTTGTTTTATAAAACCCAAGAGGATATTAAAAATATGTTTTTGATTAAGGTTCTCAGGGGAGTAGAGGTCCCACTGTTGGTGCACCTGTGGTTCCTGCCATGAGCTGCTACAAGTCTGCCCTCTTGGCACTCTGACAGCCTTGAACCTCATGCGAGTTGCATCGTCCGTGAATGTGGCCTCCCGCGTGGCCTCCTTCGCAAACACGGTGAGCGTCTGCTCCCACATGGATCCCTATGTCTTCTTGGTAGCCCAGTGGTACCCTTTACCCTTTTTTGCTGGTTCTGGGTTCCCTCATTTAAGGTAACCAACCCAAAAAGAGGGTGCCCTTATTAAAACATGGTTTCTGGGCTACTAGGTCTTGATCACCCGGCTTTCTTCGCACTGGCCCGAGCTGCTGCTTTCCTCCTGGCCGATCTTTGGATCAATGTACCGCCTTGCCATGCAGGCCTGGGCACATCAGCCAGAGCTTCCTAAGAGAACAGGGCTCTTAGATTCAGATTTTCGCACTACATTAGGGCCATAAGTCCTTCTAAAAAAAGAATGTGCATGGAATGACAAAAAACATCAAACCTGTCGGCCATGCAGGTGATGAAGGATGGACTGCACGAGGGTCACCTCGATGGCATCTTCGCTGCACAGGTGCAGCAAGCCCCCGCGGAGTGGGGACTCGAGGGCCGGACTTGGGTGGCCTCGGAACCTCGGAAGCGGTTTAGGGCTCTTTTTTAAGTTTAGGGTTTAGGGTTTAGGGTTTAGGGTTTAGGGTTTAGGGTTTAGGGTTTAGGGTTTAGGGTTTAGGGGGAATGAATGGGGCCTAACAACTCCCTAAACTCCCCTCCGTCAAGGAAAGCTTCTGTGGACTTCTGGGGTTTCGCTCCACCATGCACAGCTGCCCCTTGATAATGGCGTCAGCGCTTGTGAGGACTCAAAGCGTTGACATTTCCCCCCCCAATAAGAACTCATGATTGAAGAGTTTTTTGATTTTGAGTACTCTCCACTCAACAAAAAGGCAGGCGCTGGAGCTGGCGCAGCTCTTGCAGCAGGCGCAGCCGCACCCTCAGGCGATCGATGCGATCGAGACCTTGGTTGGCCGCGCCCAGCTGCTGCTATATCCCCCTTGGGAATTAGTTTTATATTTTTGTTTATACAAAACCCAAGAGGATATTGAACAATATTAATTGTTATTAAGGTTCTAAGGGGAGTATAGGCTGGTGCAGAGCGTGCTGCCCTCCGTTCCGGGCGTGAACGAGTGCATGAAATCCCAAAACCTGTTCCTGGGCCTAAGCCTCTCGCTGCATGGGCTGCGCATGTTCAAGAACCTGATGCTTCTGCAGGACCTCCTAGAGGGCTGGCTCTATGTCCTGCCAGCAAAGCCCAACCGCTCCAGTATCTGCCCAGCATCACAAGGCACACGCTGGCAGGGCGAGTGGCTTACGGAGACTGACTTCCTCAAGGACTTTGAGTCCCAGCTCAGCTACGAGACCAGGCAGAAAAATTTCGGGGGAGGGGGGGTTTACGAGATAAGGGGTACCTTACTGGGGTCTTTATAAGGGGATCCTACCGTAAACCCCCGCTTCACCGCTTGAAGCTGAGACTGTCCCAAGAGCCCAGGGATGCCCAGAGTACCCAAAGCTCGAGACCCAAAGGAGACGCTGCAGCACCAGCTTCAAGAGTTCCCCGCGCCACCTGCGACAGGCAAGCGCGAGGCGGGATCAGTTGCAATGCTCTAAGGTCTCTATAGAGGTCGGGGGGGGGGGAGGGGGTGGGTCTTATGGGTTTCGTTCTGAACTGGCCGCAGAAGTGGGCAAGGTTTTTGGTGTTTGGGGCTTTGGCAGTTTGGAGCTGCGTAGCTTGCCGGCTCATTGTTCACTGAGTTTACTGGGGCGGTTGATGCTCATGATGCTCACCTGGGTTGCTTCCAATCCTGGAGGCCTGCGGATGCTCATGATGCTCGCCCGCTTGGCTTTTGAATGCGGAGGCGCCTAGGAGGCTGATGCTCATGATCGCTTGGCTTCGCTGAGGGTTCAGGGAGCTGATGCTCATGATGCTTGCCCACTTCGCTTTGAATGTGGAGGTGCCTCGGCGGCCGATGTTCATGATGCTTGCCCGCTTGGCTTTGATGCTGAGGGCCTGAGCAGCTGATGCTCATGATGCTCACGCCTTGGCATTGCATAATGAGGGGCCTGGGCGGCAGTCATCAAGTCCGGTTCAAAAAGGGGCCTGGGCGGCTGCTGCTCATAATGCTCGCCCACTGGGCCGTGAATGTTGAGGGGCCTGGGCAGCTGATGTTCATGATGCTCATGTCTGGGCTTTTGAATGCCGAGGGGCCTGGACATCAGCCCTAAGACCGGGGGGCCTGAGACCCAGAAGGAGAGAACACTTTATAAGATGCCGCTCTTGGTAAGTTGCAAGAATCTGCCCCAGAGGCCTGGGTTTGCACGCTCTTTGCCGGCCCGGAGGTGCCCGAAAGCCAGGCGGCTCTTTTGCAGGGGTTAACCAAAAATAAAGGACCCATAATGTGGATCCCCGAATAGTAGGATTGCTTTATGATAAGGACCCCAATAAGGTACCCCTCATTTCGGGCCCAAGCCAAAGCAAAGGGATCAGCAGCAACTCTGCAGAGAAACTTCGAGAAGCTTCGACACCTGAAGTCAAAGCACAGCTTTGAGCCCCAAAATTGAAAATGCTTAGCCCTGGCTGGGACGAGCTACAAGAATGACATGGAAAATGCGCAAACCTTTGCCTTGCAGAAGACGTGGCAGCATTTGTAGTTCGAGCGCAGCTCGTAGTACGCCGAGGCGTCCCTAGATTTCGGCGAGTCTGGGGGGAGGGAGGTGGTTCAGTCATATGACCACTATATTGGCCAAACACTGGTATTTGGCATCTTTGCCTCTTTGGACAACGTACCACTCTTGGCGAACCCCCCGCCCTCTAAAGGCTTGAAAGGATGCACTTGCGGCGACTCCCAGGTAGCCACCCATGCCGAACTCATTCGCACGCTGGCCCACTCTGTGCGGCGACACTCCTGGCACTCGCGCCCATTTGTGGTACTCACTCAGGCCTTGGAGGGGTGTGGTCTTAGGTGTCAAGGGACTTGTTTCTGGTTTGCAGAGCTGGAAGTCCCAATGAAGCTTTGGCTCCATGACTGGTCCAAACAATGAACCCAACACTGACTTGCCCGAGCCCCGTGGAGCGGCGCTCCCAAGACAATCATAAAGCAAGGTTCCAACAGCAGTGTAGTTGTGCAGGCGAATGCGTCGGAGGAAGAAAGAGCGTGGCACGCACATGCACACCAACGCACCAACAGACGCACCACGCACACACACACACACACACACACACTTACTTTTTCTTTGGCCTGTGCAGGCCTAAGCCCGAAGATTGAAACTCTCCCACCTTCAAGCTAGGGCATGATTTGGGTTTCCTGCAGAGGACAGCCTTCCCGAGCTGATCCGGCGGGAGCTGCTGGCAGATGGGTTCATCATCGAGTGCCCTATGAGATTTGTTTGAGATGTTTCAGGGGCCATCTTTGCGCCGGCAATACCTTGTTCAAAGCATCTCTAAGATCCATGCAAGATGCTTCGTCATCAGCAAGTCGCGCGCAGGATGCCTGCCGCAGCCTGCACATTGCATGCAAAGCTAACCAGGGAAAAGCCAGAACAGCACCAGACATTTCCGGGGAGTGGGACTTAACACGCAGAAAGACAGACACGCGAAGTGCGCGTGGGCGCGGTCCACCGAACACACCAGCCTGCGACGCACCTCAATTACCCGACATGCCCGCGTGCTGCTTGTGCTGCTTCTGTGATTCTTAGCTGCTCGTATATTTGCCACATATCGTTAAGCCATCAGTTCAGTCTCTGCGCGTTGGGGTTTAGAATTTGTATGTACTGTTCCTGGCGTATGGACATCATATGTGCTTTGACGACATCTCGCGCCACCCAATCCTCACGAGCACAGTGAACTTGCAACGCAGCACACACGCAGAGAGCTAAAGCTGAAGGTCGCCACGCGCCAGAACGGAGTAAGAGAGAGAGAGAGAGAGATTGAGATTGGGAGGAAGACAAAGAGATCAGGTGGGTTTGCAGCGCTTGGGGGCATAAGAAGCCACGAGAGCACTGGCGCAAAGGGCTGTACTTTCCAAAAGTGCTCGGAGTTGCCCCCCCCCCCCCCGAATGTTCAGCCTTCGAGGTACTTCGATGCTTCGCCGCTGCTCATGCGCGTGCCCGAGGGCCTCGAATGGAAGCTGAGCTGGTTCGAAGGCGAATGGAGAACGGCCTTGTTGCCAGAGCCACATGTTGAACGACTCAGGCCACCTGTAATTCTGCCACTGCTTTGGCCCCTTTGAGGCCGGCATCTGACTCCAACCATGGGGCAGCTACTGGGCCCCAAGAGTTGTTTGGCAGTTTGGGAGGGATTGTTTGGGTGTGCGCCCACAAAAAAGAGCATTTCGGTGTTTTCGTGATGAGCAACAACCCCAACCTTTGGTACGAAGAATGCAGTCCAGGCTTGCTGTGTGGAATCTGACCTCGTGGGACACCCTGGTCATGCTGGATGATGAATCCTGTTGCAACAGAGTTCTTGCTGTAGGGTTCCCAGGGCTTTTTTGGAGCTTGCAACAAGTCATGATTTCAGAGAGCCAGCGCCGCTTGAAGGGGCAGAAGCTTCGCACAGGAAGCCTGTATAAGCTCTTTCGCTTCGAGTGCTGTCGCTGTTCGGTGCGCTTGCCTTCCTGTTTAGCACTGTCAGCGATCTCATTGCAGATGGGTGGCCCTGTGGCTGTGTGAGAGGAGCTGGTGGGTGAAGGGTGACTACTAGTTGCATAAGAAACCCTAAAAAATTAAGATAAAAAATGTTCTTCCTCATTGAGGGTAATAGAGGGATTATTCTTTTTGATTCTTCCGGGGTTCTTACGCAAATAGTAGGTGAGGTGTGATGGGTAAGCCTGGCGGGTTGGAAGGTGTGCTTGGTTGGGTGTGTGGCTTCTTTGGTGTGCCATCTGTTTTGTGGTCTGAGAGGGTGGTTGTTTGCTTTTCAGCCAGTTGCGGTTGCAACCTCCGCACTTGGATTTTGTCTTGTATTGGTGTAGGAGTAGCCCGAAAGCCATGAAACATGCCTGCGAAGTATTTCACAAAGCTTGGCCCCATTTGGCCCACCCCCGCGGCGCACCGTCCACGTCCATATTCCATGTTTGTGTGAGCGTGACCCCACGCCGATTGAAATACCTGGTCTAAGCACGCAGGCACTTCTATCCGTTTTGGCATTTCGTCTCCCCGTTGCACTTCTCCACTGCACTTGGGGCTCCCATGGTTTTGTCGACTCTAGAATTCTCAGGACATGCTCATGCTGAAGCCTGCGGACGAGCTCTTCAGCATTCCTGTTTTTGCCATGTCGCATGATCCGAGCCCCGTGGGCCATGCCCTCGACACGCAGGGGCAAAGGACCGAGTTGCGCACGCACCTGCATCCATGCGAACCCACAAAGCGGGTGTTCAAGGTTTTCACGGGTGTTTGGAGATGTGGCGGCCAACCGGCCCCGGCCAAATTCCATGGCAACTCACATGGAGGTTGCAAACCAGGGTTTTTTTTCGGGGTCTTCACTTCTGTGCAAGATCATCGGTGTCGTGACAGGCACAAGCGGTTCGAATCCGCAGGGTGGTTCTAAACGTTCCAGATGTTCACCTGCAGACCCGAGCCCCAAGCCCCCGGAACAAATTCAGAACGCCAGAGGACACGTCTGAACAACGCTGCTCGGGTGGTACAGCCCTCGGCTGCACTCTTCAACAGCATGGTGGAGGAGCTGCAGTCAGGAGCCCACCCGGGACATGTACAATGGCGGGCTTAGCATACCCCAGGTCATCCCGCACCCAAGGCCCTCAACTGGTTTGCGCACAGGGCTTTGGGCTGACGGTTTGGGTTGCAAAACGCCTCTGCAAGTTTGGTGTTTTTTGTGTTTACGGTCCGTGTCATCAAGTGTTCCCTTTCTCCCGGTCTCTGCCAGTTGAGTATGTCCTTGACGCCAGGCTTGTACAAGAACCACCCGCTCATCAACTTCTGGGGGTATGACCTGCAGATGCACGTCTCAATTGGCGGGCTCTAAACCCTAAACCCCAAAGCCTGGTTTTTATGTTTTTAGAATGATTGGCCGGCGTTGCTTTGAACAACGAGAGCGGTCAAGATTTTGGAGTGTTTTTGAGAATTGGCTTGAAGAGAAGGTTTTGCAAGCACTCAGGTTTTGTAAGTTGTTTCCTCTTTCGGGCTGTCCGTAAAGTCGCCGATGTGTTGGCAAGGTGGAGCATATGTTTTCTTTCGGAGTTCAACCTTCAACAGCCGGCTTAAGTACGGAGCCTAAAATGCCTCGCAGGGCGTTGAATGCCGTCCCTCTTCCAAGTGGCTCACGAAATAGCACAGCTGAATGTTTGTCAAGACGATACACGAATGTTTGGGAGCTCCCAGTCCACACGTCTCCAATGGATGCAGAACAGTACGTTGTTGAGCGCAATGGAAATGCCATGAAATGCCCATCAGCAAACTGCATTGAGACTCGATAGCTGTGCCAAAATAGCTCCGTGTAGGATAGACTGAAACGATAAGCTGGTCGCGCGTGGCCGCCGCAATGGCACCGTAATGCTTCATACTCTTGAATGTGCCCACCTCCCCTGCCCCCAAACAGTGGAAACCCATGTGGGCCCTGTTTAGATTCTAGATGGTCCGGGGATGGTAGACTCGATGGAGGATTCTTCCGGACCTCCCTGAACAGTCACTGGATCCAATTTAAGCAAGGTTAGCTTTATAGTGGGTCCCCGCGCAAAGCAACTTTTTCAGGACGTCTGTTAACATGGAGTTTCCATCAGCTCTATCTGGTCTGTCGACACGTTGCAGGGGTTATTCTGGTTTCGCGCGGAAAGGCAGAACGCGGGGCATTGTCATCGTTTTTCCTTTCTTTCCGTATCTGCAACCCACTCATCTTGTCTCACTTGGTACTTTTCACGTCGCATGAACTGACATGTACCACCTTGCGCCCAAGGACCTTGGAAGATGCATTCTGGAGTCAGCACAGCCGCCGCAGTGGCCTCACAACTTTCGATTCCTCCGGATCCTTCCAAGGCTGCACCTTGGCCCCAAGCATATGTGGGGATGCGGTCTGCAAGTTTCAGCTGCCAGCAGGAACAGCAGGAAGTTAAGACAGTACGAAGTAGTTGGTAGTGGTAGTAGTCCGAAATCGGCCGCTCGCTGTGCTGCACACCGCTGCGGCCGCTTTCCAAGGCACCACAGCTCGACCTGGCTTGGCTCGACGGAAGCTGCAAAGCCTGGCCGATTCCTTGCCAGACGAGGCCATCTTTCAGCGCCGGTACCTGGCGCACCGTAGTAGTTGAGGATAGTTGAGGTGTAAGAGCTTGCTTCGACTTATGTTCAAACCCTTCAGGCCATCCAACTCCCCAATATGTTTGGGGCTCCTTATCGACCCAGACCCGTACCCATGACGCCGAACTCCATAAGCCTGAACAAGTCGCGCCTGTGAGAAGTCGTGGTTAGACAACGGAAAGATGTCAAGCACACAGCAGCAAATCAGAACAGCCTCTATGAACGACAAAGTCCAATTCTTCTTGGGATCTTGCTTGACTTGTCCCTGCGCTGTCCATGCGTTTCTTCCAGGAAAAGGCATCAAACCAGTTCGGAACAGATGGCTTGCGGGCCCAACTGGCCGGGGTCTGGGGCGGAGACTCAGTTTTTCTCTTTGCGAACCCCCTGTATCCCAGAAGCTCCTCCGAGCCAATATTTCTAATTCATTGGCCTGGAAGGCCACTAAGGGGGGAAGGGGGGGGGGGGGGGCCCGTATATGCAATGTATGCTCGTCCCATGTCTTCTCATCTTGCAGAAGCGCCTTTTGCGCAGCTCCTGTCTGGGAACTCGTGACGTCTGTCGTTACCACTTTTTCTTCTCGTAAGGTTTGGCCATTTGCTAAAGAGAATCGGTGTGCCAGGGAGAAAACATATGCCAGATCTTGCCCTTGTGCAGTTGCCTTCAGAAACTTTGTTCCAAGCCTATCGTGAAGCCATTGCGCTTGGGTGCCCAGAATCACGATCCAGATATGTGGGATGGCATGTCCAGTCTGCTCGACAGCAGCACAGAAGCTCCACAGGTTTCACTTGCAACGAGCAAATGATGGCAGATGATCGTCCGGTCTGTTTTGGAAGCTTGCGTATACTCCACAATGAGTCAACAGTTAGTGAGTTACAGTAGTGCTCTGCTACCAGAGAGCTGTTGGAGGCCCTTTGGGGCATTGTCAGTCAAGCGGCCCCTTCACGCAGTTCAAGTTCAGGCAACGCAGCCCAGACGGCTCTGTGCTGCTTTCGTGTCGATGAACCACGATGGCATCATTCCGAAACACGACGAGCAGATGCAAAGAAGAAAGCCGCGCTTCCCGCGGAGCAATAGCACAATCACAGCTGCTGATCTCTTGCGACAGCATGATGACCTTGTGCGATTGTCCGTAAATCGTGTCCAGTCATGGCCCCATTGTGCCCCCCACCCCCCCCGGACCAAGATTACAAGTACAGTACCTCCTGAGCAATACTTAGAGGCCTTGAGAGCAAAGTCGCGGTCTCCAAGTCAGAGGCATTGGTCTGCTTTGCATGCCAGGCAGAGGTCAAGCGGCTTCGTGAGTTCGAGGAGATCAACTCCCAGGTTGGTGCTGGTGACGAGAGGGGGTGGAGTTTTCCGGTGATCCTTTTGTGTCCTCCTCTTTTTGGGGTCTTGAAAGCGGCCTAAAGCTGCCGAAAAGCGCCTATGTGTTTTCTAGGCAGTCAATGCCAGAGAATTCTGTTCTTCCAACAAGCTTGTTTTGGGCCTGTGACCGGCTTGTGGTGCTTGCGAGGATATCCAACTTTGAGGTACATGGTTTTTTTCCGGGAGGGAGGGGGGTCACGGGCCACGGGGAGGTTTAGACTTCAGGACGTGCCTTCGAAGATGCTTGGGCTTGGGGGATTTGGGTTTGTTGGGCGTTTTGGTATGGTTTTTTCCAGGTTTGAAGTCTTAAAGGCTTGTGGCAGCTTGGCTTATGGGCTTGCGGCCCTGTGGCTTCGGGGTTTGAGTTTTGAAGATGTGATTGCGACTTCAGGGCTGATTGAAGAACTCGCTCTGGATGGGATCCGTGTCGAACTTGGCCCTGACCCTTTGGCAGGGACCCGGTTCTTAGTGGCTTAGGCCCACAGTGCCCACAGGATGCATAGAACCTCCCAAGCCCGATTCCTTCAACCCCTGGAGGAGAAAGTACACTGCGTGCTTCCTGTGGACTACAACTTTTTTGTGGACTTCAAGAGCCTGAGCGAAGTTCACGTCCATGAACAGTAGTTTCAAGCTCTGCAGACCCTTTTGGGTTTCCTCGCTGTCTTCTGTTCAATGTCTTCGAGTTCCCTTGGCTTTGGGCTTGTAGGTTTGGAGGCGTCGACTGGGTTCTTGGCTCGGTAGACTGGGGTCCTATGCTTAGCACCCGCGTGCTCGCGCGTTCGGGATGCTGTGCCCAGGAGTGTCTTCCACCTGGTCTACCACTCCATCTCACAGGAGGAGCTTCGATTCTGGAGCACACGAAAGCTCATGCGCATCTCGGGCTTTTAAGTGTACACCTTCCACAGACCGGGGGTTTACGATCTTAGGGGCTCCTTCTTGAGGTCCTGATTCTCAGATATGTTCAGGGAATCCTACTATTTGGGGGTCTATTTTGGGGGTCCCCTCTTTTCGTAAACTCTCAGATGGTTTACGTCCGGGGGTAGACCTATGTAGCGGTTTTCATTGAGTTGTAGAAAAGGCTGCCTGTGGCACCTGGGCACTTGGGCAGATGAAGCTGTCAGCAAGCTCATCCCTAAACCCTAAACCCCAAATAGCCTTGGATGCTGCGGCATTCGCAGCAAGACTTCTTTACACTCCAGCTCGCCTTAAACACTCCCATCGGTCGCCCCCCCGAACCGTCGCTTTTCCGAATACAGCAGCGGCGCGGCCTAAGTTGACTGCACATGGTGGGCTTCCGTATGTTTACAAGTCGTTCCCTGCTACTCCAGCGCATAGTGAGTGCTGCAGTGATGAATGCCCTGCGCCAATCTCGGCAGCAGGCCTTAAACCTCCTCAAGCTCTGAAGTCCTCTCGAGTCGAGAGCCCTGTGAACTCGAGAGCGAGGCAGAGCGGTGGACTTACTTCGACGGAGCGCCTCGGACGATGGGAAGTTTGGGTTTCGAGCTATTGGATGAAAAGGGCTCTGGGCCGTTCTCTTCTAAGCATGGCCTGATTCTGCGATGTGGTCTACACGACGTTTCTGGTCAGAGCTTTCTCAACACTCCTGTCTTCCTGGCACCCCAACCTCAATTCTGCCTCCCTCGACCTTGGGATGCCGAAGGTGGGTCTTTGTCGAGGGAGCCGCGAATTGTCCACTGGCCCGGATCCTTGCGCAAGCCATGGGAGAGGCTTGGGATAGGGGTTTTGGGTTCGTCAAGTAAGGAGTTGAAGTTGGGAGGCTGGTTGACAACGGTGACGGCAGTGTGACAACCCAAGTCCTATTGTTGAGATGTTGCTTTCTGTAGCGTGGAGGATCCATCCCAGAAGCCGCAGCTCCTGGGATCAGATGCCAGGTCTTCTTACTTATTACCATTTTCAATGAAGTCTTGTGGCTTCTAATGGTTTTCCGGGGCTTGACTATAGGGTTTAGACGGAGACAAACCAAACTAATTTCACGCAAACAACCAAACCTTACGCGGAGGGACACATTTTCAGGATGTGGTGGGATGTGCATGCGGACATGTGCCAGCAGAGTGCCAGTCCATGCCGCATAGCCTGTCGGCTTGGTCAGCCCTCCGAATGACATCAAGAACCTGGCGGAAATCTTCCCAAAGCAGGCAGGATTCACGCCAGGTCGGATGCCTATGGCCTATGGCCCGGCATGTCTTTCTTGCGACCTCGATAGCTTGGCAACGGGGACTGGCCCTCTTGAAGCTGCTGGGCAACGTCGAGTCGACTTCCCTGGATCAAGGCTGCTGCATCTTCTGTCCTAGCACAACTCGTGGAGTCACAGGAAGCTGCTGGCTTTCAACATGGCTGGGTGGCCCTTCGGAGCATTTCGCGGCCGTCCAGCTGGCAATGGAGCACCTGTAAATCCAACAAGCGTTTTGGATGCCTTTGCCGTGAGACAGAAACTTCCATGAGAGATGATAGTGGCGTTGCTTCTTTTGGAAGCTTTGTGCAGACATGAGAAAATTGGGGAGTGTGATGGTGTGCCTGGGGCGCAGATCTGTTACATGATCATGCGGGCGTCCTGAGGCTCTCTCAAGCATGACCACACAGGGGAAAAATTGCATGATGACTGTCAATACGAACACAAACCTGGGTACACGAAAAGGCAGAACTCCGAACTCACTCGAAGATCATTGCCCGGTGGACTACTTGCAGGTTCATGGTACCTATTAACCAATTTTTAACTGTACTTATAACTGCACGTATTATAAGCCCCTTAGGTGCCCCAACATGGTTCTAAGTACAGCCATAAGTACAGATCTAATTGGTTAATAAGTACTGGAGCTCGTATTGCCACACGGGCTCTAAGCCTCCGCCCAGCCAAAAAACCGAGGGTAAGATTCGGATGACTGAGGTTTAATCAAGGCCAGCTATGCCTCAAGATGTGCTTAATTTGTCATAGTTGGGTAACATGTTACATTCTTAAAGGTACTTAAACCCAATAAGGAATATAAGTTTAAATGTCGAATACTATCCCAACCATGAACTAGTTTAGGGTCCCGGATTGCAGGGCATCAGCTCTGCACTGGTATAGACTGAGCGATGGTGCGGCGCCGCTCCATCCGCTCGATCCGCTCACGCTTTGGTTCTGTCGGGGCCTAAGGTTCGACACAGCCCACACCACCATGTCTCAAGAAACAGAACCTAGAACCCCAAACCCTGAACCCGAAACCCTAAACCTAGAATCCCTTGTGCAGAGTATCTGTGCCGACTCCCAGGTTTGTTGGCTGCTTCTGCTCTTGTGCGGCCGCCGAGCTCTTTTGGCATTTCTACAGAGCGAGAATCACCCGGAGGAGGGCAGTGGCGATGCAGGATCCTGGACTTGCAGCTTTCAGATTCCTCCAACCCTAAACCCTAAACCCTAAACCCTAAACCCTAAACCGTATGATACTGGATTCCTTGTACTTTCATCTTTATGATACTGGATGTTCGTTTTATGTTGAGATGTACGGGCTTGGAGACCTGCGACGTGCATGGCCAGGACGAAAATAAATTCCAAGGGCTCGACCTTGCCTAGCATGCTGGGCCTGTCATTTTGGGGGCTTCGGATTTTGATTCCCCAGCTCTGACAGTGTTACGCAAGAGCATGACAGTAAGGCTGCCTGCAAGATGGAGAGTTTGGGAGCGCCACAGCCCTTAAAACAGTGTAGTACATGCTGCAGCAAATGCGCCTTTGGGCGTTTGTCTCAAAATATGGAAAGGTCAGGACCAAGTTGCGGAAGTTAGGGCCCCTTTTAAACCTTTAGCTTCGCCCCCAATGGGCCCTGAAGGTGTAGTTCAGGTGTTTTCGGGGCTAGAAATTAGCCGACCCCTGAAACCAGCAATGATCAACTCCGGTTGCATGGAACGGCATGTGAGAGAGGGAAGCACGCGAATCCACACCGAGAACCAATGCGGTCGCACCAAGACGCCACATCTGAAGAAAGTTAGCTGGAGAAAGTCTCGAACCCTCACAGAGCAGAAAAAATGTGAACCTAAACCCTAAACCCTAGTGTAGCTGCTTAACCCTGAGCTTCGCTGCAGAGGCAGTGACCTTGCCCTTACCTCAGAGCGAGCCGTGCTTCCTGCCGAGGCGCAAGAAGCGCCAAGCTTTCTTAACCGTGTTTCCTTACTGTTGGTTGGTAGGGAATGAGGGACTGAGATACCCTATATCCCCCTATATATACCCTTAAACAACAGTAAGTTTCAGGCAAGTTGGGGGATTAAGACGGCATCCAAATTCGGGATGGGGTTAGGGACAACACAATACCTCCGTTGAGCCCACTGGGTTCGACAGGGATTGTCTGGCGACTCCATCAGATTGCCAGGAAAATCTTGTGGCCATGTGCTTCATGATGTTCTAATATCTCCTGACTTTCCATCAAGCATTGACTTTGTAGTGGTTGCAGGCAATTCATTTCAAGTTTCACAGGCCAGCGCAGACAGTTTTCCCGCAGGTGCTTCCTGACCGTTATGACCTGGACCTTGATCTCGACCCAGAGCACTTGGACACCTTTTCGGGTTCCGTCGCGATCGGTCTTGAGGTGACAAGCGCCACACCGTTTATCACTCTCAATGCTGCTCGGCCGGCGATGGGGGTTTAGGGTGTAGGGTTTAGGGTTTAGGGTTTAGGGTTGTGCATTTTGCGAAGGCCCTTGAACCCTGCTGGAAGGCATCTCTGCAGCCATGGGATGTTTCTGACAAGTCACAGCCACGCCTTCCTTCTTTCTCCTGGTTTGTGTTTGGGTTCCTTTCCTCTCCTGGTATCTTTAGATCCGTTTCCTTGCTCTCTGGTGCTTGCGGTTTCCATGAGTTTCCATCGATTGCTTGGTTTCCTCAATTGCCGCAGCCATTGTTGGATTTAGTTTTCTCTCGTCGTGTTTTCGATGTACCGGCTTTTGTCCTTGCAGGTCTCCCAAAGCCAGAACTACGGGCATGGCTCCGGCATCTTTTCAAACGCAGCTTAATATATGCAATGGCTTCCAATGGCTCACCAACACTGATGCCTGCAGAGGGGGGCTTTTTGCCCCAATCTCCCCACTGGGGCCTGTGCGGAACGTGTGCTAATGCCTCAGGGTGCTGCATGAAGTCTGAGTCGCGAGTCGTTTTTCTTTGCGGACAGCCTGCCCTGTGCCTTAAACCTAAATCTGAGGCGCGTGCTCTCTCAATCGACTTCAAGTCTGTCGCTTTCCAGCCAGAGTCGGCGGAGGCGGTGCTAAATCCTATCGACACGACGGAGGATGCCGAGCTCGAAAGGGCAACTCTTCTCCCAAGACACAGAATGATGGCTCGGGAAAAGTTGTTTTCCACACTGGGCTCGTGGGCGATGTCCAGTGTGCAAGAGCATGCGTGTGAAGGTGTGTGGGTGGGGTTGAATTGAGGCCATGAGCTCTAACTTTGCCGCAAATCGCACGCGGAAATCTCTCAAGGTCATCTTCCACTTCAGCGAAAACCTCCCCCTCGGCCGTGCAACTCTACGAATCAGTTACGCGGGTCAGCTGGGCCAGGACTCCGAATCACAAGGGCAAGGGTTCATTGTCACATTGCCGATAGTTTTTCAGCTTTCCAGCCGTGTTGCGATTGCAAGCATCTGTCGCTCTCTTGACCAATAGTCAGACGCAGCCAAGCTAGGCTTCTCAATGCCGCCTAAGGTGCGGCTGAAATCTTGAGCGACACTCCGAAATTTCATGGCATCGTTAAGTGAGAACCCTATTCCTCAGTCCGGAGAGCATCCTCTGCGATGGTTCAGGACATGGCCGGTTTGTACAGCAGCCGCTGCCCGCCTGCAATTTTGTCAAAGGCTGGCTTGGCAAGTGGGGGTCGGTACCTCCCCCCGACGGCCCTCCCCAACGCTGCTAGAACAAAGCCTGCTATCACAAAGCCAAGCCGAAGCCAAGCCATGTTTTTGCGGCTGCGCACGTTTGGATCAGCCCGACCACTGCTAGTTTCTGAACAAACCCCCATGCTTCACAAGCAAGACCTATGAAATCAGTAAAACACTCAGCTACGTATGCGCACCCGCCCCCGCTCTCCACTTTCCAAGGCAAGACCAGGCAATATTTGTTAATGGTCGGGTAAACCTTCGATGCCTATCTTTTAACCTGAACCATGAGAAATGCTTCAATAATTAAAGATTTATTTCTGCCTGTGAGAAGGCAAAATTCTGCAGTGTAAAGTGATGTACGAGTAGCCTGCGAACAGGCCGACATGCTGCTTTCTGTGCAGTATTGAAACCTTCTGCGATTTGCTGTGCAGACCCGGAGCCCGGAGCGGTGTTTTACGCGCAGCAAATGAGAGTGTGCCTCATCCTGAAAGTGTTTTGATGCTCCGCATGCTGAGGGTACAAGAGCCTGCATGGCTGGAAGTCCATGGCACTGACTCAGTTCGAAGCTGTCGATGCGCGGCGCATGTTCCCATGCTGGGATGAGCCCAGCAAGAAGGCCGTTTTTGCGCCTCAGAGACAACGCATGATGTCCAAAGTCGATTTGGGAAGAGTGTGGAGAAGCCAGAAGCCCTGAAATCAGCATGTAGTAAGTCGTTCATCTTTTGGTTTCAGAACGCAATTGGGGAGTTTGAAGATCAGGGCCTCAGCGTCAGCATCCCTGCGGCCCTCGTTGCGGTCTCCAACATGCCCAGTGCATCTGAGACGACGATCAGCAGGAACAAGAAGAGGCCAACAAGCTGTTGAGAACATGTGAGAAGCCTCAGCTGAGATCTTTTGGGATTCGGGGGCCTAAACCTAATGGGAGAGGCCATGCGCAAGGAGCGAAAGGCCCTGCGCCTTGATTGTGTATGTCTCCCAACACCCAATTCTTTGGTTGAAAAAACCGTAAAGTACTTAATTTGCAACCCCCATGCGCAACCAACTGGGCCCCTGCCCAGGGTGACCTTCTTGGATACTCCGCGGATGTCCAGCTACCTGTTGGCTCTTGCTGTGGGCCGGTTCGATTCCATCCAGGCACAGACGGAGAACCTTGGTTCTGGGTCACCCTCAGGTTTGCCTTACTTTGAGGGAAAGCAGAGCCCAAGGGCATCCTGCTTTGAGTTTGTGGAAGTTCATGCTGCAGATCTTCGACTCTTCCAAGCGTGAAAACCTACTACCTACTACGACAACTACGACCACTACTTCCACTCCTACCACTTCTACCACTACTGTCACTACTGCCACTGCTCCTCCTGCGGCTGCTGCTACTGCTACTGCTACTGCTACTGCTACTGCTACTGCTACTGCTACTGCTACTGCTACTACATGGTTGGTGTTACCACGACTACTCTCGCTATTGCTGTTACTACTTTTTTGCGAGAACCTTCTATTGCCACTACTGTTGCAAGTACTGCTGCTTTGGTGCGCCAAACAAACGCACAATTGCACTTCCCTGTTCGAAATAAGTTTGTGACTAGCTTGCCAAATGCTACGGAAGTCCCCTTGGGAGCGCGATCAAGTGCTTTTTTGTCCATGAACTTGCGCGGAAGCTTCCGCGGTCAGTCATGGTGTTTGAGTTGTTTCTTTGCAAAAACCGACAAGCCAAGTCAGCTCTTTTGCGATTGGGAGTCTTCTCGGTTGTCAGGGCCACGGTGCGGTGGGGTTCCTTGGACGTGCGCTGTTCGGCATAAGCATGTGCATCCCCACGAGCTTCCCCACGAGCTTGGGCACTACAGTCTACACAACACTGCCGTTCGATCCACGAAGAGGATGAATTGGGATACATGTATCGTGAGAGGAGACGGATGGTTAAAACAAAAGGCCGGGGGACCAATTCCAAGAAGAGGCGGAGGAGTCGAAACGGAGTGGGTAAAGAACTACGCGGCCTAAACGCGACGCGAGATGCGACGTTTCTCACATCCCAGGAGCGGCACCCTGATCCGTGTCTTGACGGTGCCTGGCCAAGCCATCTTGGGAGAGTTTGCCCTTGACATCGCCCGGAAGAGCTTGGTCTACTACGAGACCTACTTCGAGGCCCGGCCCCCTTAAATGAAATCTTGGTCATCTTGGAGTTATGACACAAAAGCGCTCGAAGCAGATAGCACATCTCAACACAGTGCACGAGAGGCTCCCTACCCCTTGCCGAAGCTGGACATGCTGGCAGCGCCCGACTTTGCAGCAGGAGCCATGGAGAACTGGGGATTGGTCATCTACCGGGAGGTGGACCTCCTCTGCAACGTCTCCACCATCAGCGTGGCGCGGAAGGTACGGATCGTGGCTCAGCCTTGGCTTAGAGTGCCATAACCGCTCGAAGCCCTTTACGCCGTTTGGCATTTTCTGTAGAGTACTCTGTCAGTGTTCTCAGCAATAGCACAAAGTCTTGATTGGGAGAAAGGCCACAGTGGTCACGCACGAGCTGTCTCACATGTGGTTCGGGAACCTGGTAACCATGGAGTGGTGGGAGCAGCTCTGGCTCAATGAGGGCTTTGCCAACTGGATGCAGACGCACGCTGTGAACACGCTCTTCCCGGAGTGGCATATCTGGGAGCAGACCCTGGTCTGATCTGGGGGGTTTTTCCGAAATTAGGGGTCCTTATGATAGCATCCCTACTATTTGGGGGGGGTCCCTTACTTTCGTAAACCCCCATATCACTGATGTTGTCCCCCACCAACACCCTCTAGGCTTTGAATAGACCGAAGCTTCGACAAACTGTTGGCCAAAGCCTCAAATCAGCATATTTCTTTCTGAAACGCCAACGTTCCCAAAGTTCCCAAACGACGACCCTTTGATCATTCTCTCTCTTGTCGCAAAGGCTTTGAGAAACAGCCTTGTCCATCACCGAAGAATGATTGCATGTGGCCAGACAACCCATTTTCAAGGCTTGGCAAACATTATAATAGTATAATAGTATAATAGTCTAATAGTATAGTGGTAGAATGATAGAATGGTATAGTAATATAAGAGCATATTCGTATAAAACAGTATAATTTTTACTATTTGGTGTCATGAAGCCCATGAAGCGCCCCCCCCCCCCCCCAAGAAAGCTGAGGTACGTAGTGCAGGAGCAGAGTCGCGCCTTGAGCCTGGACGCACTGCGGAGCTCCCATCCCATCGAGGTGGGTTTAGGGTTTAGGGTTTAGGGTTTAGGGTTTAGGGTTTAGGGTTTAGGGTTTGAGCTTTGAGGGGGTTCGGAATCTTAAAGGGCACAATCCGTCCGAGCCATTGCCCAGAGGTGCCCATCCGCAACGCCAAGGAGGTGGACGAGGCCGAGTGTAGGAATCTGTGAAAGGTTGTTTGAGAAAAAAGACTCAGCACGAGACTTTATGCGCACAAAAATCATGGTGAGGAAGAAGACTCAACACATGCTGTAGTTGATGTTTGGAAGAACGAGCAAGGGTTGGGGGAGCCAGATGAGTAAGTCTACGATGAGATGCACCCATAACAGTTCGTTTGCAGGGTGTGGCTGGCCCACCCCGTTTCTTGGAAAGGCGGCTGTCTTGCAGGAGGTGCCAAGATTCCACTGACCCCCCTAAGCCCTAAACCCTAAACCCTTTTTTTCCTACACGCGAGGTCTTTGACGCCATCTCCTACTGCAAGGGCGGATCCATTGTGCGGATGCTGACTGGGGTGCTGGGCCAAGACCACTTCCGGGAGGGCTTGCGTCTCTATATGAAGCGCTTCGAGTACAAGAACACTGCCTCCTCAGACCTGTGGACCTGCTGGGAAGAGGTTTCGGGGAAGCGCGGCTGCCCCTGGAAAGAGGGTTTTTGTTTTTCGTTTCGGCGGCTATGCATGAAATAAGACGGGTATATTACCATCATGGGGAATTGGCAACTAAAGTTACCTTCCAAGGGAATGCAAATTGGAGGAATCCATTGTCGAGATCCATTTCTCTTTCCACACTAGCAGCCATGCACGAGGGCAACAAAGCAACACAGGCGACGACAGCAGCAGCAGCGACAGCAGCAGGGGCAGCAGCAGGGGCAGCAGCAGGGGCAGCAGCAGCGGGCAGCAGCAGCAGCGATAACATCATCCAAATGGCCCTCGTCAATCTTAACCGGCCTTCAAGATGTAATGAGTGCCAGAACCGACTGAACCTTCACGGACTGCGTGTCCACAACCCCGAGCATGCAGCAGACCGCTCAGGATACAGCTGAGAGAGATGATGAACTCCTGGACGCGACAGCAGGTCCCAGCATCTCAGACGTGCTAGGGCGGAGTGCACCTGAGAGCACTTTGCAGGGCTTGTGGGCAAATCCCCTTGAGAAACTGAGGGGCCTTGGGGCGCCCCAGGCATGCCAAGACAGTCGTAGGGACCTTTGCCCCAAACAGTCGGCAGGTAGCTTTTGCTACGGGTGTATCTTCACCTGTATCTTCACATGTATGGCGCAAGATGGCAATGGAGCTCTATAGAGATCCTTGCTTGAGCAGGGCTTCCCCGTGCTGACCGTCAACGAATCGCTGGACTCTGGTGTCAGAGGTACACGGAGACTCACCGCAGCTTGCAGAGATTTGCGAGTGTTTGCTCACTCCATGACAAGCTGACAGATGCTGAAAGCATTGCCTGGCTTAGGGACCATGTGAGGGTTCTGGGGTTCTGTATTTCGGGACAAACAAAAAGAATTTCGACTCTCTGGCTAGTAGAAACATCCGTCCTTGATTAACATTCGGCAGAACTCAAAGCCGTTGGTGTTTCGGAATGTCCTTTTTATGTTATATGATCACGTGATCCGTCTGGCAATCTGGATGAACTGCAGTTTCAGGTGAAGCAGCAATGGTTTCTGGCTGATGGAAGTGCGCTGCCTGGAGACAGCGACAAGCTGTGGCAGATCCCTTTGCTGCCCGGGCCTCTCAAGGACCTGCAGACCCCGCTTCGGTTTCGGTTGAGAGTTTGGGGATTTTTAAACGCGCCGGTAGCCTCCAAAGCTGAGGAACATCTGTGTTCATTCGTGAAACAGCTGGGGGGGACATAGTCAGCCAGCTCAGTCTGTCGAGGCACAAATTCTAGCACCTGGAGAATAGCTAGCGAAATCTGTCTCCCGGTCCTGACCTTGGTGCAGAAGGTAAGAAGCAGCATCTTGGTCCCTATCTGCGCTGCTGGTCGCACTTCTGCGCGACACTGTCTGATTGCATCCTCTACAATGTCCGCTGAACTGCAGACCGTGAGGTTTATAAGCAAGGCTCCTTGCCGGCTATGCGCGACATGTCTTGCACGAAGCATGCGCCAGGACAGCAGGCTGCAAAGCCTCCGGGGTGCAGATTTGACACCAGCGCAGAACCCCGCATCGCCGCACCGCAGACCACAAAAGCCCAATCCCCAGACCCTCGTCCCCGACACTTGCACACACACGTCCATCCTGCGGTTCTCAGGGCCTTCCCAGGAGTTTCTGCAAACGCTGCTTCGCCCAGAACCTCCCAGCACAGCCTTAAAACGCAAACCTGGCCCCCAAAACCTGCAGGGTCGGGCATTTCTCAGATGTTTTTAAGTTTTGGCTTTTTCTCCTTTTACACCAAGCGCTGCGTGTCAATGTTGACGTGGATGACTCTGGAGGAGTCCTTGTGGCTAGAAGAAGAAATGAAACGGGGCTCTGTTAGTCATCGATTGGGGACACCTCGATCGGTCTGTCGACGTTGGCATCTAAGTGGCTGAAGATGGTTTAGGGTGACTTCCGCCCTGACCTAAGCTCCACATGTCTTGAAGTCTGGGGTGTAGTAGGGCGTGGGGCTGGGGCAGCAGCAGCTTGCTGAGGGTCGAAATCTGAAAGATGTTGAAAGGAGGGTGGGGGGGGGGGGGGAGAGGGAGAGGGAAGGGCTTCAGGGGGATGGGTCTTCGGATGCCACATTCAACGCCATCCGTGAAGTCCGATGCCCGACGCTTACCTTGATCTTTTTTACCAAGGGCTGGCAAGTCGAAGCTTAAATCCTGGAACTTTTACACATCCCTCACACCAAGTAAGTGTTACTCTGGACTCTCAAGCTCTCAGCTGACTCAACAGGAGGCTGCAAATGGCAAGCAGCCCTTGGCTTTGCTGGACAAGAAGTCGGACTCCTGGCAAGTGCCGGCAAACGCTGCCACCTGGACCCTGTGGCTTTTTGAATGGCATTCGTTTTGTTTAAAGCTTGGAGAAGCTGTTCCATGAAGCAACGGTGTCGAACAAAATCGATGGGAGAAAAGAACCGGCGGGATCTCTTCTGCACCTGAAGAAGAGTGAACACATGGGCCATGTGCTGCACCGCCTTAGATTCTGCACACAGTGCTGCTGCAAACAATGCCGCGCAGTACATGCACACCACCCTTTCACAGCTGTGGTCATGCCTTAGTGTTGCACAACAATTTTTTCTCAGGAGTCGCTCGTCCCTTGACCTGTCTCCAATGTGCTCTCTACCCTAAAGCCCCAAAGCCCTAAAGCACAGCCCAGGATCAAGTTCAACTTTGGCCAGCTAGCGCCATACCGGGTGCTGTATGCTAGCCAGAACTTGAGGCCAGGACATGACTGGAGCTAAGACTGCTAAGACAAATTGGCAGCTTACAGTGTCTAGCCGTGCCTTCTGTTTTTGGAGGCTTGATGGGTTGAGACTGCAAGTTTGGTAGTTTGCGTGCTTTGTGGGCTTGGATACCGTTATCTTCGTTGGCAACAAAGGGTATACTAGAAGCAGACCAACGGAATCACGCACATCGTACCTGTTACGGTGCGTCTGATGTAGCCGCGTAGCCAAACCCTTATCGGATTTTAGCATTTGCAAAGGCATGGCTGTGAGTATGAGTTGCCGCGTCGGCTTGTAAGCCCCCATGCCAGCCCCCACCTGCCCCACAGCTATTCCGAATGGGGTAGCCAGGTTAAATGGAGGAGGGCATTTGATGGCAAAGGTCTTGGGAATTGAGCCCACCAACAAACTTGCACTGTTACATGCAGGGTAAGGTGCGATGCTACATTGCATTGGGAGATGGCAGTGCTGATTTCGGCTGATCATGATCTAGATGGTTCGGTGCCATGGTTTCATTTCTTGGTAACATCCCCGGTTTTTGTTGGCTCCAGCCTGCTACTGAAATCTCTGGATTGAATCCAACATGTCCAACCAATCCCCCCTGAGCCTACTTAAATCTTTGAGAGGCCACCAGGCCGCTCCAAACAGATGCTTTGCAGAACCGCTCCGGTAGAAGCAAAACATCACCGTCACAGCGGGCCGTGCCCCAGGTCTCAGCTCAGCAAGGCCGTTCGCTCCGGCGAGGCTTCCGCGGTAGACCGCATTGGTTTGCTGATGGACGCCATGGCTTTCGCGAAGCAGGAGCAATGCGCGCAACAAGGTTTCCTTTATAGGTGGTTGATAGATTTCAATTCGGAGTTTGCTTGAGCTTCAGCACCTTCCATAAATAGTGTAGCACCGATGGGAGGGGAAGACCAAAGCCAAGCTGAAATCCACGCACCGGAGCACAAGGCTTGCGGTAGAATCATGAGAGTTCAAGGCCCGAACCTTCAAAGCCCGACAAGAAATTTCCGAGCTCCCCCAAACACCCAAGAGATCCCAAGAGAGATCTTGCAGTAAAAGTCTGAGTGCCGCGGTTTGTGAGGGCCAGCAGCCCATCCGTGAGCTCCTTCGCTTATTGGCGGCTTTCAAAGGCGAGAAGAGCGCTCACGTGCCTGGGAAAGACTCGGAGTTGGTTTTGAGTTCCTTGTGAGCTACCTGCTTAGGCGCGCCTGTTTTGCGGGCCTCTTCAGGATCTGATTGATTAGTATACGGCCTGTCATTCATCATGAACTTCCGCAAGCAAGTCTGCAGAAGTTGCAGCAAAAAATACAGTTTTGAGGTCTGGGAAGCCCTGAACACCGTCCTGCGCACCTTGCACCGGACGGTGCTGGCGATCCAGAGCACGGAGTACACCTTGGCCCTCCAGGAGGCGGTGGGCAACGGGCTGCTGCGGGGCGCCCTTCGGGAGGCCAGCACCTTCTCGGCGCACGAAACTCTATCCTCCTTGTGGAATTCTTTTTTTTGTTTATATAGAACCCAAGAGGGTTTTTCAAAATATTAGTTTTCATTCAGGTTCTAAGGGGGAGTATAGGAAAGCGACTTGGTCCGACAGAAGCGGGCCTTGGTGATGGCCTTGGTCGCTCGATACATGCCCCATGACCGGGAGGTTCGGGAGGAGGCGCAGAAGAAGTTCGATGCTTGGTTGGAGGCACCGACCTTATCGCTGAAGCAGGAGCTTTTGCCCGACGATCTCAAGACATCTATCTTCAGAATTGTTCTCTCCAATGCCAATGGAAACACGCAGTACCAAGCTCTTCGGCGTTACGTGAAGGGGTCAGACACCCCTCAAGCTGTCCGCCTGAGCATCTACAAAGCGCTTGGAGCCGCTTCGCGGAAAGACCTGCGAATGAGACCGTGCTCTTACGAGCAGCTGAGTGTTTTTATGTGTGATGTCAAAGTGTCATATTAAGGCTGTTAAGGTTTAGGGATGTTTAGGGGATAGCAGCCATGGGGGCATCAACGTGGGGTCCACAAGAACAGCCAAGGAAGACGCTGGACATGGCAATGGGGGGCCGCAATGGTGTCCGCTTGCAGGACATCATGTACCCCATTCAGGCCCGTTTGCAACTGGGGCTCTGGGTGCTGTTTGGGCAGCTCCCCATGCCGGACGGTTCGCGGCAAGGTGTTGCGTTGGAACGGAATCTGGCAATGCTGGCTGGCTCTCCCCCCCCCCCTCCCTCTCCTCCGTCCCTCACCCCCGTTCCTCTCCCCCATCCCCCTCGGAAGCAGGGTCGCTTGTAACATCTGCCAAATCACTTGCAACATCTGCCTTGTTTTTGGCACCGGGCAAAAAAGGCAGAAGGCAGTACTTGTACTACTACATAGTACTACCTTGTACTTCTTTTCGGGGTTAGTAGGAAGAATACTAGCATGAAGCATAGAAGTAGTAGACGAAGCATCAGATGTCACAAGTCAGAAAATCCAGATGTTACAAGTCACGATTCTGAGATGTTACGAGTGAGCTCTCTCCCTCTCTCCCTCTCTCCCTCTCTCCCTCTCTCCCTCTCTCCCTCTCTCCCTCTCTCCCTCTCTCCCTCTCTCCCTCTCTCCCTCTCTCTCTCTCTCTCCGCTCTCTCCCTCTCTCCCTCTCTCCCTCTCTCCTCTCTCCCTCTCTCCCTCTCTCCCTCTCTCCCTCTCTCCCTCTCTCCCTCTCTCCCTCTCTCCTTCTCTCCTTCTCTCCTTCTCTCCCTCTCTATCTTCTCTCTCCCTCTCTCCCTGCCCTCTCCCCCCCCCTTCCCTCTCCCCCTTGCTCCCCCTCGCTCCCTCCCCTCCCCCTCGCTCCCCCCCACTCCCCCCCTCTCCCCCTGGGTTTTTGGGTGCCCTTGCCTGACCTTCTCCACAGGGAGTCGCAGCCATGGATCCAGATGGCGCCCAGATAGCTTGGCGATGGCTTCTTCTTTGGATTGGGGGGGGGGGGGGGGATTTGTGGATGCGCGGGTGTTGTCGTTTTTCATTTGGCTGGTTCACGCCCAATCTTCAGGGCTGAATTACGGAGACTCCTGCAGTGCATTCAGCTCAGAAGCCAGACCTTCAAGCCTAAGCACCAGGCGTTGATCCGGTTTCTAACCTCGGCTGCATGTCCTTCTTGCACCACTGAAGCAGTAGTGACCCCTTCTCAGCAGACCACAGGTTTTTGATTCTGCAGCTGGTGAAATACTGCACTTCCCTATTGCCAGTTTACATCCTTTTTGACAAGACTTACGTACAACTTTCTATTGCAGGTTGCGACAAACGAAAACAGCCGGGTTCCCCCTTGTCTGAATCGAGATTTCGGAATCTGCAGTGTTGGTCTGTTGTGGATTGCGATGGCTTCTCCATCTGCCATGGGCTCTCTGGGCTTGTTTGTGGTTCGGCTGAGAACAGCAACTTGAGATGTGGCTTCCAGTGGGCCTGTCACATGGATGTGCCCTTCGGGCGCACGATCGCCTGCAAAGCGCGCTTCCCGAGGCTTCGCCGCGGATGCCAGAGGCAAGGTAGGCAGGCAATGCCAATGGAATACCCTGGTCACCCATCGGCAAGCAACTCGCCACAGTTGCAGCCTAAAGTTCACGGCCAAAAGAGTAACTCACTGTTGCGGCGAAAATGTCGGGCTGAGTGTGGCCCTTGCCAACACATCGGGGCCCGCACCAAGCTTTTGTGAAACGGAACACTTGTTGCGGCCTTTCGCTAGCCTTCAGACGCAAGCTACCAGCCTGGAAGCAACATGCCCAGTATCTGAAATCTGTCTCAGGCTCACAACAAACTCCCAAATTCTTCTTCAAGCCGAGGTTTTTGCAGCGTCGCCGCGCCATTACGAGTCGCCTGCGAGGCGAGTAGTCTACATATGCTTATTACGGCTGCTCGTGCTGAGGGGGGTTAAGGTTGAGAGTTTTGGACCAAACAAAAGCTACCCTTGCTTGTACCGCCTTGGTTGAGCCAAATCCTCCTGCCGAAGTTGCACTTCGTTTCTCCGAGTTGACAGCAACCCCATGCCAACATTGAAAACGTGCGCGAAGCACTCCTCTGGAGTATGATTCGAGGCGCCAGCAAAGCGGAACCTGCCATAAGAATCCCAAGCAGCCTCCTTCTTTTCATTGCTCTAACATCTCCAGGAGCCAACGTGCGTCTCCTGGGATCAGTGATTGACTGTGCCGCCGGGGCTCTGCCCGACAAGTCTCACGCCAATGCCGTGGAGGCTAGTATTGCTTGTGCTTCCAAGTCTTTTAACCACTATACAGGCTAATGTTGCTCTCGGTGTATCATCTGAGCCCAACCCTTAAAAACAACAATGTCGCGATTTGGGACGCCCTCCACAAAGAGAGATGGGTTGAGGGGTCGAGGGTTGAGGAGCTTACCCTTTTGGGTTGAGGGGGGTTCTGCATCGGAGGAATGGGGCACGCGGGATTCATTCGGACCACCCAAACACACCAAAATGCAAAAGAAGCAGCCTGTAGACGCCCTTGAAAAGCTGTTTGTAGGAAGCAATTTCAAAAAGAGATTTTTATCTCAACTCGGCTCCAGATGTTTGAAGAATCTGAAGCTGGAATGGGTCAAACCTGGAAGCTTAAGGGCCTAAGGGCTCCTGGCCTGTTGATTCGTCTGCCTTTCCTTTTTGGCCCCGGTGGTTTCGGCCCCGGCCCGCGAACTTCGCGTTCTTCCGGGTAACCGGGTAACCTTTCCAATAGGGCGGAGGTTGAAACTCTATCTTCAAACTTTGCATAGTCGAATAATGTTCCATCGGGAGAAATATGTAACATGATACCGTTTAATTAGTGAGTTCAACGTGCTGTGCCATGCGATGCCCTTGCACATTGTCGTTTGTGGCTTGAAGTAGGGTCTATATTTCTTGTACCCCGAAAAGGACACCCCGTATATACACTCACCAAAATTCAACAGGACCCTTATATACACTCACCACAGTAGAGTACCTAAACCCTAAACCCTAAACCCTAAACCCTGTTTCATATGAAGGCCCTCTTCGAGCAGCACCCGGTGCCTGGCTTAGAGCGCAGCATTGCGCAGTTGGTGGAGGCCGTGGAGTCGACTCAGAAAGCCGAAACACCCGTTGGGCTTAGGGTTTAGGGTTTAGGGTTTAGGGTTTAGGGTTGATTCTCCTGGCTGTTGCGGCAAAGGGCTTTTTTCATACAATTCAAAGGGTTTTTTTCTTGAGGGAGCTCTCAATTTTGGCAGCTGTTTCGTTCAGATGCGGGTAGATGTAGACAAGTCCAGGGATGAAGTTCAATAGCATGTTGAGTCCTGAGGTTTTAAGTCCCGCGCGCAGCAGCAACTGTCTCTATTGCAAATTGCACAGATGCAGAGCTCGTGTTCCCTTCAGAGGCGATCCGCACGGAAGCAAAGTTCGTCGCGCGGATGGAGGATGAGATGGGTCAGCCGGAGATGAAAGAAGTTTTAGAAGCCTTCCAGGAATGACATCAATGACACCTCGCAGCTTGCAAGTTCTTCGAAAGCCTTCGAACCCTCTACCAATTTTAGCCATCTTTGGGTCGTGAAGTGAACCTCAAAAACGGTAGACCTCTACGCCCTCTGCTTTCCCATCAGGACATCTGAGCCCCGTGCCCTTGAAACCCATCTTTAGACCCTGCCCAAACACAGATGGACACCGTGATCTTGGCATTGAAATTAACCGGCAAGATGCGTGGACATCATTTTTGGTTTTTGGACCGCAGTCAGCGACTCGCACTGATCGCCAGTGCCCCAGATCTCACCCGAGTTGGCCTGTGAGGATCTGTATAGATCTCTTCAGCTAGGGCACGTTCCGCGCGGCAATTGTTTTCAAAAAGCCGAATGCTCGGATCTCGCAGCATCACTGATCGCTCCTGGTTTCTCTTCGTTTCGCGGAGTTGTGGAGATGTAACCCCAGAAAATCACGAGGTACAAGTAGCATCACGAGATATCACGAGCTTATGACATCAGTGTCGCATGCGTCGGACTTGCGAGCAAGACGGTTGACGTGGCTGCGGCTTGCAGGCTGATGCGGTAGCTTGGCAGTGAGAATCACAGCCCCCTGAGATCGAGCTAGACGCCGAACCCAGTCTTAAAAAACCCTCAAGTTTATGTCCTGGGAACGGGGAGTGCATTCCCAAAACCCAGAGGCCACCGAACAACACAACCCCAAATTGGCAAAACGCTCAACACCAGAGCCTGTGCAGCCGGTACAAGAAGCCCGTGTTGTGGGCGATTCGTGGGATGAAATCTGTAACAACTCCCGCGGTCGGCGGCCTACATCTTCGCGGATGACTGCTGCTTGGCAAGAGCCCGATCTGTGGGACTTGAATTGGGGCCGCCTCAGAATAAGGACCCAAAAGGGGGCCATAATTTAGAGAACTCACCATCGGTAGAGAAGCACAAGGGGCTTGTAAGCTAGCGCCGAGAAATTTGGCAACCTTGGGATGCCCAAGTCCAGCTTCACTTGTCGTTTGGGCTTGTGTGGTTAGTGTGGTTGTGAGCTTGGGGATCAGCACCTCCAGCACGGATGTCACATCTCAATGGATGGAGATGCCTGTCGCGAGGGCACGCTAACTGCCTGCGATGCTGCTCATTCAGTGCTGCCTGGGCGATGCAGTACAAGTGCCAACTCTTTTGGGGGCATATTTCGCGCTAGTGCGGGGTTTGCGATCTTGCAGTCGCGAAAACGGGGTACAACTGCATCAACATGCAAGTTATATTACTTGCAGCTTCCCGGCGTGTGGTCCTTCAGACCCGCATTGCCAATATCCACTGGGATCCAAGACACGACGCTGTCGTCATCTCATCAAGGGTTCACGTGCGCGCACACACACACACACAACACACAGCACACCAAATCCTCCGGGCCGTGGCTCCCCACGAGCCCAAGGCATGAAAACAAGAAGCGCCTGCACCTGAAGTCTTGAGCCAATCACTGAGGTATCCCGACGAAAGTCTTCAGGCCATCGGCGTCTTCTGATTGAGTTGTCGCAGGGGCATATGATTCGCGCAGCAGACTTATATGTCTGGTTTAAGGCTGGGCTGAAGAAGCTTTCCAGTGAAGAAAGCATCTGCGTCAGGCCAGGTCCAGGCGATCGGCGCCGTCCTTGCCACAGCTGCTTCCACAGTGGCAGCCACACAGCTGACGCATGCGGCCCAAAGTCGGTTGCACGCTCCGGCCTTTGTCATGCAACTCAGATCAACAACTTCAGGGGGCCAGCTCTTCATTTCCTCGCGCTGTCGCGGCTAGCTCTGGAGGTCATGACGACTTGAGAGAAGTGCACCCCGAAACACGAAGTGGCTGTAGGGTTGGCTGTTGGGATAGACATCCACAGTCCATTTCCAGAGGCAGTCTGGAGGGGAGAAAAAGGCGTCCCGCTGTTGTCAGCTACCATCCCCACAGCCTCCACTCCCCCGCCCTATTCATCAGCCATCTTCCAACTGTAAGAAGAGGTCATCCGCCACGAAGAGGAATACGAGTGCCAGATTTGCTTGTTCATGATGAATTAGCCTATTTGCGTGTTCAGGTACACGCACATCTCGATGATGGCCTTGCTGCTGCCATTGGCACATCTTCTGGCAAGAGGCGAACGCTACATCGCCAGCTTGAGGGATGTTTGCGTGTTCCTGCCACTCTGGGCAACTTGCTGGCACGGAGCGGAGGCCAAGCGGGAAAAATGGGAGACTGCACTCTTGTCACACATCCACAGGCTCGTGTGCTATGCACCCTCAAGCTAGCTTTATGCAAATACCCTGCCCTCTTCTCATCTTTGGGAGTTGGGAGGCAAGTTCCAACATCCAAACGCAGGCTCTGTCAGGCTGTGGCAAAATGCCTCTTCAACACCAAATGTCTCCCGGCACTCAGGTGCTGTCCAACTACTCCCTGACACAGGCGCTCGCGCTCGCGCCGGCTGGAGTGGTGCCTTCGACGCGTGAGGCTAAATCCCGAAACTTTGAGGTTCAGAGGGCTTGCGCGTACTGCGGCCGTTGGATGTTGCAGTTACTTAGATGTTTTTTGGTGATGGTGTCCTGGTTAAGAATGTCAGAGTTTGAGTGCTGAAACATACCTCTTAATGCCTTATCGGCTTAAGGGGCCCTTTGCGTCTACCCGCGTTCTGCAATGCTGAAAAGGCGGGACTGACAGCTTTGTTCAAACTTGGCATTGCGCAGAATCATTGAGAATGCTATTGCAAGCGTTTGGTCGCCAAATACTGGGCTACATCTTCCTTTGGATGCGCTGGGTCACATGGACCCTGGCTCTATGTAAAGCATTGTCAGCTTTACTGGGGAATCCGAGGTGCAAACGCTGTTTGGCACAGGCCCATCACAGGCATCGGAGGGGTTGTGGATCTTGAGATGGTTTCGCAGGCTGGCGTTTGGTTGAGGTTTCTTGCGCCATAACCGTGCTTGTGAAATCTTGGGCCAGCTTGGAGTTCAACACGGAGCTTGCAGTGTGATGCATCGTCAACTGGACTATTTCCAACCCCAAACCCCTCAAACCACCTAAACCCCCGCAAAACTCCCGCAAAACTCCCGAGCCAAGACTGCTACAAACCCCAAGCAAGACCTCGAGCCAGGTTGCAGTACTGAGCCGTATTTTCCTTGCCGAGCGCTTTACTTTCACGAGAACAGTGGCTGTTCTTTTGGCTTTCGCAGGACCAGTTGTCAGGGCCATGCTCTGTATTTTGTGGAGATGTCGGCTTTTGTGGCAAACTTGCATTGAGAGAGTAGAGGGCTTCGGGTAATCATGGGCCTTGTTGATCCCTTTAGCCATGGACTTAGCAAAATGCCTGGAGCCTGGTCCTTGAGGGTTCAAGCACGGGCCCACTTCCAAGCCAATCATCAGCATCAGTGCACGCAACAGACGGGATCACGTTTCGGGTTTAGGGTTTAGGGTTTGGGGTTTGGGGTTTGGGGTTTAGGGTTTAGGGTTTAGGGTTTAGTGGCAGGAGCAAGGTAACGATGGAAAGTCATCGGCGCCCAAAAAAAGGCACAGCTGGGAACCTGCAAGGCCGCAGGGCATCCTGGCAACAACACTTGGTGCCAATCTGAATATGCCGAAAGGCCGAAAGGGTTGGCATATAGGCAGCAGCTGCCGCAGGAGCTACTATTTTGGCTTCAAGATCGGGATTTCAGCGAAACTTTGCTCAACATAAGCAGTAGAGCAGGCCTACTCCACCTGAAGCTCCGCAAAAAGAGCCGTTGGGGCCTAAAGACTTGTTGCACTACTTGGTTGGAAGCTAACCTCTAAAAGCCTTGCACGATCGTCAAGACCCGATGCCCAATACCCTGAAAGCCATATCTCAGTTGTTCAAGTAGGCCACCACGCTACGAGGCCAGTCCGGAGAGAACGTCGGCTTCGGTTCTTGTTTCGCGCTTGCGGCCGTCTTTGCTTCGGCTGCTGGGCTGAGGGTGCTAGCAATATTTACGCGGCTTGTTTGGCAATATCTCCGTGGTGGTTCAACATCATCTTTTCCATCAAGCATGGGATCTGGAATGGGACGATTGGCAAAATCTCGGCATTCTGTGGCATCCCGAAAATACTGTACTGTTGGGGGAGCCCCCATCAAAAGTGCCGCCGAGATTTCCTTGAACAAGCTTCGCCAGACATTCGAACAAACTCAAAATGTGTTCCGTTCCCAGACCAAGGACCTTTGTTTTGAAAACAGCATGCCGCAGCTACCAGTCGCGGCAAAACCTGGCACACACACACACACACACACACATGCAATACACATGCCTGCATCAGTCTCAAGACGTTGAATCGTTCGATCATCAATTTCACTCGTAGCTCACCGTGGCATGACTGTTCCAGCATTGCAGTTGACTCTCGCAAGCACCAAGGTACCACGGAATCCAAACTACTAATTGCTTGGCAGCCAGTCGGTTCCCATGTTGCCTTCTTTAGAACCCAACACAATGAAATCTCGAGTTCTGGACCTGCAACACTTTTGGCAACTACACTATGCTCTGAGAGGGGGGCGCAGCGTCAGACTCCCACTTCCATGTGTTTGCTACAGTGTGCCTTACAGTGGCCACCGAAGGCGTCTCTGCGAGACGGAGCTTGGAGCTGCCATGCCTGTGAGAGAGAGAGAGAGAGAGAGAGCGTCAGACGAGCACTGTGTGCAGGCCGCACCACGCAAAGCTGAACGACTTTTGCTTAACACCCGCACCGTATGAATCCTCTCCGAACCCATCACAAGCATGTTGTTTGCAAATGGGACGCTTCGCCCCAAACCCCCCAGCTTCTCTACGCCGTCGCACAAGCATTAGGTTTGCAAATGGGGGGGGGGGGGGGGGGGGGGGCGGTCTACGTGGTGCAAAGCTTGCGTTAACCTCCAAGAGAAATCGATGACCAATAGATGATTACCATTGCTTTTCTCGTACTTTGGACTGGTACTAGTACTGTTTTACTTTGATCAGTACTATTACTATTTCTTCCAACTCTCCCCCCCCCACCCCGCCCAAGCCCACGGACGAAAATGCGCCGTGCTTCGGACCGAACTTTGTCCTAGCAATAGTAAAAACGAGAAGGACAAGGGGACCCGAGCCACACCATGGACTAAACAATGGGTGATGTCTGAGCATACAGCATACATCGTGGAATCGGACTCGCCGTGTTGCAGTGTAGCTTCTCAGCCCAAAGTCCTTCCCACGTGCCTCAACAAAAGTCCTTCCCACAGGCCCCTGTTCCATGTCGTTGCCATTGCCAAGCGATTCTCCGTTTCTGATCGTGAACTTCTTGGGCTTCACTAAAGTTACTAAAGGGGAGAAATTTTCAGAAAGCTGAGAGCTTGAGAGGAGGAAGAGGGGATTAGGAGCCTCGCGAAGCAAAGACCCCCTTTTTTAGCTGCCTTTAGAGCTCCGGATCCTCGGCCAGGAACCAGCAGGTGCTCAAGACACATTGTTGGTTTTTTTAAAATGTTATGTAGTATCAGTATGATTTTGGTTGCTATTTTTCTTTTTATGATTATGATTATGATTATGATTATGTTGATAAGTTATTCTTAGTTACTGTTATTGTTATTTTGTTGTTGCACTTTTATTGGAATTAGTATGAATACTATTAGTAATTTCAGAATTTGTGTTTTTTGTATTTGACCTCTACGCTTGTGTGGGCCAGGCTAGCTACAAGGTGTCCTTCAAAGTGCGCTTGGGCACACCACCCCCGCATGTGGTGCTGGGAACTGCCACTGGCGCCGCAATTCTTGGGAGCCGGTTCACTCAGTTCACTCTTGGGGGGGTCTTAAATAAGTGGTTTTTGCAGGGGCTTGCTAGACGGCCATGTGGATGTTCTTGACGAGGGTTTAGGCGACTAGCCACACCGGCAATCTCCATCGATAAGGTTGGAACCCTGGGGGCTGTTGCCACTTGGCTCCGTGCACTGGTACATGCTTCAGAGCCAGCGCTGGTCAGAAGCTACTGTTTGTTGATCATTTGCCGACTGGAAGCTGCTGCTTCGGAACGTGAAAGTTTTTTGCACAGTATTGCGCAGTCTGAAGTGAAGAGCATGGCATTGGCATTGGTTTCTCCGGTTCGCCGGGCATCTAGCACGTAGAGCTTTCATGTTCATAGCAGGAAAGACACCTGGCAACCCTAAATCGAATCCTACCTAGAGTTGTGAGTTCCGTGGTTCAACCCTGAGGGTCCTGATCGCGGAATCTGTAGACGAGCTGACAGTTCCCGTACGCTGCCTACAATTCAAAAGCACTGCTTCGAAGATATCCGGGACGGGTTCAGATTGAGGCAAGGATTGAGGGTTCCTACGCGCGTTTTCCTGCGGCCTGAATTCAAGCTCTCCTTGCCCAGACAGCCGTTTTGGGCCTTCCCCTGGTGCTTCTGTTGGCGGAGCTGGGCGCGGAGGATCGGTGGTGGAGCCGTTCCATGATTGAGAGGGCTTTCATTTCAGAGGGCTTCAAGGAGGGGGTGTTTCGGTCGGCTTCGGGCCTGAGTTTTAGAATTTTGGAGCAGACATAGGAGTAACAGAGCACTTGTCAAGTTTGGGAACTCTTGGGGGCCAGAAAGCACATTGCGAGGTTCGGCTGCTGTCAACTGGCCGCTGGTCATCGGAAGCGCAGCGGTGGACGTCGTCTACAACACCTCCATTGCTTGGGGACTTGTCACTCCGACACTCCTGGTCATTGTGGTTCGGGCCCCTCAACCCCGTGTGATTTGAAACCTCACTTACAAGATACAAGTGTGATGATGGAACCCAAAATGTCAAGAATCAACTGTGTAGCGGATCACTTGTCTGACTTGCTTTGTCCAAATTCTAAAGTAGAAGCATGTCTTTTGTACGAGGTGCTGTAGACCTCACTCGAACCTATCCATCCGATCGTTGGCTCTGGCATGACAGCCTCCGTAAGAAGCCGGTGATGTTCGTGGGTCTCGTGCAATCGAGGCTTTTGCCAGCCCGGTGTTCATCTCCGTGGGCGTGGTGGTTGGAACACCGGCCTTTCGGCCAACCAGTTAGTTCAATCAGGGTGAGGTCACACTCAATATGAATGTTGCGCAGGACACTACTCATTCTGAGTTGCAGCTTACATACTCGTAGCAGCGTCTTGCAAGCAATCTTCCCGCTTTTGAAAAGCAGCCACCACACCGGGTTTGGCCCTTTCTTTGTCGGAGGTTCTGCATGGGCCAATAACGTCGGCTTCTCCACAAGCTAACCTTAAACCGAGGTCAACATGTTCATTGACGCCACGCTACACGGCGAGATGCCAAGCCTGGCGCAGTATGTCGGAGCCGCCGTGATCGCCGTGTCCTTTGCGCTTTTGGCCGTTTGACGGAACGCAGGACATCCTTGTTCCTTTGCCTGCCCACCTTATCCACTTGAGTAGCTCAATCAATTTTGACACACGTGACCCACCTCGGCCTGTCTTTGCAGAAGCCGACATGCCGCAATCAAGCTCTTCTACCCTAAACCAACCCAAGTACCCCGAAAGTCCCAAGATGCCCTTTCATGGCTCCAACTTCTTCGTCTCACGATTGGACGAGATTCCGAACTCTTCCAAGCCCTCGTCTACAGTACCTTAAGCCAGCAAGCCCGAATGCGTAAGCCCTCATAAGCTTTGAACCCTCAAACCGCGCAACCCGAAATGTGAGAGAAACACCTCCCAAACTCCTTCGGCCCGAGAAAAGAAGAGGGAGTGTTTGCATCAGCTTGTCTTGCAAAGGTATGCGTGCCTACCTCGCGTTCTGAGATGACCGTGCACAGCACGTCTTCGGATTCGTTAGTCCTGTCGGCTCGCGAAGGTGGAAGCACCTGAGGCCATTCGCCTTGTCCGTTCTTCAGTGACTTTCGTTGGAGTTGCTGAAGAAACGTCGTGTTTTTTCCTGTGAACATCCCCGACTTTTCGAACCTTATCAAGTTTTTGGCTGGCCGCCCCTCGAACCCAGGGTAGCACACGTGAGAGGCATATCTAATCAATGATCTTCCGCCGAAGATCGCCGAAGATCGCTCCTGCAGAGATGCCTGGTCTTGCCGCAGCTGTTTGGCAGCTGCAAGATTGGCGCACACGAGGAGCACCATTGATCTGTTGCCTCCTGTAGCCAGAGAAGATTTGTCATAGTCACTGGCAGCTGCCTGGCGTGGTCTGGAGGCTCACCAACAGACAAACTCTCACACTAGCAGAGAGTCGTGGAAAATCTTCTCACAGGTGTGAGCGTGGACGGTGCAAAACCTGGCAAATTAGCCAACATAATGTGAATCCCATGAAAGAAACGAGGAATTTCTTCAGGTACAGAGGCAATAATTGAGTCTCTTCCGAAGGAAAACCAAGAATCCCAACTAGTACGAATCCTACAAAAATGCAGAGGCCATAGAGCTTTTACAGAGGCAATAGAGTTTTTTCGAAGGAAAACCAAGGAAATCAACCAAATTAAAGCGAATCCGATGCAAACTAGTACGAGTCCTACTAACATACAGAGGCAATGTTTTTTCCGAGGGAAAGCCATGGAAATTGACCAAAAATGTGGTCTCTCCATCTAGCCTAGATGCAGCACAGCATTGCCATTCCGGCTTTCTCGTACTCTACAGAAGCGCCGTACTCCTCAACGTGACAACCCTGAAGAAAGCAATACGAGCGACCGTTGTTGCTTTCTACCTGGAGCTGCCCTGAAAAAGAGGCGCTCGATGGCGCTGGAAGTTCTGCTGAGCGGCGCAGCCTGCCTCCCAGCAGCCTTGCGAGCCAGGCCGTGTCCCAAAGTGATGCAATCCGAGGGTTTACGAAAACAAGGGACCCGGAATAGGGTTTAGGGTTTAGGGTGTAATACGGACCCTAAAGTAGTCGGATGCCCTTAGTATACTGACCTCAATAAGCTACCCTCTTGTCGGAAACCCCCATGTGTCGCCGCGTCACATGGAGGGCTTCCGAGTTGAGCTCTGAGCTCAGGAAAAGCTTCCCAAATTCGAAAACTTGCCGAACCTCAGGAAACCAACCCTCTCCCAAATGGGCTTTGGACCCCCCCTTGGCCACCCGCCCCTTGCTTGCGTCGCAGAGGCAGCTGGACACATTCGATCAGTTTGGTTCTGGTGATTGCTTGCGATCTGCAAGCTGGTGGCTGTGCCTGCCACCCGGCGCGTAGAGGGAGGGTCAAGTTTTAAAGATGCGTAAAGGTTCTTCAGGGATATGACGGCTAGGGACGGGGTTAGGGTTCAGCCGGCGAGATTGTTGTGGCCAACGTGAGTTTGGGCCCATGTCACACACACACGCACGCACGCACGCACGCACGCCACGCACGCAACGCACGCCACGCACGCCACGCACGCCACGCACGCCACGCCACGCCACGCCACGCCACGCCACGCCACGCCACGCCACGCCACGCACGCACGCACGCACGCTCGCACGCGCACACGCACGCACGCACGAACGCACGCACGCACGCACGCACGCACGCGCACCCACACACACACACACACACACACACACACACACACACACACACACACACACACACACGCACACGCACGCACGCACGCACGCACACGCACGCACACGCACGCACACGCACGCACACACACGCACGCACACACACCCACACCCACACCCACACCCACACCCACACCCACACCCACACCCACACCCACACCCACACCCACACCCACCCACCCACACACACACACACACACACACACACATGTATATACATATACATATATGTATATCCTGATACGTATACCCAAATCGTGCGCTTGTTGCTTCTTGCTCTTTGTGGCGTCCAGGCTCAGGACACCAAATCCAGAACCCAAGACATGAACTTAAGGTGCCAACAAACCGACCCTGTGCGATCTTGAAGCTGCCACCTTTCAGTCGTAGATGCGGTGGTTTGGCACTTTGATGCCTGACTCTGTCGAAGTTGATGCGCCGGTTAGCCAAGGCTGGGGGTTTCGACGAATTACTTCATGCATGGCTTCATCTGGCAGCTCGTCAAAACCCCGGCTCTGGGCCGAGTATTGCTAAATTCTTGGACTGCCAGGGCTTATGCTCACACGAAGGCCCACGTCAGGGCTTGGAAAAGAGTTCAACCGCTAGCAGTCACTAGCAGCCCACGAGGAACTACTCCAAGCGCTTCGCGGCCCTTTGCGAGAAGCCGCCTTTGAAGCTGCTGGGTTCTCATCCAGTGGATGTCTTTGCTTCCCTAGAGGCGCGTGCGCGCACTTCACCTTCAAAATCAAGTCTTCCGGCGTAGGCTTCGGGTTCTTTTTGGATTCTTCTTCCGGATGCTTTAGATCTGCTGGGGTTCAACTTCGACCTGCGAAAAGTTAGACGCGAAGCTGTCAGTCCCAGGCTTGTAACAGGCGCCCAGCACGACTGCCCAGTGTCTGTGAGAACCGTTGCCCGCTTCCTGTGGTGCAACACGCCCTCCAAAATCCAACAACCGGCTGCCCAGGCCCAGTCCAAATGTCTGTGTGTTTTTGGCCACACACGCCCTCGTAACCCCTCGCTTTTTAAAACCAGACGTCAACGCGGCCCCCCTTGCTGTTCCATCACTCAGCGGATGTGGAACCCAAGAGGCCCAAGAGGCAACCAAACGCATGGCCTCTACCACACTTCCAGGCGGTCGTGCCACTTGGCCGGGAAGTGCAGCTGGTCCTGTGTGAAAACGAGCGGGGCTCCATGGAGCCCAAACGAGTGCGATAAACAGTGGCACGAGCACGGTCCAAGTGCTAGGAAGCCTAGCTCTGACAAAGCTCCGGACATCTCCGGACAGCCGCAGCTGCATCCACCTGCTCTATTCGAAGGCCCAATCAATGTCCGAAGAGATCGGCGAGCACGTGTTTGTCTTCGTTGCCTCAATAATGCAGAAGGACAGCAAGTCATGACCTTCACACTCAATTTCCATGCCTGTCGCAAGCTCACGAAAGATGGAATACATCGACGAGCAGTTCATCGACAGATCGCTGCTAAGTTGTCGCCTCGCCTGAAAATGCAGTCTCTTCATAGCGAATACCGAGGGCTTGAAGGATTCTAGTCGTATCGATAACAGTGTTGTCTTGCTCGTCTAGGAGGACGGTACCACGGGCATTCTGCACACGCTGCTGGCATCTTGACATGTGCTGATGCAGCCTTGTCACCAACGTTGGAACCCAACGACAACAAAGGATCTTCTCACCTGATCGTTTTGGTTGGATGCTGATTTTGTTGGCTGCAAGGTCGGAACAAAGCTTCTAGCCGAGGCTTAACGCGCAACTGCCGCATGGCGTTTGGAGCCTCGCGTAGAGCTTGCTGTTCCAAAAGCCTAGCCAACGCATCATCCTCAGTGAAATGCATTCTGGATTGGGGTTGGGCTCGGGGTTGCGCGGATTCTTCGTTGACAGGTGGTCGCCAAACTCGTCCAAGCCTGCTCCGTTGGCACGTTACTCGGTCGTGCGCTCAGCGGCTTCAATACGTGACTTCGAGCCTTGGAATCACTCTTTAAAGAAAAGTGCGGCTTTTTTCTCTCGATCCGAGAACTACGACGATGGTTGACCAGTTGCACCCGAGATAGTCCCATCGCCCATAAGCCACGTTGAATGGTGCTCATCAAGAGGGGAACAAACAGGTTTGTCCAAAGGCGTGTAGCAGTAGAGCTGAAACCAGCATCCCAAACAACTGTACAAAAAACATCGGTCAGTATGTGCCCGGATCGCAGGCCGAGTAGAGCTAAGGTAGATATGATGGGCGGGGGTCATTGTTTACGAGTTCAGCAGCACTAATTACGGCTGTGACCATCGTGGTTATTACCAAAAGCCTATTTGCTCAACTTAGAACTTGTGGCTTTGCTACAAGACTGATCGTCAGTACTAACTGTAGTACTAGCTATTGGCCAATGCTTTGCTACTAATTGCTCAGCCATTCTTAGCGATCTGCTATGAATTTTTATTTACCCATGATTAGTCAATAGCTACGCGGTGCGGATTTTCTAGCTCTTGCTCTTGCTCTTACTCTTTCTTCACGATTACTGATGATTCCTATTCCCATGACGATTGTTCTTACTAGTACTATAGTACGTGTATTGGCATGAAGCGATGTGCACAGCCTCATCGCAAAAAAAAACCCTAGGCTCCGCCCAAACTGAAACACGGGGCGAGGCCAGAGTGGCCGGAGTGCGGCTTTGGAGGCTGCCAGGACAGCACCTGCCTGGTGCCCTCCCGGGAGGATTTGAGGGGTTTGGGGTCGCTTTTTGGGGGGGGCATGTTTGCCCGAGCTCACAAAGGTGGATGTGCTGACATTCGGCGGCTGTGAGCCATGTTATCTGCGCTAGAATTCTTAGAAGCAGCAGCGCCACAGCTCTGTTTGGGAGTAGAATGTACAAGTGGCTTGACAGATCGAGATACGCTGTCTAACTAAGCCGCTTACATGAGACTTCAGGTGCTGGGCAGTTTTCGCTGGGCTTCTGGCGGCCGGGCAGGCATCTTCCTCCCTTTAAAATGGTGCACCTAAGCCCAACCGGCCAAGTAAACCTGTGTCTGGCTTCTGTGACCAAAGCAAACTAAAAGGACAAGTCCAAAAGATCTCAAGAACCCGAAGTCCAAACTGACATCAGGCACTTAACGCGGCTACGTACAATGCCATCGGCAATGCTGGGGTTTACTACGGCTTCAAGCTCCCATGATGCAATTTTGTGATGGGTCCCGATACGCGAAAGGAGTGGCGTGTCCTTTTCAAATTGTACAAGGTGTTTCTGAGATGCAGGTGTTCTCATCATGGTCTTTCTGTGTCGCTCAGCAAGCGCAAGCCACATGGGCCACATGTAACAATCCCCTAGTTTGGCGGAGGCCTGTGTCATCGAACACGCTGGTAGCATGAAGAAAGAGAATAAACAGAGAGCTTGAAGTTCCTGTGTCCATGCGGCGGGCTGGGCACCTTGTAGCTTTTTGAACTTTGGGCTCCAGCGACAACAGATTGAGCGTTCGAAATCATGCAAGTGGATGAAGCTGTCTGGAAGCTACCGAGGTTAGGGAGGACGGTGCCCTGGTGCTCTGGCTTTCCCTTCAACACAGGCCTGCGACACCCACAGTGTCTCCGCCGCGGTTGAGCTGGGGGTTTGAGACGCTCAGGTTTTTGGAGCTGAAGTCTTGTCAAGGAAAACCATTTCAGGTGGGCTTGCATGCTTCCCTAACTCGGGCTGAGCAATGTTGGCAAGCAAATGATCCGATCCACTGGTTCTGAACTCACGGCGGACCGGTGCACGCGTCTCTGGCTTCAAGTGTCCCAGAACTACGCAGCGCATGTCCCGCATGCGTTTAAACAGCGAAAGTCCACATCAGCAACACCGTCGTCAACAACAGCAGCAACATCAGCATCACCAACATGAGAGCATTCCGTTTACGCACTTACAGTTTGCACAAGCAGACGAGTGGCTGCAAAAGTGACGATAGTTAGAATGTTTGTTTTATGGCAGCATCTCTTGAACAGCGAAAGCCCATTGTGGCCGGGAGTTTTGATGAGCATCAGAATCCTTGCCAAAAATTCAGAATCACCGTCGTCATCGTCATCCATGTCTCGTCATTCCTAATTCCGGGTCAAGTAGCAGCAGCACATCAGAGCAGTTGTATTGATGAGTAAACAATAGCAATGCAAGAGCACCTCTCTTTTGCGTAGGTTTCGGGGCTGCATGCATGCGCGACTATTTCTGTGGCGACGCAAGCTGGGCAACGCACGGGGCTGCCGATACTTGAGCTTGAGGCGCATTTGGTAGACATTGGTAGACTCTTAGACTCGGGCACCGGATTCGTGATCTGCACCGCCTCTTCAGAACTCAAGCAGGTTCTCAAGGGCCATCGGCTCAACCCTTGAGCTCCAAGGCCGCCTCAGCGCAAGGCAACGCCGTGCCAAAATGGAAACACAAAAGAGCCAAAAATCAAGGTAACAGGCTCCGGAGCCTCTTTTGCGACAAATTTGTAAACGGCCGCTCTCTTCGCGACAAGCCCCCCGCCTCCGCAGCAGGTCTCTAAGACAGGTCCGCGACATACCCACGCATACCCCTATTTTTGCCACGCGTAAATTCTTGCCAGCAGTCGCAGGGTGATCCCGCGCAGTGTGAGGCACGCAACGCATGGCAGCCTTCGCGAAGGAGCTGGCAAACCATACACAGCAGCTGCCTGCAACGACAACCACTGCGTTGGGGTTTGCGCAGAACCAGCCTCTGAAGACAGACGAGATGCAAAGCTATCCCAAACGACGGCAGCTGGGAGGATGACTCTGACCCGCCGCGCCCACGGACTGCTTCTGCCGCTTTGAAATGTGATTTTTGCCACTCTCGAACATGGCGAGGAGTACGCGCACACCGTGAGCGGGTGACACATTGCCACTTTCAGGAAACTTTCAGCATTCTCTCGACACGCGGATCCGGCTGGGCAACACATGTCCTGTTGTTCTTCATGAACAGCAGCAGCTCCACAACCACCGTCATCATCCAGCATCATCATCTAAGCAGCTTTGCACGTATTCAAAGTAAATTGAAGGATCCTCATCTTGTTAAGACGTTCGAGGCCGTGCCCAGCATCCAAGACATCCACGAAAAGGGCCCCCTGACAGTCTAGGTTGGCAGAGAGACCTCAGACTTAGGTCGCCTCGCTCGGCGGGGGAGGGCGGAAGAGTCCGAAAGAGGTGGGGCGACAAAACAAAGTCTTAGAAATTCCGGGCCCTAGGTGAGCTGGAAGGTTTTGTGATGTTTTGTGAGTTTACGTTGCTGAAACATCCATGAAACGTCGACAGCGCAGTTCGTCGAAACACCTTTCACGATGCTTGCGGAAAAAGTAGTTTGGCTGTGCGCAGGGTCTTTCTCTCCGCGCTTCCGCAACGCACCCGCCCCGGACGAAAAAAATCGACTTGAAGCTCAGAAGCTGATCTACTCAGCCCAAACCCTGACTTTTGTGCCCCAACGCCCTATCAATAGTCGATTCCCTCTCTAACGATAAGCACCCGAATTTATCAATCGCAGAGAAGAATAGTCAGGTACCTCGGTGTGGTCCTCACACTCTTCGGTGCTTTGCCCATTGTGGTGACCAGGCTGGCCTAGGGCCAAATCGGCTACACACGACGTGCTATGACTTAAAGGAGTTGCCGGTTGAGAGTTTCAACGGCCCTCTTTTGGAGCTGAAGAGCTCACGGGTGGTCACAGATGCTGAGGTTGTAAAGGGTCTCGTTCCCAAATGGAATGCACTGATTCCCAGCCACCGGCAACCATTCTCGAAAACAAACTTCACTTGGTACAAACTACAAACGACTTTGCGTCCGAAGAAGGCCGCGCTTGGGCATTTCCCGAAATAGGGGTACCCCCTTTGATACCCCAAATAGAATAGAAATCCCCTTAAAAGGGAACAGGGTACCCCTATTTCCGGAAACCCCCCCAGATTGCATTCGTGGCAAACCCGATATCCAGGGAGCTCACACAGCTGGGCCTGCCACATCTCGTGCTCGTTTGGGGCTCCATGTACGGCGTGATGTCGGCCATGGAGCAGGAGCCCACATTGGTAGTTCCCCAAAGTAGGGGTACCCCCAAAATACCAGAATCCTGAGTATAGGAACCCCCAAAAGAGTACCCCCCCCCCCTACTTTCGGAAACCCCCAGATCCCTCCCCAAGTTCAAGGATATTGAGGGTTGTGCAGGAGGTTGCAGTTTGCAATTCATTCTGAGGGCTTGGAGCCTGCACGGTACTTAGCATGTAATTAGGGAGAGAAAGTGTTCATGCTTCTAGAACGTGGGTCCTGCTGAAAGTCGCTCTGCTGGCAGGCCGGCGACAACGATGAGAAGACATCGTAGACTTAGCCCCATGCAGGGCCTAAAGCTGCAAAAGGCCTCAACAGCCTTACACCCACTAAACACACACCATCTGACCAATGCACCAGCTACCCGGGTCACAACGCGTAAGCATACTCAAGCACAGACCCGGCATTTGAACCCATTCATGGTGCTAACTGGTGCTACAGCGCAGCCCGCAGCGATGGTGTGCAACAAAGACAGCGTAGCTTCAGAATGGGTTAGATTCTAGCGTCTGCTGCCAACCCCAAAGCCCAACTTCAGAGCCCAAGCTAGCAAGACCAGACGCTAAACTCCCCTAAGCATTCCTAAGCAATGCATTTCGTCAGCATGCGAATACTTACGATCCGCCCTGACCCCGGGAGCCCTAAAATATGGGGGTCTTGGAGGTGGCCTAGGAGTCCCCATGTAAAGCGCAGCAGTAAGCTCGAGAAGCAAGGCAGGAACACGCCTGACAATCACCAGATGCTGTTGAGGTGATGGTCCCGTCACACTGGCTGGGCCAGCAAAGAGCTCTGCTATTACATCTTGCAGCACGTCATGCGTAGACAAGATGACCAGCATCACTATGGCAACAGCTGTCTTTAAGCCGCACATCACGCCCAACCTTCTCATCTTGATGCAGCCAACACAACCCTGAGGACATGACTCTCAAGTGCCCGATGTTGGCACAAGTGTGGCATTACTCCTCGTAGCTTTTGAAGACTCATGTGAAGCCGCGGCCGCCGATGGCCACCGCTGCTTGACCGAAGTTTATGAACTCCCCAAGCACCCTTCATGTGGTTTCTCTTTGGCCTCTTTGCTCAAGATGTGGGGAAGATGAGGAAAGCAGGGCTCCAGGGTGATGCGCTTCAGGGGGTGCTCTTGTCCCCCAAACCTCAGAACTCAGAAAGTGCCAACCCCTCTTAAGAAGTCTCAACTAGGCTTTGCTCGAGGGGGAGTGAAGCTTGCTTGGTTCATCCTGCTTTCGTGAGGACGAGGCAATGGCAAGCGAGCAAGATGGCGATTGGCGGCAGCCTGGGCAGCACCCCCCTGAATCGGATTTAGGGTTTGAGGTTTGGGGTTTGGGGTTTGGGGTTAGCATCAGAAGCCCCCAATTGTTTTTCTTACATCTGGAGGCCAAAGGCGGGCTTCACCGGATGGCAGTGGCCAATTTCGTACGTTGTTGTTTCGGAGTGGTGATCGCTTGTAATTATCCTTTTCTCCGGTGACGAAAGAAACATCAGTACATTCAGCCCTCTTGAACAATGCAACCTGGTCTTTGTCCTTGAGGTGTTCTGTACTCCCACACGAAGATGTCACGACGTAGACTCCTTACTGTTCACAAATGGTACGGGTGAAATGCATGGCAGTCGGAAGGTTTCCTACTTCACCCTGCAAGAATGCAGCAGTATTCATACCTGAGCATGAAAAGCCTGACAGTCGTATTACTGTTTTGCACGGCCACAACGACCCACGGTGTCCACGGAACTGACAAAAACCCTACGAAGTGGTTTAACAAATTTAACTACTCGTAAGTTGTAAAGTTAGTCAAGGTAAAGACCGTGAACTTCCATGAGCCCCAACAGTTCAGGGGGACACTCAACTCCTTTGCGCGGCGCGCGCGGGCTGCCCTCGCCCCGGCGGACGCCGAGAGCTTGACGGTGCCCTTGGCGTGCTCAGCTCAGACATGAGTGAGGGGTCCGAGGGTTCTGTTGCTACTGACTGAGGCTGCTTGTGGGTATCGAAAGCGTTCAGGCAAGGGCCATCGACATGCGGGTGTCCGGGGAATACTTACAGGGGCCAAGGAGGCGGTCTCAGTTACAGGTTCAGGGCATCCCTGCCAACTCGTGTCGTAGTGGGGGAGGTATTTTGGAGCCTCGGATAGTCGGCAGATGCTCAACTTGAAAAGCAAACTGTCCCAACCATGCCAAGGGCGAGGATTCTCCAGACTGTTTCCTTCGAGTCTTCCTTGTAGCGGAAGTGAAAGGCTTGGAGCTGACAACGCGGGCACTGAAGCAGCGATGTCTTGTAGGGAATGCATAGCAGGCAACCTTATACGGCCTGAGAAATGGCCTTCATGCCATTCAACCCCAATCCAATCCATCAAGTCTGAGGTATGCCTTCAAGACATCATGACTGCTAGACGATGACGACCATCTGGCCTGAACCAAACACGCCCTGGCCCGAGACCTCACCCCAAACCTTGTCAACTTTGACCCCCTCCCTTCAACCTGCATAAGGTCGCGGCCGGCAGATGGTGCACAAACCGATGTGGGGAGCTCAGCTGTTGA